ATATTTTACCAAACGAACGATGTTCGGCAACTTCGGCACGCTCCTCCTCTGATGTAACATCCTCAGCAATTGTATCATTCATAATTGACTGATCCTTATCGTCTTTCTCCTTAACCTCCTCCTCAGACGCTTGTAGAACAGACAAAAAATCCAAACCCGATTTTTTCAGCTCCTGAAATGTTCCTCTACTTTGTACACCACCATTATTTAGGACATAAATTTGATCCGCTGAATTGATAAACTGCAATTGATGTGTGACGAGAATTCTTGTTTTTCCCTTTAGATATTTGCAGATACATTTTTCGTACAACGAACGCCCAACGTGTGTATCAACAGCCGACAGTGGATCATCCAATAGATAAATATCAGCCTCGGCATAAATTGCACGCGCTAAATTTATCCTCGCTCTCTGTCCACCACTCAAATTTATACCCTTCTCGCCAATAATTGTCTGATCCTTGTGTGGAAACATCATGAAATCAGTTTCCAATTGACAAACACGAATCACCTTATCGTAACGTTGTTTATTCATTGTTGCGCCGAATAAAATATTTTGACGTATACTCGAGGCGAAAATCCATGGTTCCTGACTGACGTAGACAACTCTTCCGCTAACATGAAGATTTCCAGTTATTAATGGCAGTTCCTTTAGGATTGCGTGAAATAGACTTGTCTTTCCTGAGCCAACTTGGCCAACGACGGCTGTTAATTCGCCGCGTTTAGCTGTGAAATTAATTGACTTTAAATTATAATCCGTTGATGATTTCTCCCATTTTGCAGTGGCGTTTTGTAAAATTACAACAGATTGAAGTTCTGAATTGACAATTCCATTTTCCGTTAATAAATCATTTTTGGCGTCTGATTTATTGTCAGTTAAATTATTATCGTCTAAATTTAAAACAATGTTGTTGCTACTTGATAGATCCTCGAGAAATGATTCTTGAATTTCTTCCAAATCCATAAATTCTTCGATTCTGTTTAATGACGCTAAGGCCTTTGCCAAACGTTGAATTCAGGCTGGTTGAATTCCTGAAGAAAGAAAAATTAGTAGATACGATATATGTTTCAAATCTTATGCTTCTTAAATCTTTTTCTTTAATTATAAACCTAATGCTTAATTTTTAAATCTTATGCTACAGTTGTAAGCCTTTTTTTATAGTTACAACATTGAGGAAAATGGAGATGATCAAAAATATTCTTAAGGAATAAAGTCCCTCAAAAAAAAAGAAGAAAAAAACTTACCCACTGGAAATGCAATGCCCATGGAATATCGCAGTATATTATAAAATGCAGCAATCATAAATACTTTTTCTGCAATAATAGGATTGCCAAGTAAAGCATATGTTATAATTGTAACAAAAATACAAAGTCTTGATGCGAATGATTCAAAGGCCAATACTACTGTATCAATAATATAATTTTTTCTAATAGCACTTACTTCTTTCCTGAAAATAGAAACAACAGATAAAAAATTATCTCCAAATATTCAGAAAAACATTTTTTTAAATCAAAGTAAAAGAATTGAATTTCCTTTTTTTTTCTTTTCTTTTGTTACTTACAATCTCGCTTTGTCAACAAGTTTGGAAAATGGTTTTTCCCACGCATACATTTTTATCACTTGTACACCACCAATAATTTCATTCATTAATTGAAGTCTTTTGTCAGTACAACAGGCATTTTGCTTTGCTAATTTTGGTGAAAATTTTCCCAAAACTCCTAAAACAACAAATTAAAATAGTATTTTTTTATTTATTAAAAATTGTTTTATTTTATTTATAACAATAATAACTTTACACATATAGCAATATTACGTGTTATGTGTGTAGTAATAAAATAATAATTATTATAGAGGTAAAATAATAATAATAATAAAAATAATAATAATAATAATAGAGGTAAAATTAATAAAGAAATAAAGAAATTATTTACCTTGCAATGGAATGATAATAATGTACAATGCTATGCCAGACAAGGCTGATAATTCAGTTTGTATAAAAGTAATGTAAGCAATAAGAATTAAAATAATCGGCGACATCCAAATGTAATTGAAGAAAGGCATTGCATAATCCAGAGAATTTACATCATTCGTAAGTAAATTTAGTATCTAGAGAAAAAAACATGTAAATTAATTATTAGTTAATATGGTTAAAGTATAGAGCACTATGAGAAGAAGAAAATAAAATTTTTTTCCTTGCTTCGCCATATTTGCTCACAGTTTCAAAATATACAAAAACTAATTTTTTCTTTTCCTCAAAGTTCGACATTTTTTACCCATTCTTCCATTTTCTATAAAATTTAAAAAAGTATTCTTTTTCTTACCTTACCAGCACTTGAAGAAGCCTCAGCTGATTTGGAAGTTCTAAGTACTTTCCTGTAAATTAAAGAGCAACATGATACTCTTATTTGCATACCCAAATGAAACATGGAATGAACTGAGAGATGAAAAAATGAACTCCTAAGAACGAATAAAATGATAAAAAGTCCAGCCCAGTAATATGCCTCTGTCTTGGTCATTGAACTGGTGCCATTAAAATATTGTAAAATTTTACTTATTATTATTGGTTGTGGTAATCTAAAACAAAAAAAAAGTAGAGAATTATAAATTTATTTTTGTCAATTTTTAATTTTTGTTTTATTTTACTCTTCAATTGTTTTTTTTTACATAAGTCTTCTATTAAATGTAAAAGCCAAGAAATATTTTTTTTTCAACTTACGTTAAAATAAATTCTAATATAAATTGTACTATTCCAACTAATGCGATATTTGTTCCAAAACATTTGGCTAAAGCTTTCCATAATTTTGGTCTGCCTTTTTTCTTTTTACAATTATTCGTTTCAATTTTCCATTGTTTTTCCAATTTATCGCCAATAATTTGACTCGCATGTGAATCAAGTGGTGAAAATAAATCCGAGTGCTCCAATTCCCTCTTATAACCGGTTCGAAAAATTTTCCAAAGCCATCTGTTAAAGAATTAAACTATTTATTAATAAATTCATAGGATTTTACCTTCATTTTATAAAAAATAATAATAATATTTTTGTATAAAATTGTAATTTTCAAATTTGCAAAAATTCAGTCAATGTTTTTCTCTCACCCAAAAAAAATAACTGACAATGGATTTGCACCGTCTCGTGGATTTTTTGCTTCTCTTTTTTCATTTTTATCCATTTTTTTCAGTTTTCGTTGTTTTTTTGTTTTATGTTTCGTCTCTGGAAAATAATTATTGTAGAAATAAAATTTACATTTATTTTGCAAATTTTTTTCCACACTCAAAAAATAACAGAATTTTGCACTCACTGTTGAATAAAATACACTGAAACAACATTTATTTCATTCAAATAACAGATTAATTGACTAAATTATCAATTAAATATTTAATTGAATCAAATAATATTTATTGGAGTCTATTAAGTGGTATTTGCTTGGAATATTGAAATTACCATTTAATTCAATTAATCGGTTATTTTAATCAAATAAATATTTGATATTATAGTAATAATATATTTTCTGTGTAAAATATATATAATGAACTTTATATAACGAGAAATTTTAAGGAAAGTTTTATAAAATAAATTAGCTTAAATTTTAAAAGTTATTTTTTGTTAAAATAATAAGTTCGATTTTTTCGTCACTCTTGAATTATATTTTATTAGTAAAAACTCCATGATAATATTTGCTTTCTTATAGAGAAATTGTTTAAAAAGTATTTGTAGACTTTATGGTAAAAATTGTAAACTTGACATAAGATAGAAAAGGACAGATATTGTTTCTATCACTTCCTCTCTGATGTTAATATTATGATTAACGTTTTACGATTTTAATAAATTTGAAACTATTGAAAATTAATGATTATGATAATAATTATGAAATATAATCTCGTCGAGTTAGCGTAATATCATACTTATTCGACAAACAAGGCAAGAACGTGCTTATATTCAGAATATAAAGTAAAAGCAAACGAATTCGCAAATTAACCTTTTATAGTCAGATTTTAAATTACCAAGAATATTAAAATTTTATTTCAATAATACTTTTCATATTAGAAAAACAAAATATTAAAAAAATTATTCTCAATGAAACAAAATGACAGTTATTATTCGTGAAACAATTGTACAGTAGTGTATTTTTAATTTAAAATCTGACTAAAAAAGAAAGTTGGATTTACCACTGGAAACGCTGGCTCTTTGCCAGCGAAAGAATCTGCCGGTCGGCGTCTATTAGGAGCATCTATATTCCTATAGCAAGAGCAACGCGGTTTTGTGGTCGTCTGCTCTGTCAGCATCGTGAATTGGCGCAACGACTGGTCATATATCGCACGATCGATTAATTATCGAATTACAAATAATGCGGGAAGTAACTGAGATTGAAAATTAAGTCGATTCGTTACAACGACTAAAATTTAATGTAATAATATTTTCATATTTTACAAGCTAGTACTCTGAAAGCAGTAGTCAAATGAAAAACTATCACATTAATACATAGTTTTTTCAACATATTTATACTTAAGTAATAATTATTTAATTATTATTTAAATTAAAATTTAATTAATTAAAAATTTTAATACTTTGAGAATTAATTTTTTTCTAAAAAAATCTCGATTTTTAATTTTTATTAAACTTTTTTATAAGAGAAGTTTTAAGTTGTTAGATTCCAAAATGTAAATACGCCATTTTGAATTTTAAAATCTGACTTCATATTCGTAATCAGCGACTACGAAAACCCCCTGATATAAAGTTTCATGAGAATTGAATTATTTTCTTAATTTGATGTCTGCCATATTGAATCCGCCATTTTTAATTTTTTAAATCTGACTTCATATTTGTATTCATATTAGTAGGCCCACTGTGCCCTGCAATAAAATGCTTATTCAAAATAATTTCTATTACATATGAGAGGATATTTATTTAAAGCTTCTTATAAATATTTGTGTTTTGAATTTCAACAAAACACGTATTGTTTGCGGAGCCGATACACGGCATCCTTATGAGAGACGTGTTTGATATCTACTGGTTAACTCAACGCTATGTGATTATTAAATATATAGAATATAAAAATATATATGTAATTAAAATGTAAATAGTCATAGAATAAAAAAACAAAGAGTAAGTAACTTTACTAATACTGTATTTTGAACATATTAAGTATCTATTCCTGCCTCTTTTAGTACGGATCGGACCCAACCAGCAATCATTGTTTTCGTAGCTGACTTGACTGGACCAGAAAGGGAAATGAACAGATCATCTAATGATTCTTTGCTTTTTCTTCTGTCTTCTGACTTCTTTAGCATGGCTCTAATCATTGTGATAGGACACAGCCATTTATTTGGGTGATGAGAAAGTCTCCAGCCGGATTGGCGAAAAGAAGATCGGTCTGTTTTTGAACCGAAAACAGGCCACAAAATGATTTCATTACCAAGATTAATTAAGTAATTCGGGGAGATTTTTAAAAGAGTAAGATCGTGAATTCTTCTGCCTGAAGCTAAGAGTAATAAGGTAGCTGATCTTCTTGATAATTCGAATGGAGAGAGGTTTGAAGTGCCCTTGGAAAGCCAGTTAATTAGTAATTGAGAATCCCAAATCGGGGATTTAATCTCTTTCGGGTTTGCAATAGAAATAGATTTTAAAATTTGACGAACTAAGAAATTTGATGAAAGATTTTCATTTACAGGGTTACCAGCACAGAAGGTTGAGATTGCAGACTTGTGGAGTAGGATAGTCTTATAGGCAAATCGCCTTTGGATAGAAAAAGATCTGCAAGAAATTTAGCTAATTCGGGACCAGATGGTAATTTTGGATTAATATTTTTTTCCGTGCACCAAAAAATCCATCTTTTAATCGGAGTTTTATATGTAAGTAAGGTTGAAGATCTCCAACTATTTTGAAGTAAGTTCTTTTCTTGAGGAGACCAGTCTTTCACTAGGTCCTTCCACACCCAATCTTCCAAACTTGTAGGTTGAGTGATTCCACCTGTGTGGGGGGAAGACCAGTTGTTAAATCCACTAATACCTTGTCTAGATTCTGGATTTCTATCGGTGGTTCTAAGCTCCTGTTGGACAGGTCTGCCATCCAAAATGTTTGATTCCATTTGGGAGCAACAACTAGGAATTGACCTCTGCAATAATTTAGATGGGCCAGGACACGAGGCATTAGATTGGGCGGAGGAAAGATCCAGCCTAGGGTGCAATTCCAAGGACAGCTGAAGGCATCCGTGAACAATGCTTGGTGATCCTTCATGTCTCGGGAAACGTAACAAGGGACTACTCTTGATTTCTTTGAGGCAAAATAATCTACTTTGGGTGTTCCCAGCTTGTTGAAGATCTGTTTGGTTGCAGATGGAAGAAGGTGCCATTCCGGGAGAGGGCGTTGACGAGATAATCGATCCGCTATTCCGTTGTAACATCCAGGAAGATAGGCTGCTGTTAGAGTAATTTCCAGATCGTCTATCAGTTGGAGTAGGTTGTATGTTAAATTCAGCAGAGGTAAGGATTTGGTCCCTCCTTCCTTCCGGATGTATGCGACCAAAGTTCGGTTGTCCGTTTGAAGAAGAATGTGTAATTGTCGAAGGTAATTGTTCATTTTTTCGATTACAGCATAAACTGCAAACATCTCCTTCAGGTTTGAGTGCCAACTTTTTTGTTCTTGAGTCCAAGTTCCTGAAAGGTGATAATTGTCGAGTTGAGCACCCCATCCTACATCTGCAGCATCCGTCGTCAGGAAGTTCGAGATTCTCTTGGGATGTAGAGAAATCAAGGAATTTGTTGCTGTGAGCCACCAATTTAGTTCCTCTTTGACTCTTGGAGGGATAATACGTTTTTGTCGAAGTCTCGATTGATTGAAACAAGATAGGAACCTCTGAAGGTAACGGCAGTGTAAAGATAGATCGAGATAGACGACCAATCTTATGCCACGTGAACGAAGGATGTCAGCGATCCAATTTGAAATGGCTGCAAAATTTTGAGGTGCAGATGAAAGGCCAAAGGGCAAGCATGTCATTTGCAAAAGTTCCTTGTCATAGACGAGACGAAGGAAGGGGCGATGTGCCTGGGCTATAGGTACATGACAGTAAGCCAACGATAGATCGATTTTGGTTAGCCAGTCACCTTTCTGTAAAAATTCTGGCATTTTAAAATAAGAGAATAAATGAATTTTTTTTACCCCAATGTGTCTGTTTAGGCCGCGCAGGTCAAAAATTGGGCGAATTCCTCAATCACTTTTTGGAATTAGAAACATCTTAGATATGAAGCTTGATTTTGAATCTGTAGGCTTTTCCAAAATTTTTTGTTCCTTTAAAAGATTAATTTGTAAAGATAACTCTGGGGAAACAGTGGTGTGAAAACGAGAACATTTCCAATTTGCGATCATTGGTGGTTTTGAAATTAAAGGAATTCTACATCCAGAAATAAGTTTTAAAATTGTTGCAGGAGCTCCTAGAGATATCCATTTGTCTTTATGGGAAATAAGTTGACCTCCGAAGAATGGGATATTACATGTTGGATTTTTTACAAAAGGAATCATCAGATTTTGGTCTTGGTTGGTCCTTTTTGAATCCTCCTCTGGGCTTAAAATTTCCTCGACGTGGAGTGATTGGATATTTAAAATTTTGAGGTTTTGTTTGAAAATTCTGGTTGCTATATGATGTTGAAGGGACAGGATCTCTTTTTGTCGGAATCTTTTTTACTGCAGCATAGGAAGGGGTGTTGAGCCATACTTGAGAACCTCCTAAAGAACTCATTAGAGAAGATAAGTTTTCTTTAGCAAAAAGGTAGTCAACACTCGGGGGAATTTTTCTTAAAGCAGATTGGACGTTTTTGTTAGGGAGTTCCGCAAGTACACGATCTCTTCTATTCTCAATACAATCAGCTCTTTTCCCACAAATTAGCTGCATAATTTGATCAAAATTTTTTTGTAGTTGCGATCCGAACGCGAAGGAATTTGAAAGTTGAATGAAAAGATTATCAGGAGTTAATTCAGATGGACTTGAATAAGCCCAATTAGCAATACCCTGAGTCAGGTCACGAATAAGGTCTTTTTGAATGAGCATGGCGTTAGATAGCGCAGCAAGTACTCTTTCTGTAGAAATAAAAGGGTCTTTCCTTTTATCGAGGTGACAGAGTTCCTCATTTACTTTAAGATCTACAAAACCCGGGGTAACAGAAAAATTTTTTAAGGCATTAGAAAACCTTACCTCTTTCCAATCAGGGGAGTTAAATCTTTGTAAATTCGAGAGTGCTTTTAGATGATCTGCAGAAGCTGCACAAAAGGTTCTTTTTTCATCTACTTCAGTGTGCAAATCCGAGAAGTTAAGAGTTCGGAAGTCTGTATTGGTCTGCAAAAGATTTGGAATGTCTGGATCTGATGGACGAGGGATGTAGGGAATATTTGTCACCATTTCCGTTAGTATATTAATTTGGTTTTGAAGAAATTGCAATTGATTCTCTTGATTGTCATTACACATCCTCTTAGAGTTAGGAATTATTGCAGGATCAGGAATATGAGAACCATTCTCTTCATCAGTAGGATTTGGAATGTGAGAACCATTTTCTTCATCGGTAGGACTTGGAATATGAGAACCATTCTCGTTATCGATGTGAGAAGCATCTTCGTCATCGTTGGTATCTTAAATAAGAGAATTATCCACATTATCGTTATTATGCAAAATATCGGAATCATCTCTCATACGTTTATTGGATCCTTTTCCAGTCAAAGCTTCGATTTGCGACATAATTAACTTTTAAAATAGAAAACTACTGAATTAAATCGCGAAATTTGAAAGAAATTTGGACAGATTTTTCAAATGCGACTTGACCAAGGCGCAGTTCTCAACGCTATGACAAAAGACGTACCAACTGTCTAACTGTTTAATCACTATAGCAACTAAGAAAGAGATAAAAGACAAAAGAAAGAAAGAGATAGAAAATCCTAAAGGCGCATTCTAATCGCTTCTCTCATAAGGATGCCGTGTATCGGCCTTAGCATACAACAATAGATATCCACTGAAATTATTAGATAAATAAGTTCTGTCAATGGCAATTGTTTTGGACACAATTTTGAATAAGACTTTTATTGCACGGAAAATCTACTAAGAATTATCTTTTGCACCAAAAACTGAATAAGAATGATCTTGCATTTGTTTTTCTATAAGCATTATATGAACAGAAGGCGTAGAAATGATCTCTTTTCTTTCTTTTAAAATTAATTCTTTTTATTTTCAAATTAAAAAAATGTTCTTCTCAATACATTTTGAATTTTAAATTTTACAATCATTTATTACAATTATTATATAATACAATTTGTTTATAAAATAAAAAAACCGATTTCTAATATATTATACATGTAGTGGCAAATTAATTGTTAAATGTGTAAAATTGTATAATTCTATGTTTCATTTATATCACAATGGTTTTCATATGAAAAGTAAGAGTATAGAAAAAAATGGATTTTTTTTAATGTACATTTTTATATTAAAATTGACTTTTTTTTTTAATATTCCATTACCCTTACAACAGTAAGGCACATTTTGAGACTTATGAAAAAACATGCTATTTTCGTCTTTAAAAGATTTAATCTCAGTTTTTGGTATATTTGGAGGAAATAGAAATTGTTTCTTATCAAATCTACTTTAAAAAAAAATAAAATTAATGTATAAAGTACTTTTCTTTAGAGAAAAAAAATTATTTTAAAAAATAATTAAAAATTTTAATTTATCTAAGTTTTATTGTATTGTAAGAAGCTTCGGCCATTTTTGTGAGTACTACTGCCATTTCAGGTCCGGTTTGTTGCACCATATCGTAGAGATAGCCTTGTTCTTGTTGAAGAAGTAGATAGGGATGATTAAATTCCTGAAAATTGAAAAAAATCAGTCAATAATGTTTCCATTATTGCCCTAGGGCAATAATTGGCACTTTATAATGGTCAATAAAGTGTCCATTATTGACCTAGGGTAATAATGGGTAATTAATTGTCCTTGGGCTATAATGGACTTTGTTTTAAATAAAAAATTAGTGGAGAAGAATCAACCGAGTAAATTGTCAGTAAAGAGTAATGAAGAGAAGAGAAAATTGATGAAGTGAAGAACAGTAAAGAAAATGGATAAAGAAGTAGTAATCAATGGAGAAAGAAAAAAATTGCCATTCTAAAATCAATGGAGGAGGAAATTAAAGGGTGGAAGAAAGGAACAAAACTAGAAAATCAAAAGATGTCTAAGTTTTTCAATAGAGGGGGAAGGAGGACAAGGATAAAAATGTATTAAGTCTAAAGAAAACGAAATGGGGAAAGAAGACATGGGAAAAGTATAAGGTATGAAGAAAACCAAAGAAAACACCAAGCAAAAAAAATATTGAAACAAGAAGTAGTGAAATATACTCACCACCATGTGACCGGCGTCCATGACAATAAATTTATCACAGTCCATGACAGTATTAAGTCTATGAGCAATAATAAAAACTGTGCAATTCTCAAATCTCTTTCTAATCGTCTTCTGAATCAGTGCATCAGTCTGTGGATCAACATTAGCCGTCGCTTCATCAAGCACCAAAATTTTATTCTTCCTCACGATTGCCCTCGCCAAGCAGAGTAATTGCCTCTGTCCAACGCTGAAATTCGCCCCACCGTCCGATACCTTTCCATATAATCCCGATGCTGCAACAGCCTCCTTCAATTCCACCTCATCCAATGATTCCCAAAGTTCATCGTCCGTATACTCCTCAAATGGATCAATATTCTCCCTCAATGTGCCGGCAAATAAAAGTGGTTCCTGCGGTATAATACTTATTTTCGATCTCAAATCGTGCAGGCCCAATTTACTTGTGCCAGTTCCATCGATATAAATTTCACCCTCCAAAAATGATAGACGAAATAGTGCACTAATTAATGACGATTTACCGGCGCCAGTGCGTCCAACGATGCCAATTTTCTCCGTTGGCTTCACGACAAAACTCAAATGTTTAAGTACAAAATCACCACCTTGAGTATAACTTAAACAAACATTACGAAATTCGACGCGTCCCTTATCGGGCCAATTAGCAGCCGGTTTATTTTCACTTGAACTCTCGAGAGGTGGTTCCTTTTGGATATTAGTGTACTCCATGATTCTCTCGACGGCTGTCATTTGATTCTCAAGTTCGGATGCTTGAACAATTCCCCATTGAAGATAACCAGCGAGCATTGTTGTTTGGGTTATGATCAGACCAACATTACCAACTGAATCACTACTGGAGACTAACAGAAATGAGTAGATGACAATTCCAACGTAAATGTTGCAAAATAATTCCAAATAGTAGCCGAATGCTCTTGAGCATGAGAAGAAGAGATACCAGGTTGCTGAATGTACATCTTGATGATTGTCGAATTCCTTTGTAAGTAAGACTTGTGCCCTGAATGCTCGAATTGTTGATAGGCCATTTAATGTTGCGCTTAGATGACTGAAGACTGGAGATCGAGCTGGAAAAGAATTAAGCAATTAATTTACAATCTAGAACATAATTTAGAAATTAATTTTCTGATTTCAATTGTATTTTAATTGTAGAATTTAGTATAGTTACTTATTCCTTCTAGACGTTTAATGCTTCTGCTTGTTTTGATGTAGACAGTTTTCAAAGTGTATAAAATAATTCCAACAATAAATGACGGAATTATCAGATAGTAATTGACGCTGAATGTCATAGCCAAGACTATAATCATAAAGAATAAGTTATCCAAAACATCATAAAGACTGAAGGGTAAGTACTTATCCACTTGGCCAATGTCCTTTGAAAATCTGCAGAAATTACATCAGAATTGTTATGTTTATCGACCTCGTATAAATCCGTACAAAGGATTATCATTTCAAAAATCAAGAGACTTAAACTAAATCGAATACAATAACTCACCTGTTTATAATTCTTCCCGATGGATTAGTATGAAAGAACAACATCGAAGCACGAATAATGTTATAGAACATATTCGAATGTAAATTTCTCGACGATCTCAGGCACATATCATAGTAGCAAATGGATTTTAAATAAACCATTATAACCGCACCACAAATTAAGGCACTGTATATATAAATATACAAATTTCTCTCACCCTCTGGCAATTTGGTAATCGTTGTATTTCCATAATCATCAACAACAACATTATTCTCAGCGTCGACCCATTTTGATAGATGAAAATCAGAACCGCAGAGAAGTAATTGACACATCATGAGCATTAGAAAAACAAGTGCAACGTACCAATAATTCCCCACTGCCTTGAAATAAGCGGTATAAACTTTATGGGATATTTTACCAAACGAACGATGTTCGGCAACTTCGGCACGCTCCTCCTCTGATGTAACATCCTCAGCAATTGTATCATTCATAATTGACTGATCCTTATCGTCTTTCTCCTTAACCTCCTCCTCAGTCGCTTGTAGAACAGACAAAAAATCCAAACCCGATTTTTTCAGCTCCTGAAATGTTCCACTACTTTGTACACCACCATTATTTAGGACATAAATTTGATCCGCTGAATTGATAAACTGCAATTGATGTGTGACGAGAATTCTTGTTTTTCCCTTTAGATATTTGCAGATACATTTTTCGTACAACGAACGTCCTACGTGTGTATCAACAGCCGACAATGGATCATCCAAAAGATAAATATCAGCCTCGGCATAAATTGCACGCGCTAAATTTATCCTCGCTCTCTGTCCACCACTCAAATTTATACCCTTCTCGCCAATAATTGTCTGATCCTTGTGTGGAAACATCATGAAATCAGTTTCCAATTGACAAACACGGATCACCTTATCGTAACGTTGTTTATTCATTGTTGCGCCGAATAAAATATTTTGACGTATACTCGAGGCGAAAATCCATGGTTCCTGACTGACGTAGACAACTTTTCCGCTAACATGAAGATTTCCAGTTATTAATGGCAGTTCCTTTAGGATTGCGTGAAATAGACTTGTTTTTCCTGAGCCAACTTGGCCAACGACGGCTGTTAATTCGCCGCGTTTAGCTGTGAAATTAATTGACTTTAAATTATAATCCGTTGATGATTTCTCCCATTTGGCGGTGGCATTTTGTAAAATTACAACAGATTGTTGCTGTGAATTGACAATTCCATTTTTTATTGATAAACTATTGTTTTTATTTGCTTCTGATTTATTGTCGGTTAAATTATTAACGTCTAAATTTAAAACAATGTCCTTATTATTAACTAGATGACCATTATTATTGTTGCTATTTGATAGATCCTCGAGAAGTGATTCTTGAATTTCTTCCAGGTCCATGAATTCTTCGATTCGCTTTATTGACGCTAAGGCCTTTGCCAAACGTTGAATTCCTGAAGAAAGAAAAATTAGTGCATGTTGAAAAATGACTGGATACAAACATTCAATTCTTTTTAAACATTTTAATAAAATTTTTTGCAGCAGTTTAATTATTTTCATAAATAATAAAATTCTTCACAGCAATTCAATTATTTACAAAGTATTGGAATAATTTTTCACAGAAATGCAATTATTTTAAAATATTTTATTAAAATTGTTAAAAAAAATCAATTATTTTAAATATTATAAAAATCTAAAAGAATAATTGAATTATTTCAAAAAAATTTAATTAAAACTGTATACACTTTTAATTAAATTCTTTTTTAAATTAAATAATTAAATAATTAAATTCAATTATTCTTTTAGATTTTTATAAAATTCTTCCCAGGAATTCAAATAATTAGTTGAATAATTCTTCGAGAGAATTCAATTATTTCGATAAATAACAAAATTATTCCCGAAAATTCAATTATTTTAAAAACTATTCTAATAAAATCCTTTTCAAGAATTCAATTATTTTCATAAATAGTAAAATGCTTTTTAAAAATTCATTTATTTTTGAGGCTTTTAATAAAATTTTTTGCAAAATTAAATTATTTTTATAAAAAAACAATATTCATTATAAGAATTGAATTAACTTTAAAAGTAATAATTTATTTCTTGGAAATTCAATTATTTTAAAAAATTCTAATAAAATTCAATTATTCTTAAAAATATTAATAGAATTATTTGTAAAATTTAATTATTTTTAAAAACTTTTCGCAATTCAATGATTTTCAGTGTCTACTATTTTAATAACATTTTTCAAAAGAATTCAATTATTTAAAACAATGTTTTTAAGATTCTTATGAAGAATTCAATTATTTTCATAAATAATAAAATTCTTCTCAGTAATTTAATTTTATTATTTTTGAAAATTATAATAAAATTCTTTGCAACTATTCAATTATTTTCATAAATAATAAAATTCATTGCAGGATTTCAATTATATTTAATACAATTTTACAGGAATTGCTAAAAAAATAGTTTTTTAAATTCTTTTGATGAATTCAACTATTTATAAAAATATTAGAATTTTTCACAGGAATTAAATTATTTTCAAATATTTTAATAAAACTGTTCGAAAGAAATCAATTATTTTAAATACAATTTTAATTAATTTTTTTTGAAATAATTCAATTATTGTTTTAGATTTTAATAAAATTCTTCCTAAAAATTCAATTATTTACATAAATAATTTTTCGAAAGAATTCAATTATGTCAATAATTAACAAAATTATTCACGAAAATTCAATCATTTGGAGGCATTTTCATAAAATTCTTTGCAAAATTCAATTATTATCATAAATAACAATATTAGTTATAAAAATTCAGTTATTTTTGAAAGTAATAAATTTTTGCTTGGAAATTCAATTATTTTTAAAAATTCGAATAAAATCGATTAGTAAGAATTATTTTCATTATAAATTATTTTCATAAATAATAAAATGTTTTTTAGGAATTCAATTATTTTCAAAAAAATTTAATAAAATGATACACAGACATTCAATTATTCTCAAATATTTTAATAGAATTCTTTGTAAAATTTAATTATTTTTAAAAACTTTTCGCAATTCAATGATTTTGAATATTTACTATTTTCATAAAATTTCCAAAGAGAATTCAATTATTTAAAAAAAAATTTGTATAAATCTTCTTAAGAATACAATTCTTTTCATGAATAATAAAATTTTTTCCTGAATTCAATTATTTAAATTAGAATTTGCATAAAATTGGTCGAAAGAAATCAATTATTTAAAATTTTTTATAAAATTCTTCTCAAGAATTGAATAATTTTTATAAATATTTAAATAGAATGGAATTTTTGTCACTTTTGTCAAGTATCTAAAACGAGTTTTTTTTTTGGTCGTCATGTTTAATTTTTCGATAGCTACTTTTTTACTACTTTTTTTTATTTTTAAAGCTACTTTTTCCTACTTTTTTAAAATTAATTATCGAGTGGGAAATCTGCTAATTTTTAAATCCTATATGCTACAATTGTAAGCCTTTTTTCTAATTACACGACATGAGGATAATGAAGATGATCAAAAATATTTTTGAGGAATAAAATCCCTCAAAAAAAAAGTAAAAAAAAAACTCACCCAATGGAAATGCAATGCCCATGGAATATCGCATTTCATTATAAAATGCAGCAATCATAAATACTTTTTCTGCAATAATAGGATTGCCAAGCAAAGCATATGTTATAATTGTCACAAAAATACAAAGTCTCGATGCGTATGCTTCAAAGGCCATTGCTGCTGCATCAATAAAATAATTTTTTCTAATAGCACTCACTTCTTTCCTGAAAATAGAAACAATAAATAAAAAATTATCTCCAAATGTTTAGAAAAACGAATATTTTTTTTTTTTTTGAATGAACGTAAAATAGTTGTATTCCTTTTACTTTTTTTTTTTCTTTTTTTACTTACAATCTCGCTTTGTCAACAAGTTTGGAAAATGGTTTTTCCCACGCATACATCTTTATCACTTGCACACCACCAATAATTTCATTCATTAATCGAAGTCTCTTGTCAGTACGATAGGCAGATTGCATTGATAATTTTGGTACAAATTTTCCCAAAATTCCTAAAACAAAAAATTAAAATAGTATTTTTTTGTTTATTAAAAATTAGTTTTATTTCATTCATAACAATAATAATTTTACACAGATAGCAAGATTACGTGTTAGCTGTGTAATAATAAAATAATATTAATAATAAATTTATTTTTTTTTTTTTGTTCATTTAATAATAATTATTGTGTCAGATTAATTTTACGAGGCCTTTAAACGGATTTACAAAAAACGGAAAAAAATTAATTAGTAAAATTATTTGAACAATAATAATTATTATTATCATTATATTAATAATAATAATTATTATTGATAATAGTATTTAGAGGCCTTTTAAGGTTAAAAAAAAGCCTCTAAATACTATTATTAATATTATTAAAAAACGGTTCTTAAATAAATTTATTAATAATAATAATAATAATAATTATTATTATTATTATTATTATTATTATTAAATATTATTATTATTATCATTATATTAATAATAATGGTGGTAAAATAAAGAAAAATGTAAAGAAATTATTTACCTTGCAATGGAATGATAAGAACGTACAATGCTATGCCAGTCAAGGCTGATAATTCAATTTCTATAAAAATAATGTAAGCAATAAGTATTAAAATAATCGGCGACATCCAAATATAATTGAAGAAAGGCAATGCATAATCCAGAGAATTTACATCATTCGTGAGTAAATTTACTATCTAGAGAAAAAAAACATGTAAATTAATCAGTAGTTAATTACTAATTAATAATAATAATTAAAAAGCACATTTTTTTATAATAATTTAATAAAAAATTTTTTTTTTATTTTATTACCTGACCAGCACTTGAACAAGCTTCAGCTGATTTGGAAGTTCTAAGTACTTTCCTGTAAATTAAAGAGCAACATGATACTCTTATTTTCATACCCAAATGAACCATGGAATGAACTGAGAGATGAAAAAATGGACTTCTAAGAACGAATAAAACGATAAAAAGTCCAGCCCAGTAATATGCCTCTGTCTTGGTCATTGAATTGGTGCCATTAAAATATTGTAAAATTTTACTTAATATTATTGGTTGTGGTATTCTGAAACAAAAAAAAAGGTTGAGAATTACAAATTTATTTTTGTCACTTTTTAATTTTCAATTTTTGTTTTATTTTACTCTTAAATACATTAAATACTTTAAATACTTTATATACTTTGAATAGTTTAAATACTTTGAATACTTTAAATACTTTAAATACTTTAAATACTTTAAATACTTTGAATATTTTGAATATTTTAAATACTTTGAATATTTTAAATACTTTGAATACTTTAAATACTGTGAATACTTTAAATACTATGAATACTTTAAATGCTTTAAATACTTTAAATACTTAATTATTTCGAATTTTGTAAAAAATTTAAGTCTTATCTTTTATTCAAAGTAAAAACCAAGAAATACTTTTTTCAACTTACGTTAAAATAAATTCTAATATAAATTGTGCTATTCCAACTAATATGATATTTGTTCCAAAACATTTGGCTAAAGCTTTCCATAATTTTGGTTTGCCTTTTTTCTTTTTACAATTATTCGTTTCAATTCTCCATTGTTTCTCCAATTTATCGCCAATAATTTGACTCGCATGTGATTCAAGTGGTGAAAATAAATCCAAGTGCTCCAATTCCCTCTTGTAACCGATTCGAAAAAATTTCCAAAGCCATCTGTTGCAAAAATTACACTATTCATTAATAAATTTATTGGATTTTAAAAGTTAAAACCCTCCTTTTTGTGAAAACAATTTTTTTATCGTTTCAATTATTTTCAAAAATAACAAAATTTTTCACAGGAATTCAATTATTTTCAAATATTTCATTATAAATAAATTCTTTCTAACAATTCAATTATATACATAAACAATTCTTCGAAAGAATTCAATTATTAAAGATAAATAACAAAATTATTCAAGAAAATTCAATTATTTTGAGCTATTTTAATAAAATTCTTTGCAAAATAAATGATAAAACTCATCTCAAGATTTCAATTATTTATAATTTTAAATAAAAATGATTCAATTATAAAAATTTTTATTATTATATTATTATTTTATAATTCAATTATTTAAAAGAATTTGATGTAATTTGTTTCTTAAAGTGTAATAATTATTTTTTAAATTTATTTTTAATTATATTTTTTGAAAATGAATTTAATTATTATCAAAAATTTGTAATGCAATTCTTCGTAAAAAATCCAATTATTTTTAAAAATTCTCATAAAGTTCTTTATAAGAATTAAAATTTAAGAAATATTCAATTATTCAATAAATCATTTATTTTTGTATTTTTAAATAATTGAATTCTCGTAGAATTTTCTAATGAGAATTGATTCAGAATTGAATAAAATATAATTATTAAAATTTTGAATAATTTTATTTACAAAATTTCAACAGAAAAATGATTGAATTTTGAAAGAATTATCCTGTAGACAAAATAAATGGGTATTTAAATATTTATTTTAAAAAATTATTCGATTATTAAATGTAATTAAGAAATTATAAAAAAATTAAGTTGTCAAGTTTAATTTTTTGATAGATACTTTTAGATAAAACCATTTATTTTAATAATGTAAAAAAAGTAGAACATAAAGATCATTATCATTATTTTAGGTATTATTATTCACCTTAGCTCAGTGGGAAAAGCAATTAATCGTCAATTGATAGCTCCTGGGGTTCGATCCCCAACGGAGTTAGACCCCCATTTTTTCACAGTTTTTTAAAAATATTTCCCAACATTATGATCGTAATAATAATTATAATTAACTATAGTTGTTATTAAAAATGAATTTGAAAATTTTTGAATTTTTAGATTATTAATTTATTATTAAAATTTATGTATTACAAAAAATTTTATTTGAAAAATTTTTGCTAATTTTATTTTAAAAACTAAATTAGAAGTTGCTGTAATAGTAATAATTGGAATTGTAATATTTTTTTATCTAAAAATTATATAGGTTCGAAATAAATATAAATAGAAGAAAAAATATACATATATTTACATTTAAATACAAAATTTTCAAAAAAAAATTTTTTTTCGTTTTTTTTAATATTCTATAATTAGTAGATAATACAAACTAAAGGTAAAAGTATATTTTCTCCTGTGTAGATAGTGATAAAATACTTCTTTAAAGGTTAAAGATAATTGAGTTGAATGCCTGACATAATTAATGACTTCCAGTTATTGAGACTAAAGACAACAATTCTCTTTTTCTTCTTTTTTCTATGAATTAAATAAAATACATAAAACATTGATCAGACTCTTTATAAATAAATGCCAATTATTCTAAATTATTAATAAGAATGATAATTGGATTGAAATATAAAACAATACTGTATATATTATGTAATTAGAGAATTTTTTACTATTATTATTATTTTTACTTTTATTAATTATAAATTAATTAATTATTTTATTATTTTATTAATTATTTATTAAATTATTTATTAATTATAATTTTATTAATTATTAAACATTATAAATTAATTAATTCAATCAATTATTGTTAATTATTAATTAATAGTAGAATTTTAATTCTTAATTACTATTAATTATTAATGCCATTAATCATTAATAATAAAAACGTATTAATTATTATTACTTTAATAAATAATTTTATAAATAAATAATAAATGAATAAATAAATTAATTAATTAATAATTATTAAAATTAATATGAATTGTCTTATTAATTATTTACTTTTTAAATTAAAAAATTGCATAAAAATAAATGAATAAAATTAATCAAAAATTAATTAATTGATTCGAAAAAGGAATTATTAATAATCAAGCGCAGGTTGTTGTTCATAAGTTACAAATATGGGAGAAGAATGTAAACAAAAAAAAATTGTCACATTTCCTAATGAGAGATATTCATGACAAGAGAACAAATAAAACTATTTTGAATTTTATCAGTGACTTGTAAACATTAAATTTGTAAGTTTTCTCTATACAATTTACAATCTTGCTTTCAAAAAGTTTATTAAATTAAACAAACAATATTTTAATTTATTATTATTGTCAAAAAAAAAAAAAAAAAATCAATTTAATTAACATTTTTTCTATTTTTGAAAAATAATGTCAAACAAATCCAACAAAATAAATGTGAGAAAAACATAAAAAATATCGAAAAAAATTTTTTTAAAATTATTTATCGGTATTTTAATTTTTTTAAATTATTTTTTTGTAAAAAAATATTATTCTGTTCGTTTCTTTTGCTGTTTTCTTATACATTATATTTTTTCATATTCTTATATTTTTTCTATTGTTTTTTTTTATTCTACATTATTAACAATTTTTTTTTTTACTTTGAATTATATTTTCCATATAATTTTTATATTATAAATTATTTATATTATTATTAAAAATGTTGTTATTTATTTATAAAATTTAGAATGTTCAAAATTTATACTTTATTTAGAAAAACAAAAATTACGAATAAAATGTAAATGAAACAAAATTTCTAATAATGCACAAATTAAACTAATAATCGTATGACTATTATAGACAAGATAATAATTCTTGCAAAATGCCAGCTATTAATTTTTTTTTAAAAAAGCTTCTTGAAAATCTTATGCAAGCAACTTTAGAAAGACCTCTAAACAAAGCGAAAAATATTCACCAATAAAGTTATAAATAAACTTTTCCCTCTAAAAACAATGAGTACAACAAAATCGTCTTCGAAAAAAATAAAATAAATAAATAATTTAAAAGAATGTTAAACAAAAAAAAATTTTTTTTTTAAATTTTTGTAAGAAACATTTTTTCGAAAAATTTAAAAACAAAAAAAATGAAAATCTCAAATGAAAATAAATATAAAAATAAAAAATAAAATAAAATAAAAAAAAATTTTTTTTAATTTATTAAAAAAAATTAAAAAATAAATTTTTAAAATAGAAAAGAAAATACTTTGAAAATAAAATAATATATAAAAAAGAAAAGAAAAATATTTTTAAAAAAAGAAATATAAAAATAAAATTATTTGAAAAAATACGAAAATGTAATTTTCAAATTTGCAAAAATTCGGTTAATATTTGTTTTTTCTCACCCAAAAAAAAGAACCGACAATGGATTTGCTCCGTCTCGTGGATTTTTTGCTTCTCTTTTTTCATTTTTATCCATTTTATTTCAGTTTTCGTTGTTTCTTGTTTTATGTTTCGTCTCTGAAAAATAATCAAATTTCCACTAATTTTGCAAAAATTGTTTTTCACACTCAAAAAGTAACGGAATTTTTCACTCACTTAAATAAATATATATTGTATACTCGATAAATTATCATAAATTCTGGAATTAAATTTTTTCTTATATTGTATAATAGAAAAAAAAATCAAAAAATTATTATATTATTAAAATTATATCATTTTATCACTTTAGAATAATATAAAAATCGTGAACTGTTAGTAGCACCATTGTGTAATACTGTTTTCTATTCACATGTCTTCGATATAGAGGTACCTTTTCTCATGTCTCTTTTACTTATATATATACACACGAAACGAGAGAGAACAATGAAAAATCAATTCTCCTGTTATTTTTGTAAGAAGAAAAAGAATTTATAAAATTATTCCTTCATGAAAAATATTATCGATTAAATTGACAAAAAAAAAGGGAAAATAAAAATGTTTTTTTCATTAAAATTGTATTGTTTGTTGTTAATTTATTTTTTGTTTTTTTGAATTTTCTTTGTTTTGTCAGATGCCGGCTCTCGCGGCAATGTCGGTCGATATAATACTGTCGACTCACATAGAGAATTTTACGAAGTAAACCCTGCGAGGAGTCTAAAATCTAAATAACCGACAGTAGAAGCAGCAGCAGCAACAGCTGGATTAGCTTGCTTGCTGCTTGATAGTGTTATAAAAATATATAAAATTTCTCTCTATCCATTCGCTATTGCAAGGTTACACATTTTCTTGTACATTTAATAATCAGCGTTGTGTGAACAAATTAAATATAATATTTTTTAAACGAATGACAAATCAAATTTTTTAAATTTTACATTAATTTTTTTAAATAATGTAAAAAAAATATTTTTTTCCTTCTTATTTGAAAATATTATGTCAATTTTCATTGTTTATTTATAAATATTATCAAATTATTTTTAATTATTAAAAAAAAAAATTGTCTTTTCCATATTCCATTGTATTAACTATTTTTTTTTTTTACTAATTTTATTATTTTTAAACAATTTCTTTTACAATTTTTTACAATACATATTAAAATATGTATTTTAGTTGTTTTTGTTATTTTAACAATCTTTTTTTTATAATTTTTTATAATTTATATTTACAATTTTTTACAATTTATTTTTACAATTTTTTTAGAATTTTTCACAGTTTATATTTACAATTTTTTACAAATTATTTTTACATTTTTTTTTAGAATTTTTTACAGTTTATATTTACAATTTTTTACAATTTTCTTTTACAATTTATATTATTTACAATTTTTTACAATTTATTTTTACCATTTTTTTTAGAATTTTTTACAATTTATATTTACAGATTTTTACAATTTATTTTTACAATTTTTTTTACAATTTTTTACAATTTATATTTACAATTTATTATTTTACAATTTTTTACAATCTATATTTACAATTTTTTTTCAATTTATACCTTTTTACAATTTGTTTAACAATTTATTTATAACTTATTAACCATTTTTTTACAATATATTAATTAAAAATTTTTCTTAAATATTTATTCAAATTTTTTTTACAAATTTTATTTGCCATTTTTTACAAATTTTATTTACAATTTTTTAAAAATTATATATTTACAAGTTGCTTTACAATTAATTAATAAAATTTTAACCATTTTTTGTTTAATAATTATACACAATTTTTTTTATTTTATTAACAATCTTTCCATAATTTGTTTATTATTTTTTTCAACAACTTTTTTGTAACAATTAATTTATAAAAAAATTTATTTAAAAAATATTAATTTATAAATCTATAAATAATAATAATAATAATAATAATAATAAATAATAATTATTTTATTAACAATTTTTCTACAATTTGTTTAGGTATTTTTTTAAACACTTTTTTGTTAAAGGGACCATTCAAGTATTACGTAAGCATTTAAGGGGAAGGGGGGGGGGGGGTCTAGCTATTGCTTATTTTCATTAGAAAAAATGGCGCTAATGCATATAAAAAATCTTACATGGGGGAGGGGGGGGGGGTCTAAAAACCTGAAAAATATGCTTACGTAATACTTGAATGGCCCCAAAATTAATTCACAAAAAATTTTAGAAAAAAATATAAATTTATAAATAATAGGTATAAATAAGCTAAGAGGTAAATGAAAAAATAATTAAATAAAACAAGATATAAATAAACAAGGAAGCAAATAAGTAAATAAATAAAATAGTGGATTAATGAACAAAATAGTAAACACATAAAACCAAAAAAGTAAATAAATTAGTAAAGAAAGGAAAAATAAGAAAATAGGATGTTAATAAATAAATTAACAAAACATTAAATCAGCAAAAATTAATAAACAAAACAACAAATAAATAATCAGAAGAATAAATAAATATAGAAAATGGTAAATAAATTTAAAAAAGTAATTAAAAAAGAAAAGAAAGAAAACAATAAACAAAATAGTAAATAAATAAGTGAATAAATAGAATAGTAAATAAATAAGTAAAAAATTAAAATGTTAAATAAATAAACAAATTAGTAAATAATAAACAAAAAAGTAAATATGAAAGTAAATAAACAGAATAGTAAATAAATGCACAAGTAAATGAACAAAAAAGTAAATAAAAAATTGAATAAAAAAAACAATAAGTAAATGATCAAAATGTTAAAAAAATAAACAAATCAGTAAATAAATAATTAAATGAACAAAATTGTAAACAAATAAACAAAAATGTAAATATGAAAGTAAATAAACAAAATAGTAAATAAATAAGTAAATAAATATACAGAAGTTAGTATAATAATAATGGAGATTATTATTATAATTATCTTGTTTCACGTGATTAATATTGCGAGTATATTTTAGAAATAAACAGAAAAAATTGACCCAATTAGATAGATATTGTAAAATAAACAAATGACAGTGATATCATATAAATATAAATAAATGACAATCAGAGAAATAAAAATTTAACTTTAAAAATAGATGGGAAAGTTTTAAAATTTCTTTTTCCACAGAAGGAAAAATATAAAGTTGTATTTAGATTTTTATTATTATTATTTTTATTATTATTTAATATTATTTTTATTCTTATTATTATTATTTAATATTTATTATTATTAAAAATATATATTAATAATAATTAATTTCTTAATTAATTTATTATATTATTTATTATTTATTTATTTATTATTATTTAATATTATTATTTTTATTACTGCTACTTTTATTATTATTAATGAACTTGTAAAAGAATATCCTAAATCGATTATCTCATAAATGAATAATAATTGTCATTTTATGGCTATTAAATTATTGCTTAACAAGATAAGAAAGAAATGGTAATTATTATGTTCATTTTCTTAACAAAATTTGATAAGTTTTTCTAATTATCGACAAACAAAACAAAATATTTAAAATTCCTTTATTCAAATTATTTGAAAAAGAAATGAATTAATCTTTACTTTTGTATAATAACTTGTAAATTTATAAATGATTAAATAAATTCGAAAAAATGAAAATCGTTGAATATGATAATAAAATAATAATAATAATAATAATAATTTAATGAAACATAAAGAAAATATTTCTGAAAAATAACAATGTTGTAACATATTATAAATATAATTGGCTTCAATGAACAAAAGTAAGCTTTCAATTGAAACAATTAATTCGTATAATTGTGACGTGTAATGCCATGATTCAGTCCCTCTTAATCATTCCCTTATTTATTAAAAATTTCTTATTCTTTGCACTCAGTGCAGTGTAGAAATTATGATTTCATTTCACAGGCCACTTAGAAACTAATAAAACATTTGTCAAATATATTATATATAATTATACAAATCTTAAAATATTTCTGTATCCCTTAAAGTGTTTTTATTCAATTTTCCATTCGAATTTAAATTTATGTAAATACATTAAAATTTTAAATAATAGAAATAAGAACAGGAATAGAAATAAGAACAAAAATAGGAACAGAAATAGGAAAAGAAACAGAAATAGGAACAGAAATAGGAACAGAAATAGGAATAGGAATAGGAATAGGAATAGGAATAGGAATAGGAATAGGAATAGGAATAGGAATAGGAATAGGAATAGGAATAGGAATAGGAATAGGAATAGGAATAGGAATAGGAATAGGAATAGGAATAGGAATAGGAATAGGAATATGAATAGGAATAGGAATAGGAATAGGAATATGAATAGGAATAGGAATAGGAATAGGAATAGGAATAGGAATAGGAATAGGAATAGGAATAGGAATAGGAATAGGAATAGGAATAGGAATAGGAATAGGAATTAGAATAGGAATTAGAATAGGAATTAGAATAGGAATTAGAATAGGAATAGGAATAGGAATAGGAATAGGAATAGGAATAGGAATAGGAATAGGAATAGGAATAGGAATAGGAATAGGAATAGGAATAGGAATAGGAATAGGAATAGGAATAGGAATAGGAATAGGAATATGAATAGGAATATGAATATGAATAGGAATAGGAATAGGAATAGGAATAGGAATAGGAATAGGAATTAGAATAGGAATTAGAATAGGAATAGGAATAGGAATATGAATACAAGTAACATATATAATATTAACAAAAATGTTTGGTAACACATAAATAACAGTCAATTTTTTATTTATTTTAATTAATGGCAAAGCAGAAAAAAACAGAAAAAACATTTCCAGAAAACAAATAATTTCATCTTAAATGGTAGTAGTTAAATATTATACCAATAAGGAAGAAATCTTAAAGCTCTTTATCAAACTCAATTACGAAATAAATCTCTGCAACTTCTATTCTGAATTGTGTAATTTAAAAGTCTCATTGTGTAAATGTGAAATATTTCAAATTTTAATGAAAGTCATTAGAAAATATAAACTTTACTTCTCTCTCTCTCTCTCTCTCTCTCTCTGCTTTCAGGTACATAATATATATTTATACGTCTCTCAATTTCAATACTAATAACCCTAAGGAAGTTTTTCATATTCTTATCTAAAAACTCAATGGGGGAACAAGTGTAAATATACATGTGACAACTTATTTCATCTATTGACACGTGTCATATAAGTGATACGAGACAATTTTCCTCGTATTTCATTTATAGTGTTCTATAAATTTTATTTTGCATATTTTTTTCTTCTCAAAATCAAATGATTTTTTTGGAATTATAAACTAGAAATTCATGATTTTTTTTATTTAGAAATAATAATTCGTAGTGATTTTTCTTCATCTGGAATCTAAAACTAAAGTGGCAGTGTTATTTTTGTAGTTTCAGAAAACACGTAATCTTGCAGCAAACTTGCAAACGGAAATTAATTATAAAAAAGATCAAAAGTAATTGGGAAGGAGTAGGAGGAGAAAATAAGGAATAAAGAGAATAGGGAATAAGAAATAGGGAATAGAAAATAGGAAGGAGTAGAAGGAGTAAATAAGGAATAGAGAGAATAGGGAATAAGAAATAGAGAATAGGAAGGAGTAGGAGGAGAAAATAAGGAATAAAGAGAATAAGAAATAGGAAGTGCCATGATATGTTTGAGAATAAGACATAGGGAATAGAGAATAGGAAGGAGTAGGAGGAGAAAATAAGGATTAGAGAGAAAGAGAATAAGGAATAGAAAGAATAGGGAATAGAGAATAGGAAGTAGTAGCAGGAGAAAATAAGGAATAGGGAGAATATGGAATAGAGAATAGGAAGGAATAGGAGAAGAAAATAAAAAATAAAGAGAATGGGGAATACAGAATAGGAAAGAGTAAAAGGAGAAAATAAGGAGATAGTGAAAAGGGAATAGAGAATAGGAAGGAGTAGGAGGAGAAAAAAAGGAAGGAAAAAGAGAGAAGAGGAGGAAAAAAGGAGGAAGAGAATAAGGAAAAACTGGAGGAGGAAACATTTACGAAGAATGATAAATTATTCTTCTACTGAAATTAACTATTATCTTTCAAATTATTAATTTGTTTTTCTTTTTTTTATTAAAAAATCATCTTTCCTCACTATTTACAATAATTAAATTTCACTATTTTAAAAGCAATTTCCAAATCTCCTATTCTTCATTTCACCTCTAACTACGTCTATTTTTTCTCTTCATTCACAAACAAAATCAATATAATTATTTTCACATTTCCACTACACTCTTACAAAATTACAATAATTATTATTTAAATAAATGTTTAAACTATTAAAAAACGAGAATGTACAGAGATCTTAAACATAATATTTATAATCATCAAAAGTATAAAAAAAAATTTCTCTAGTCCTCCAAATAATAAAATTCGTTTCTCCTCAATAATTTTCAATTATTTTTTTTCCTTTTTTGATAACTCTGCAAAAAGAGGGAATTTATAAGAAAAAAATTTTTTTTTGAGAGAGAATCATTCTTTCTCTAAAACGAATAGAAAAATGAAAAATGTGAAACTCACCACTTCAGCTATTGTTTTTAACGATATGGATGCCTCGTTACCACATTGTCGAACCATTTCGTGTAAATATCCAGTTTTATTTTGAAGCAGTACGTGTGGATGATCAAATTCCTGTGAGGGATAAAAAAAAGAAGAAAATGGAGAAAAGTTTTTAGAAAAACAAGTTGAAATGGTTTTTGAAAACCAAAAACAAAAAAAAAACTCACCACAATCCGTCCAGCATCCATAACAATAAATCTATCACAATCCATAACAGTATTAAGTCTATGAGCAACAATGAGTATCGTACAATTCTTAAATCGACTTCTAATCGTCTTCTGAATCAGCGCATCCGTCTGTGGATCAACATTAGCCGTCGCTTCATCGAGCACCAAAATTTTATTCTTCCTCACAATTGCCCTCGCCAGGCAGAGTAATTGCCTCTGTCCAACGCTGAAATTCGCCCCACCGTCCGACACCTTTCCATACAATCCAGAAAACATCTCCTGAACATAATTCTTCAATTCCACCTCAGCCAACGATTGCCACAATTCATCATCTGAATATTCATCAAACGGATCAAGATTCGACCTCAATGTGCCGGCAAATAAAAGTGGTTCCTGTGGAATAATACTTATTTTCTTCCTTAAATCATGTAAACCCAATGTTCCAACAGAAACATCATCGATAATAATTTCACCCTCCAAATGTGCCAATCGAAACAGTGCAATAATCATCGACGATTTTCCAGCACCTGTTCTACCGACAATACCAATTTTCTCCACTGGTTCAACGACAAATGTCAAATTATTCAATACCGGTGCACCATCAGCACTGTATTTTAGAGAAACATTCTTAAATTCCACACGTCCATTTTTGGGCCATTCTTTAGATGGTTTCAATTTTTCCTCACTATCAAATGCCGGTTCTTGGGGTATTTTATTGTAATCCAATATTCTCTCGACTGATGTCATATTCGTTTCGACCTCAACAACTTGAAACATACACCATTGTACCAATATTGTCATCGATATTGTTTGTGTTATAATCAATGCCACATCACCAGCCGAACTCATATCTTTGAATATCAAGAAAATATAGATAATAATACCCAAATAGAATGTACACAATACTTCCACATAATAGCCAAATGCTCTGCCACATGCTGCAAATAATATCCAAGCCGATGAATTTACATCTTGATTATTATCAAATTCCTTGATCATTAAATCTTCTGCTTTAAATGCTCTTATTGTCGTTATTCCCTGTATTGTTGCATTCAAATGACTGAATATTGGTGATTTTGCTGCGAGGAAGAAAAAAAATTTGTGATTTAATGGACTAATTCATTAATTGTAGATTGGATGAAAAAAAATGTTAATGGGAAACTTACTTGTTCCATCGAGTCTCTTAACACTGCGACTTGTACGCCAGTAAACTTCCTTTAATAGGGAGAGAAAAATTAGTGAGAGAATTAGGGGTATCAGCATCCAGTAGTTTATGACAACTGTCATTAGTGCAACTCCCATCATGTAGGTGAAGAATGACGAGACATCGTTTAATGCTTGTGGTAGTAATTTGTCCATAATGCCCATGTCCTTCGAGAATCTGTGAAAATGAGGCAAAAATTAAAAACTTCTGTATTAACATCGTTGTGAATAATTCTAGTTAGAAGCATCTTTAGCGGAATCTGTAGGAGTTCAAAAAGCATCTCTAGAAGCATTTGTAAAAGCATCTTTAGAAGCATCTGTAAAAGCATCTTTAGAAGCATCTGTAACAGTATCTGCAGAAGAATGTTTAGAAGCATCTGTAGAAACATCTGCAGGAGAATCAGCAGAAGCATTTGTATAAGCATCTTTAGAAGCATCTGTAGCAGTATTTGCAGAAGAATCTTTAGAAGCATCTGTAGCAGTATTTGCAGAAGAATCTTTAGAAGCATCTGTAGTAGTATTTGCAGAAGCAAAACAAGTAAAACAAGATCATCGGTAATTGTATCATTAGAGGCATTAATAACATCAGTAACAGCTTTAATAGCATCAGTAAAAGCCTTAGTAGCATCTGTAATAGTTTTAATAGCATGAGAAAAAACAGAAGTTATTGGATCATTAAAAGTATTAGTAAAATTCTCATGAGCATCACTACAAACATTCATTGCAAAATTAATTGCATCAACAGAAGCTTAAATTAAAGCAGCAGTTGAATTTGAGAGCATCATTAAGAGCATCATTGAAAACATTCATTGCAGAATTAATTGCATCAACAGAAGCTTAAATTAAAGCAGCAGTTGAAGTAGCAATAAAAGCATTTGTAACAGCAGTAGGGAGATCAGCAGGAGCATAATTAAAAACATTAATAGCAGAATTAATTACATCAACAGAAGCTTAAATTGAAGTATCAGTAAAAGCAGTAACAAATTTTAGCATCAGTTTAAGCATCACTAAAAGTATTAGTAAAGACAACAGCAAAAGCATCAACAAATACATAATTAAAAACATTAATAACATCACTGATAGTATCATCTAAAGCATCACTATCAGAATCAGCACAAGGATCACTAATAGTATCAGAAAAGGCATCAAATGCATCAAATAAAGCATCTGTAAAAGCAGTATCAAAATAATAAATAGTAGCATCTCTAAGAAAAAGAATCATTACAAAAGGTACAATCTATCCACTCACCTATTTATAATTCTTCCAGAAGGATTATTATGATAGAACGCCATCGTCGTATGGCTAATACTCCTAAAGATCGAGGCATGAATATTTTTCGACGACTTCAAGCACATCGACATAAACATCAAGTACTTCATGTAGACCGCAACAATCGTCGCCAAAATAAGTCCCGTATAAACCCAAACATACCAAACATTATCATCATCATCTGTTGTCGTACTTCCTCCTTCAGCACTATCATTTTTCATCTTCAATTCCTTCCTCAAATCATTCGCCTCCATCGTTGTTATCCAATACGTCAAGAAATAATCACCAACAATAACAAGCAATGGCAATAGAATAATAAAACAAAATACCAAAAATTTTCTAACACAACTTCCACCGGCTTGAAAATAGTCGATAAACACTCTCTTCGAAACTTTACCAGTTTGCGTTTGTTCAGCAACAATTTCACGCTCTTCATCCGAAATAATATTCTTCATACAAACATTTTCTAATTGCTCATGTGGTTCATCAAAATTTTGCTGATGCTGATTATCATCATGCTCCTGAAGAAATGCCAAAAATTCCGAATTCGATTTTCTGAGATCATCAATTGTACCATTCATTTCAACAAAACCATTATTAAGAACATAAGTCCGATCAACATTCTGTAAATACTGCAATTGATGTGTTATCAAAATTCTCGTCTTCCCCCGCAGATAATCGCAAATACAATTATTGAATATCGATCTACCGACATGTGCATCAACAGCCGATAATGGATCATCCAAAAGATAAATATCAGCCTCAGAATAAACAGCACGCGCTAAACTTATTCTTGCACGTTGACCACCACTCAGTGTCGTTCCCTTTTCGCCAATAATTGTTTGATCCCTATCGGGAAATAATGAGAAATCACGTTCCAATTGGCAAACACGAATTACATCATTGTAACGTGCTTTATTCATTTCACGACCAAAGAGAATATTTTGTCGAACACTTGCGGCAAATATCCATGGTTCTTGACTGACGTAAACAAATTTACCATCAATGTAGAGTTTACCTTGGTTTATTGGCAATTCACCGATTATTAATTGAAGGAGACTCGACTTTCCTGAACCAACTTGTCCAATTACTGCTGTTAGTGAACCGGAAGTTGCTTGAAAATTGATATTATTTAATGTTGATCTTGTCACTTCGTGTGTATCGTTCGTTGCCCATTTTGCGGTGACATTTTTTAATGCCAATACAACATCGTGTGGATATTTTTCATCGATATTATTGTTTATTATGTCTGTTGATTTTTCGAGTTCGTCACTTAGAAGATATTTTCGTATTCGTTCAATAGATGCGGTTGACTGAGCGAGACGTTGCATTGCTAAAAAAAAATGAAAATCGATTTTAAAAAAGCTGATGAAAAATTCACTTAGATATCAAGATAGTTTACCACAAGGAAAGCTTGCTGAAAAGTTATCTTATAGAAGTAGCGAAAATATTGCCAAGGAAGCTTGCGGGAAGCTTACATTGCATTACGAAATTAGTAAAATTTACAATCACAGTAAATCGTCAGGTATTGAAATAACTCCAGAAAGGATAAAAATAATTCATTTTGGTGTTATTTTTGAAAAAGAGTAAAATTTTACTTTAATCCAAACACAGAGTTAATGATTTGACAAAATTCGATGAATTTAGCCTCACCAGGGAAAATAGTTAGTTGGTAAGTAACTTACAAACTTACTTAATACGTTAGTACTTTACTCAATTAATAAGTTAGTTAGTAACTAAGTTAATTAGTTAGATAATTAGTAAGTTAGTTAGTTAGTTAGTTAGTTAGTTAGTTAGTTACCTAATCTACTAACTTAATTACTAACTTACTAACTAATTTACAAACTAACTAGCTAACTAACTTATTAACTTACTACCTAACTAGCTAACTAAATTAAAACTTATTACCCGAGCAACTAACTTACTAACATATTAAGTTAGATAGTTAGTTAGTTAGTTAGTAAGATAGTTAGTTATTAAGTTAGTTACAAAGTTATAACTAACTAACTTACTAACCAACTATCTAAACAACTCAATAACTAAATTATTTACTAACTACCTTACTAACTCACTTAGTAAGTTATTTATCTAGCTAGTTAGTTAGTAAGCTAGCTAACTAACTCACTACCTTAATAAGCTACTATATAACTACCTTACTTAGTAAGTTAGTTAAGAAGTTAGTTAGTAACTAAGTTAGTAATTTAGTAACTATGTTAATAAATTAGTAAGATAGTTATTAATAAGTTCGTTAATAACTAACTTACTAATAATTATCAAACTAACAAATTTACTAACTTAGTTACTACATAAATTAGTTTCTTACTACTTACCTTAATAACCAACTTAGTAAGTCAATAAGTAAGTTAGGAAGTCAGTTAGTTAATAACTAACTTACTTATAACTAACGTACTAAGTAATTAACTTAATAAATAACTAATTTATTAACTTACAAACTAAGTAGCTAACTAACTTACAACCTTAGACACTTACTAACTTACTAAATTAGTAAATTAGTTAGCTAGTTAGTGACAAATTTAGTTAATAACTAAATAAATAACAAACAGACTTACTAACTTACTAACTTATTTAATAACTTAGTTCGGAACAATGTTAATTTGTTACTTATAGTAACTAACTAACTTATTTAATAAGTTAGTTCGGAACTAAGTTAATTTGTTAGTTATAGTTACTAACTTACTAACGAAGTTACTAAATAACAAACTTAGTAACTTACTAACTAGCAAACTTACTAACTTAGTTACTAACTAAATTATTTACTAACTGCCTTAAAAACAAACTTAGTAAGTTACTAACTAAGTTAGTTATTATATTAATTAGTAACTAACTTACTAACTAATTAACTTACTAACTAGCTAACTAACTGAATAACTTACTAACATAGACACTAACTAACTTACTAATTAAGTAACTAACCTACTAACATACTTACTAAACTTAGTAACTTATTAATTAAATAACTCACTAAGTTAGTTACTAAATTAGTAAGTTAATTAGTATCTAACTTACTAACTAATTGACTTGGTAACTAGCTAAATAACTAAATAACTTATTAACTTAGACACTAACTGACTTACTAACTTATACTTATAAACTAATCTACACCTTAGTAAGCAGCTCACTAACAAACACCTTACTAACTTAGTCACAAATAAATTTTTAACTTAGTAAATTACTATAGTAACTATTTTTGTGAATTAGTTAGTTAATTAGTTAGTTAGTAACTAGCTACGTTAATAAAGAAGAGTTACTAACTGAGTTAATAACTTAGTTACTAACTAAGTTACTAACTAAGTTACTAAGTAAGTTACTAACTAAGTTACTAACTAAGTTACTAACTAAGTTACTAACTAAGTTACTAACTAAGTTACTAACTAAGTTACTAACTAAGTTACTAACTGAGTTACTAGGTTAGTAAGCTAGCAAGATAGTTAGTAAGTTAGTTAGTTTGTAAATTAATTAGTAAGTTAGTAGTAAGTTAGTTAGTAACTAGATAACTAACTTATTTACTTAGCGACTAAGTCTGGAAATTCGATAGTTAGTTAGTTATTTAACAAGTTAGTAAGTTAGTGAGTTAGTTAAAAAATAAGTAAGTTAGTTAGTTCTTAAAGTAGTTAGTAAGTCAGTGGTAAGTTAGTTAGTAACCAAGTTTGTTAACTAAGTTACGAAAAAAAACTAAGTTACTAAACAAATTAGTTACATATTTACTTAATAAATAACTTAGTAAGTTAGTTACTAAGTTAGTAAGTTAGTAGGAATTTGGTTAGTAACTAGCTAAGTAACTTACTAAAATAGTTTTAAGTAACTTCCTGACCAACTAAACTTACTATTTTACTAACTAGCTAATTAACTTACTTATTAACTAATTAACTTACTAATTAACTAATTAACTTACTAAATATTTAACTTTGTAAGGGAATAATTTACTAACTAACTTTGTTACTAACTTACTAACTTACTAACTATACTTTAGAAAGTTAGTACGTAACAAAGTTAGTTAGTTAGTAAGTTAGTACGTAACTAAGTTAGTAAGTTAGTAAGTTAGTAAGTTAGTAAGTTAGTAAGTTAGTAAGTTAGTAAGTTAGTAAGTTAGTAAGTTAGTAAGTTAGTAAGTTAGTAAGTTAGTAAGTTAGTAAGTTAGTAAGTTAGTAAGTTAGTAAGTTAGAAAGTTAGTAAGTTAGTAAGTTAGTAAGTTATTGAACAAATTAGTAAGTTATTGAGTTAGTAAATTAGTTAGTAATCAAGTTTGTTAAACACTTAGTATCCTTCTAACTAACTTACTAACTTAGTTACTAACTAACTAATTTACTTAGGTACGAACTATCTTATCAAATTTTTTTGTTACTAAGTAACTTACTGACTTACTAACTTAATTAGTAAGTTACTAATCTAGTATGTTAGTAACATGGTTGCCACAAAATGATAAATATAAGATCCAGGCTTTTTTTCAGGCTTTTCCTGTTCAATACTTATGAAATTCCAGTCAAAAATTAAAAGAATTTCTGGCCTGATAACTTTGTGCTCTCTAAATCTGAATTAGTAGAAAGTTACTAATGAAATGACGAACAGTCTTTCACCAAAAGATTTAGTAATAATTTCACTTACAAATAGTAAAATTTTACTAATTATTAGTAGATTTTACTAATTGCTTTGTAAAATTCTACTAACAATTAGTAGAAATGTTTCATTAATAGTCGGTGAAACACAGTTTCACAAATTCATTTAGTGAAGTAAGTGACATTCAATTAGTGGAATTCCACTAAAACATTAGTAAAATTTTACTATTTCTTAGTAGAATTTTACTAATTAAGATTTAGAGAGTTTAGTTAATTAGTTAATTAGTTAGTAAATTATTTAGTTAGTAAGTTAGTAAATTATTTAGTTAGTAAGTTAGTAACTAAGTTAGTTAGTTAGTTAGTACCTGAGTTAATTATTCATTTGATTCGTAAGCAAGGTTGGTAAGTAAGTTAGGAAGTTAGTATGCCAGTTAGTAACTAAGTTAGGAAGTTATTTAGCTAGTTAGTAAGTTATTTAGTAAATAAGTTAATAAATTATTTCGTAATTTAATTAATTAGTTAGTTAGTTAGTAATTTAGTTCGTAACTAAGTTTAGGAAGTTAGTTAGTTAGTTAGTAAGTTATTTAGTAAATAAGTTAATAAATTATTTCGTAATTAAGTTAATTAGTTAGTTAGTTAGTAATTTAGTTCGTAACTAAGTTACTTTATTAGTGAGTTAATTAGTAAATAAGTTACTTGTAAGTTAGTTACTAATTAACTTACTAAGTTAGTTGCTAACTAACTTACTAAATAACTAACTAACTTACTAAGTTAGTTGCTAACTAACTTACCTACTGACTAAATTACTAAATAACTAACTAACTTACTAACTTAGTTAGTAAGTTAGTTAGCTACTAAGTTAATGAGCTAGGTAGCTAAATACTAACTAACTTAGAAACTTAGTTATTAACTTACTATCTTAGTTACTAACTAACTTAGTAAGTTAGTAACTAAGTTAGTAACTAAGTTAGTAACTAAGTTAGTAACTAACTTAGTAAGTAACTAAGATAGTAAGTTAATAACTAAGTTAGTTAGTAACCTATTTAGTTTAGTTAGTAAGCCGGTTAGTTAGTAACTTAGTTATTTAGTTCGTACCTAAGTTAATTACTTAGTTAGTTAGTAAGTCAATTTGCAAATAATTTAATTTGTAAATTATTTCGTAATCATGTTAATTAGTTGGTAAGTTAGTTAGTTAGTTAGTTAGTTAGTAAGTTAGTTCGTAAGTTAGTTCGTAGTTTGTTAGTTAGTAATCGTTGACATAGTTTTGATTGAAAGTAAAATTTTAGTTGCAAGTCATAGTAAAAAGTGACACCAAAATGGATTATTTTAATTTTTTTTGTGGTAATTTAATCTGCAACGTTTTTTAATACCTCACAATTTACTGTTAAGGAAAAATTGGAATGTTTTTTTATATACTAAAAAATATTTAAAGAAAATCAAATTAATAGAAAGTAAAAATTGATGAAAACCCCTCGAAAAGAGAGGAAATAAGAAAAAGAGAAAGAAAGATGGAAATAAATAGGAAAAAATTGATTAACTAACCAAAAGTAAACATTATATTCATGCAATTCTTTAGTTCATTGTAAAATGCTGTTATCATAAATGCCTTCTCGACTGTTATTTTATTGCCAAGAAAAACATAAGCGACAATTGTGATGAATATTCCAATTCTTGCTGCATACCACTGAAAGGACATGACGATAATATCCACAAAGACACTATTTCTAATCGCCTTTACTTCCTGTCTAGAATAAAAAGAGAAAAATTAAAGCATAAATAATCATTTTTTTTTAAATTTTTAATAAAATAAGAAAATAATTTATTTTCTAAATGGCTAAAGAAGCAGAAAAAAATTATTTAAAAAAATGTGGATAAAAATAAAAAACAAATTTATTAAAAAAAATAAACTTATAAGAAATAATAAATAATATGATAATCGAAAAGTAATGAAAATAAATTCATAAAAAATTATTCAACAAAGAAAAAGAAATAAAAAGTTGAAAGAAATTTATAAAAATAATCACCAATAAATAGTAGAAAATAATATAAAAGTTAGTGAATAAAAATAAGAAATAGTAAATTAAGTAATAATACAAAAGTCACAAAAGAAAATTTATAAATATTAATAATTTAATAATAATAATTATAAAGAATAATTGTTAAATGTTATTAAGAATAATTATTTAACAAAAAAAGGAGTAAAAAAATATTTAAACAAATTTGTAAAAATAATTAGAAATTTAATAATTAGGTAAGTAGAAAATAATAAAGAATAAAAAATAAATAAAGTAATAAATAATAAATAATAACAAAATAAAATTAATAAATAATAAAATAATAAAAGTACCGTGATGATAAATTAAAATGTTATTGATTCCAATTTTGAAAAAAAAATTGTTTATTAAAAATTTTTTATTAATCACAATTATTATGTGCCAGAATTTTTAAATAAAAAATTAAAAAACAAACTGATAATAAACACATTTAAAAATTTTTTAAATAGAATAAAAGAAAAATTCTAAACAATCAAAATAAAATAAGAATGTTTGGATGGAAATATTGACAAAAAAAAAACCTTGTAAAAATTAATTGGGCGATGGCTCTTAGTAAATGACACTTTTTTCTGAATTTCATCAGCTTCTTTTTTAGGACACATAGAGAAGAAATAGAGTTTTTTTAATGATAGTATTTTATGATTTGTTTTTTTTTTATAATCTGATAGTAGATATTTTTGAAAAAATAAGATTTTTCTTTATGTATTAGTGTGTAATAGAGGTGGAAAGTAATGAATAATGATGCTCTGAAGTAGGTAATGGATAATTCCTCTGCAATTTTAATGTTAGAGTAAATTTCTTTTTGTTGTAGTTCTTATTTTTTATGAGAGAAAATAAATAAAGCCGGTTTTTTATGACAATAATTAAAAACTACCCAAAGTGTCACGTAATAAGCAAATTTTTTAAAAATTTTTCTTCAAAACTTAACTCGTCCGCAATTTGAATTCTTGAAATTTGATTCAAGATTTGTATTCAGCGACCCCAAAAACCCCCGAGTAGTAAATTTCAAGCGTGTCCAAGCAATTTTTAAAAAACTCGTCCGCCATATTGGATCCGACATTTTGAATTTTTTGAATTTAACTTTAGTTTCGTAATCAGCGACGCCGAAAATCTCCGAGTAACAAGTTTTATAAATTTGAGCAATTTTAATTCAATTATTATTTTCTAGAATTTTTCACTAAAATTTTTCTCTAAATCAATTATTTTTATTAATTTTTAAAAAACTTTTTTGAGAATTTCCAAATCTATTTGTTTAAAATTAAATTTTACGAAATTTCAATTATTCGAAAGTCCTTCAATTAAATATATATTAGAAAATAAAAATTTCAAGTAATTTAAAAAAAAATTCAATTAAACATTTCCAAAAAAATTAATTCTACAGAATTGTCAGTTAAAAGAATGAAAAATTCAAATTTTCAATGATTTTAATTTGAAACCTGTTTCAAATTAACTAAAATTTTAACGAAAATTTATTTTTAAATCAATTTTTCTTAGAAAATTCTATGAGAATTCAATTATTTAAATACACAAATAAATAATTTATTGAATAATAATTGAATGTTTTTCATATGAATTCTCCAAGAGAATTTTATCAACAAAATTTTAAATAATTCAATTGTTTTGACGAATTGTAATAAATTTTTTAACATTAATTACATTTTTCGAGGAATTCAATTAATATTGTATTAAAAATAATTGAATCCCTGTAAAACAATGTATTATTTATGAAACTAATTGATTATTGCGAAGAAAATAAAAAATTTGTAAAATAATATAATAATTTAATAAAATTTTTAAGAATAATTATTATTTTCATAAATAATAAAATTCTTCTCAGAAATTTAATTATTTTTTACAAAAATTGATAAATTCTTTAATTATTTCTTTAATTCTTCACGAGAATTCAATTATTTCAAAAACCGAATAAAATTATTCGCAAAAATTCAATTACACAGGTCAACAAAAAAAGACTTACTTTTTTTTTATGAGATAGCGGAATGGTTTCCTATGTATTTTTGCACGCTGAACACGATCCCGACTTCCAAAATTGCCCATCACGTCAGGATTTTGAGAAAAGTGGGGATAAAGACCCCAAAAACGCTTTTTTGAGGAATTTCAACATTTATTTTCCCTTTAACCTGACGTGCTAGAGACTTCCACAAGGTCTTAAATTAAAGCTTGTAATGTGCACTAAAAGACCAATATCCATAAAATAAAAAAAAATTAAAATTTTTTTCAAAAAATGGGATTGAAGACACCAAAAATTTGTGTTTTTGGATTGCTTTAATAGACTTTTTGCAATTGCTTGGATTCGCATGAAAATGGTTACTTGGGGTTTTTGGGGTCGCTGATTACGAATCCAATATTAGTTTGCAAAAATTAAAAATGGCGGATTCGTAATCAGCGACCCCAAAAACCCTGAAATAACAATTTTCAAGCGAATCCAAGCAATTCTTAATTCTTACATCTGCTATCTTGGTTTCGCCGTTTTAAATTTTTGCAAACAAATATTGGATTCGTAATCAGCGACCCGAAAACCCCAAGTACCCATTTTCAAGCGAATCCAAGCGATTGCAAGAAGTCTATTAAAGCAATCCAAAAACACAAATTTTTGGTGTCTTCAACCCCATTTTTTGAAAAAAATTTTAATTTTTTTTATTTTATGGATATTGGTCTTGTAGTGCACATTACAAGCTTTAATTTAAGACCTTGTGGAAGTCTCTAGCACGTCAGGTTAAAGAGAAAAGAAATGTTGAAAATCCTCAAAAAAGCGTTTTTGGGGTCTTTACCCCCACTTTTCTCAAAATCCTGACGTGATGGGCAAATTTGGAAGTCGGGATTGTGTTCAGCGTCCAAAAATACATAGGAAACCATTCCGCTATCTCATAAAAAAAAAGTAAGTCTTTTTTTGTTGACCTGTGTTATTTTCATAAATAATGAAATTCTTCTCAGAAATTCAATTATTTTTCGAAAAATTGATAAATTCATTCTCTAATTCTTCACAAGAATTCAATTATTTTCCCAAATAATAAAATTCTTCACAAGAATTCAATTATTAGCCCAAATAAAATTATTAACGAAAATTCAATTATATAAAAAAAATTAAATAAAATTCTTCGCAAACATTAATTAATTTTCATAAATAATACAATTCTTTTCAGTAATTCAATTTTTTTTTAATTAATAAATTCTAGAATTCTTTCTTTAATTCTTTACGAGAATTCAATTATTTAAAAAATAATTAAATAAAATTAATCGCAGAAATTCAATTACTTTCATAAATAATAAAATTCTTCTCAGAAGTTCAATTATGTTTCGAAAAATTGATAAAAATTCATTCTTTAATTCTTCACAAGAATTCAATTATTTTGCCAAATAATAAAATTTTTCACGAGAATTCAATTATTTAAAAAAAAAATTAAATTAAATTCTTCGCAAAAATTCGATTATTTCCATAAATAATTAAATTCTTCGCAAAAATTCAATTATTTTTATAAATAATTAAATTCTTCTTAGAAATTCAATTATTTTTTAAAAAATTGATAAATTCTTGAATTCTTTCTTTAATTCTTCACGAGAATTCAATTATTTAAAAAAAATTAAATAAAATTCTTCTCAAAAATTCAATTACTTTCATAAATATCGAAATTCTTCTCAGAAATTGAATTATTCTTTAAAAAATTAATAAATTCTTTATAAAAATTAAATTGTTTGAAAAACTGTAATAAAACATTTAAATTTTCACTTTGGAAAATTATTAATTTATTTTCTTAATTCCAGTGAACAATTTAAATTAAATTTTATTAAATAATTTTATTTGTTTACTTTTAAAAATAACTTTTAAATACAATTGTATTTTTTAGGATAAAAATTTAGAAAGTAATTGTATTTTTCAAAAATTTAGAAAGTAATTGTATTTTTCAAAAATTTAGAATTAAAGTTCTCAGCAGGATTAGAATAAAAAAAATAAAAATAAATATTTTTGATTGAAATCAGGAAACAGTCAGGGAAATATTGTACTAAATTTCATTAAAATTTATTTTTGATAGCTACTTACTTTTTTTACTACTTTTTTCAGTATTAAAGCTACTTTTTGATATACTTTTTTAAAATTCATTATTGAGTGTGAAGTCTGTTTTAATAAAAGTCCCTGACTTTTCCCTAATTTCTCTGACCAATTCTACTTTCCCTGATGTTTTCCTGAATTCCCTAACTTCCCCGATCCAAATGTCCGCCATTTTGGATCCGCCATTTTGAATTTTGTGAAATTTGAAAATTTGACTTTAGATTCGTAATCAGCGAATCCAAAAGCTCCCTAGCAACAATTTCCTCACTTAGTGAAAATTATTAGAAAATACTTAGTGAAAACAATAAAAAAAAAAAAAAAAAAAATAGAAATTAATTATAAATAAACAACTTACTCTCTTGCTTTATTGACAAGATAAGCAAATGGCTTCTCCCATGCATACATTTTAATGACCTGTATGCCCATTATTATTTCATTCATTATACGAAGACGCTCGTCTGTTTTCGATGCTGCTCTCAACGTCAATTTTGAGACATATTTTGATACTGAACCTTGCAATGGAACAAGTATTAATAATACTATAACGCCAAACACTGCCGATAACTCAACTTCCGTGTACATTAAATAGAGAATAATAATTGTTTTTATTGGACCAATCCACAAGTAATTGAAACAAACCAAAATGAGCTCCAAGGCCATTACATCGTTACTCAAGTAATTGACAATCTACAATAAATTGTGAAATATTTCAATTTTTTTTCATATTCTTTAATTCTTGTTTAATTGGTTTTTTTATGTTTTAATATAAAAATTTTTATTATTTTTTTAATAATTTATTTATTACTTTCATTTGTCTCTTTGTTTATTTATTAATCAACACATTAAATTTTTCATTAACAATTATTTATTTATTTATTTATTTATTTTATTTATTTAAGTATCAATTATATTTATTCATAAGCTCGTCAATTAGTTATTTACATAATAATTTGTTAACTAATTAAATTTGTTTATTTATTTATCAACACATTAATTTATTCATTTAAAATTATATTTATTAATATTCTAATCAAATTGTTATTTACATAATAATTTGTTTATTTAATTAAATTATAAATTTATTTATTTACTAATATATTATTTTACTATTAATAGCTTAAATTATTAATTTACAGATTGTTTTATATATTGAATAGCATATTAAATTGTTTATTAATTATTTATTTATTTATTAATCAACTTTTTAATATTTTAACTAATTTTATTTGTTTTTTTAATTAAATTATGAATTTATTTATTTATTTATTTATTTATTTATTTATTTATTTATTTATTTATTTATTTATTTATTTATTTATTTATTTATTTATTTATTTATTTATTTATTTATTTATTTATTTATTTATTTATTTATTTATTTATTTATTTATTTATTTATTTATTTATTTATTTATTTATTTATTTATTTATTTATTTATTTATTTATTTATTTATTTATTTATTTATTTATTTATTTATTTATTTATTTATTTATTTATTTATTTATTTATTTTACCTGTCCAGCAGTTGTTTCAGTTTTCGATGAACTCGATGTCCTTAAAAGTTTTCTATAAATCAGAGCGCACAATGAGACTCGAAATTTCATTCCAAGTATAAGCATTTTATAAAGTCCAAGTTGAAAAAATGGTCCAGATAAAAAAAAACATAAAATCAAGCCAGTCGACCAATAATATGCCTCTTCAACTGGCATGTTATTTTTATTTCCATTGTAGTAGCTCAACATTTTGCCAAGAAAAATTGGTATCGGTAACCTGTCAAAAAGAAAATTTAATGTATCGTCAAAGAAATAAAAATTGTCCGCCATATTGGATCCGCCATCTTAAAATTTTGAAACTCAGACTTTCAATTCTACTCTGGCAGTTAAAATATGAGAAAATTATAAATATTATGAATGTTAATTAATAATAATATAAATTATCATTATTAATTATAATAATAATAATTATTATTATTATTATTATTATTATTTAAATAAAATATGTTTTGATTCAAAAGATGTTTTTGATTAATAATATTATTATTATTATTATTATTATTATTATTATTATTATTATTATTATTATTATTATTATTATTATTATTATTATTATTATTATTATTATTATTTTTTTTTTTTTTTTTTTTTTTTTTTTTTGCTTAGGGAATTTTGGGAAATCTGTTTACAGATACCTTGGATTCCGCACTCCAAGGTTATGTGGGGTTGGTAAAATAAAAAAAAAGGGAATTTAAAAAAAAGGATAAATAAATAAATGTTATAATAAATTTAATAAACTGGCGACCTACTACCAGCCCGGCCCACTAAAACCCGTAACCCTTCTTTTGGAGCCCTTTACCCTCCCTCGGAACTGTCGTAAGACTTTAGCCTTCGAGGGAGGCGCTCCAACTCTATCGCTGCTGCGACTTTGTTCTGTGTCTGCGGTTCTCCTGCGTCAATAGTTAAAAAATTTAAAACTATTTCAATATAAAAGCGGAATTAACAGCACAACAACAATAAAAAACAAAAATTTTAAGAAGTTTAAAAAGTCAAAAGACAAAATTATAAACGGATATATAAAAAAAATAAAAATAAACGCGTATAAAATATTGAAAACATAAAATTGTACAAAGATGAATAAAAAAAACAAAACAAATTAAAAAAAATGTATAGGGACAAATAAATCACAAAATAAATTAATAAAAAACAAACAAACAAATTAAAAGCTGTTTAAATTACGCTTTTTGGCGGCCGTCGAGATCCTTCCTCGACATAACCGAGATTATGAAGTTCTCGACTTGCCGCCAATTCTCTTCCGACTGGGTCATCAGCGATACCATATTCTCCGGTGTAACTTGACTGTTTACACCTTCGAACATGGCCCGCCTCTCCAAGTCCCATTTTTTGCATGAGAAGAGGGTGTGCTCCGCGTTGTCCTCAGGGAACTGGCAATATGCACACACCTCGTTCTCGCGTAATTTAAAGCGACACAGGTACGAGTTAAAACACCCGTGACCTGTGAGCGCCTGAGTCAAATAATAGGAAACCTGACCGTGTTTCCTATTTATCCAGGTGGCGAGTGCCGGGATAAGGCGATAGGTCCATCGACCTTTTCCCTCACCATCCCATCTTTCCTGCCATCTTTCTATGAGCCTGTGCCTCGCTTCTTTGCGGATCAGGCCCTTGCTTGGTCTTAATTCCTCATCCCAGGAACTGCTTTCTTTAGAAAAGAGAAACATTTCTTCCCTTTCCCTCGCCAAGAGATCTGCTGGCGGGACACTTGCAAGGACCTGCACAGCACTCGTAGATACCGTCTTATATGCAGAGATGATACGCGTTGTTATCGATCTCTGCGCCGACAGTATCTTTTCACAGATGGTAACACATCTTTTACTCCTCAGGGATGGGGCCCACGCTGGTGCTGCATAGAGCATTTTAGCGTGGGCGACACTCGCCACCAGTCTTCTTTTTTGTTCACGGGGTCCGCCAACATTTGGCATTAACCGTGAAAGATTAGCCGCACACTCGATCGCCTTATTCGACGCCGTAGCCATGTGGTGGTGGAAGTTTAACCTTCCATCCAACTCCACACCAAGGTATTTAATTTGTTTACTCCACTTGACCTCGAATCCGTCTATCACGATTCGTGGGAGCTCATAACCACGTCTGTCTGTGACTAGCAGTGCCTCGGTCTTTTCCAGGGCCATTTCAAGACCTCTGGTATCCAGCCAGCTTTTTGCTAGTCGCAGACATTCGTTCACCAATGTCCCAAGAGCCTCCTCACTCTCGGCAGTGCACACGAACAACGCGTCGTCCGCAAAGCCGATGATCATCGCACCTTCGGGCAGATCCATTCGCAGAAAATCATCGTAAGATACATTCCATACAAATGGACCTACCCTCGAGCCTTGAGGAGCCCCACGCTGCATCTCTTCCCTGAGAGTGCAGGTGTCTCCCTCATATATAACCCACCTGTCGCTAAGATAATTATCCATTATCCGCAACAAGTAGGGCGGCATGTTTTTCTTTTCCATCGACTCGATGAGATCTTTCCATCTTGCGGAATTAAACGCGTTGCGTATGTCAATTGCTACCAACGCGCAGAAGCTCTTCTTTTTCCCAGGTCCCAATTTGTTTTTTCCTGCTTTGGCTATGTCCACAACTGCCTGGATGGCATCAACTGTGGACTTGCCTTTACGGAAACCAAATTGGTAATCGGATAGACGATTCTCTTCGGTCAAGTGGCCCTGCATTCTCTGGAGAACCATATCCTCTAGAAGTTTACCCATCGTATCTAGCAGGCATATAGGCCTGTACGATGAAACCTTATCTAGAGGTTTTTCACCTTTCCTTAGGAGGACTAACCTCTGTCGCTTCCAGTCGCGGAAGAACTCTCCTCTCTCAAGGCAAAGATTGAAGCATCGAAGCAGAATCTGGGGTGAAGTGTCGATTACCAACTTTAGGATCTCGTTACTTATCCCATCGATTCCAGGCGCCTTGCCTGTTTTTAATCTTTTGCCTGCTTTTTTCAGTTCACTAAGTGTGAAGAGTTCTTCCTCTTCGACTTTGCAAAAACTCCAGTCCCTTCTAAGGTATGGTTCTGCAGGAGGAAACAAAGAACTTATTATCTTTCTGACCCAATCGGGATTGTCCAGGCCGGGGGTCTTTTGCCTCGTCACTAATTTCTTAGTTACGATTTTAAAAGCCAGACCCCATGGGTCCTTATCGACCTCCTCGATTAGGTCCTTCCAGCTACGGCGTCGCGACTTGCGGATCTCTTTCTTGAGGTCCTTTTTCGCCTCCTTGAAAGCCTCTTTCAGCAAGGGATCTCCCTTAGAACGGGTATATGTCCTTCTTGCTTTGAGGCATTCCTTTCTCAAGGAGGACAGTTTTTCTGACCACCAGTGCAAGGATTTTTTCCTTGGAAAGGCGCCTTTGCGACGTGGCATCGACGCATTGCAAGCGGTGACGATTATATTTCGCACCGCTCGCACCTCTCCATTTAGACTTTTCGGCCTCCTCACCCAACCAGAATCCTCAATTAAGATAGATTCTTTTAGGGACCGGCTGAACTTCTCCTTGTCGAGTTTCTTAATGTTCCACGAGAAGGTTTTGCGACTAGGAGCTTCCTGTCTCTTTCCTCCTCGTGTGTCTCCCATTGAGACTGAGAACTCAATGTACTGGTGGTCACTTGCTGTATATTCCTCAGAGACCCGCCAGTCGCTTATGCGGCTAAATATATTAGACGATGCTATCGTTAGATCTATTATCGATCCGATCGCACCTCGTCTAAACGTCCATGTTTTTCCCCGGTTTACAACTAATAAATCGTTCTTGGAGATCATTTCTCCAATCAGAATTCCTCTCTTGTCGAGCCTCGTCTCACCCCACTCTGGCGACTTTGCATTAAAATCGCCAGTGATGATGACATCCAGCTTGGATTCTATGAGGCTCGATTCTAGGTCTTCTATATTGGCTTCGAAGGTGGTCAGCGGGTCGTTGGGTGAGAAGTAGCAGCTATACATACGTATGTTAGCCACCTCTATCCACACAAACCCGCTGCTTGTCTCCAAGAACTTGTCAACCCGCAATTCTGGGTTGCACAGCTTGATGGCGGCTCTCTTCGCCTTATCCTGATACCAAGGTGCGAGGTCGCTTCCTAGATACTGCTCACTGCAGAACAGGATATCGACCTCATTTTCCCTTGCTGTTTGCATTAGGAGCAACTGTGCATCCTTACTTGTATGCAAGTTGACCTGCAAAAATTTTAAGGATTTGCCCTTTTAATCTTTTGCAGTTCTTCTCTGTAAACCGGGCAGGCTCTCTTTCCGGAATCGTGATCCGTCTCTGGCTTTCCCAGGTCCAAGCATGTAAGGCACTTCGGCTTAACTTTACAGCTCTTCGCGAGGTGTCCCTCTCCGCCGCATCTCCGACAGTTTTTGCTTCTGTCGGGGCCTTTGCAGGTTCGGGTTGAGTGTCCGTATGCTAGGCACTTTTGGCACCTAGCTACTTCAACATGCTCGCGAATTGGAGCATTTATCCAGCCGATTTTTATTTTACCAAGCTTTAGCAGAGTGTTACTTTCTGCCTCTGTCAGACGTACCAGAGCAACCTTAGTTCCTCTGTATCGCGGCAAAAGTCGACACTCCATCTTCAGGTCGGGTTTACCCAGCTTTTCTCTTAGTGCTGCAGTTACCTCATCCTCTGAGGTGGCTTCGTCCAAATCCTTAATCTCTAGAGACCTTTTATTCACTAGAGGTGTGACCTCAGCTTTACCATGCAGGGCCGAAGACAGTGCATCTGCAAATTTTAAGGTCTCTCCGCCCTTTTTCACTATCACGAGAACCTCCTGTTTAAAGGTTCTCCTGATTTTCCGGATCACGGTACCCGTATCTTCTGGGTTTACCTTTGCTTTTAGCAGCGGCAAGATACCCTCATAAAGCTTTGGGTCGCTTGCCGTAATTTTAACAGCTTCCGTGCTCCTCAGCTTCAAAGGGGGCTTCGGAAGCTCTTTTTTCTCACCTGAGGGTTTCTCTTTTGGAGTCCGTTTCTTTTTGCTTTTAACAACTTTGAAGCCGTCCTTATTGTCCGCTCCGTCCTTTAAAACGGTCTCAGCATACGAACTGCCAGGACTATTTAAGGGCGCCTCTTTCGTTCCATCTAGCGACTCAGAACCAAGCTGTGGAGCATCCTTTCGCTTAATTCTTTTCCCGCTTTGAGTCGCCCGTTGCGGACTCGCATCTGGGCTTGCACCTTCCCTGGGGCGCTTATTAACGCCCTTTGCCTTATTAGGGCGTGCAGTTACGCCGTCCAGAGCTGTAGTAGTGCTCTCCGTCTGATCTCGAGCTCCCACAGTTGGATGTTGCGGCGCCTGGTCTTTGAACGGCTCGGGGATAAAACGTAAATTCTTACAAATTGTTAAGAACGAACTCTCCAAAACCGCCACGCCATCCTGGATGTCACGACTGACGTTCTTTTGGCGCTTGAATGCCTGGTACACGCTCTTAAAAATCCCGGGAATAGCCAGAAACTGATTTGCGACATTTGATTCGTAGCATGTCAGCTGGCTATCTATTTGGCTCCCTCCAAAATCCTTGGAGCCATCTGCACCGACTATCGGGGCTTGCACCCGATCAGAATCGGTGGTGGGATTACCCTCTTTCGAGGTACCCACTTGGAGTATTTCGTTTAAAATTTTGTCCATTTCATTTGTGTTTTTTTTAATTCTTTGTCCCGTGTCGAGGGACAATCGGGCCTTAACAGGGTACTACCATCTGGCCAAGATGGGCCCTGAACCGCCTCCGTTAGTTACATAGACGTTATAGCATTGCCGGAGCATTGATGCGACGTCTATGATATCCAAGGGCACGTGAACATGTGTGTTCGGACGTGGAGGTCGATGTGTCTCTCCAAGATAGCAGGAAGTTTCCGCAAAGGGAGTGCATCCTGGTATCTCTTCACAGAGTTTACCCTCATTATTATTATTATTATTATTATTATTATTATTATTATTATTATTATTATTATTATTATTATTATTATTATTATTATTATTATTATTATTATTATTATTATTATTATTATTATTATTATTATTATTATTATTATTATTATTATTATTATTATTATATTATTATTATTATTATTATTATTATTATTATTATTATTATTATTATTATTATTATTATTATTATTATTATTATTATTATTATTATTATTATTATTATTATTATTATTATTATTATTATTATTATTATTATTATTATTATTATTATTATTATTTATTAATAATAATAATAAACATTTGAAAATTATTAAAATAAAAATAATTATAAAAATTGTTAAAAATTAATAACAAAAATTATTTGATTTAAAAAAAATTGAGAAAGAAATTAATTAGTAAAAATTTTTAAAAAGTACTTAATTAATAAAAATGAATATAAAAAAAGTAATAAAAAAATATTATTTAAAGTTAAAAAAATAGTAATAAAAATTGCAGAAAGTAATGTAATTAGTAAATAAAAATTGTATGCCTTTATTTTCATTACCTGATGCAAATTTCTGAGAAACATTGCAATAATCCAATTGCAAATACTTCAAATCCAAAACATTTAAAAAGTGCTCTCCATATACTTGGTTTGAAATTTGCTTTTTTCTTTTTAAAATATCCCTCTGACTGCCAAATATTATCTAAATTTTCACCTAAATTATGACTCGAATGAGAATTTAATGGCACAAAAAGATCCTCCTCAACTAAATCCCTTTTAAATCCATCGCGAAAATATTTTAAAACCCATCTAAAAATAAATAATTTTTAATAATTAATAAATTTCAGTTTTTAATTGGAAACAAAAGATCCTCTCCATTTTTGTCAATTAATTTATATTTCAAGTTTAATTTAACAATTAAAAATCATGAAATCGTTGAAAAAAAAATATTATTGAAAAGTAAAATGAAAAAAAAAAAATTTTAATTTTAATTTTTAATTAAAAATTTCTTTTTAAGAAAAAAAAATTTAAACTCGAAAATTTATAATAAAAAACGTTTAAATAAAAAATAAGAATTATAAAATTGGCAATTTATACAAACAATGTTTTAATTAAAATTGAAAAACTTCAAGACTGAAAATAATAAAAACTAAAAGCTTAAATCGAAAATTTTTCATTAGGAAATTAAAATTCAAAATTGTAAAATAATGAAAAAAGAAAGGTCAATTTTTAATTAAAAAATAATAAAAGAAAAACAAAATTTTTTTCAACTTACGAAAATGTTAATGATGACAGTAGATTTATTCCCTCTTGTGGATTTTTCTGATTATTTTTTCTATTTTGATACATTTTTCCTTTTTTTTTTTTTTTTTTAATTTACAATAATAAAAAAACTTAAAAATTTTATTTACACTGAAAAATAAAAAATTACACAATTATTTTAATATAGAAACAATTATTTTTTTAAACAACACTTTCTTAAAATAAATACACAAAATAAATAAGTAAATATTTTAAATACTTTATAAAATACTTAAAATACTTTTTAAATAAAAAAAAAAAAAATTTCGATGTAATTGTCAAGTGTTGTGCAGTGCAAGTCTGAAAATTTATAATAATTTTCTCATTATATGTGTAAGACGCACACAATGGATCACGTGTAAATAATAGATTTATTAGTTGGAGATGTTAGTCAAATATAAGAGATACAGTTTAGAAATGAAAGAAGGAAAAAATATATACGTATATATAAATATACTTATTTCACGTTTATTCTATTTTATATCGAGTATCGTAAAATTAATAGCTTGGAAATTGTACTTAAAGAATGTCAATGACAAAGTTAATAACTTCAAAACGTTTAATAGAAATTTAATAGAAATTTAATATAGAATTTTACACAATTTTTTTTTTTTAATTTACATAATTTATAATAAAAATAGAAATAATAATTTTCTATCAGGATCTCATTTATAACATAATATTTCTATATAGAGGGAAATTGTTTAAAAAATTTTTTTTAAATTTTATAATTTGTAATGGGCGAAGGCAAAAATATTTCAAACAATTCGCGCGCTGATGCGCTGATGCGCGCGACCAACACTTTTTTTTTACTATTTTATATAAAATTAACAATTTTAAAAATTTATAATTCAAATTTTTTTTTATAAAAATAAAATTGGATTGGAATTTAATTTTATTACTAGGTACAATGAAAATTTTTAATGAACTAATTATTTTCAAAGTTGTCAATGAATTAATTCTTGAATATTATTTTTCGTAAAGTTAGTCTTAATATAGTAAGCAAGAAAAAATAATAAAATTGTTACAAAGAAAGGTTTAATAATAAATTTTTTTCCTTATTTTAAAAAAAAATTTAAATATTTTATACCAAATTTGTGATTAAAACATAGGAATTATGCAAATATTTTTCTTCATTTTCTAAAACAAACTTATAATTTTATGAGCAAAACAAATTAAAATAATAAATTGTTTAAAACTAATCTAGATATTTGTTTTAAAGTAGTTAATAATAAAAATTTTGAATTTATTGTAAAATAAAAAAAAAATAATTACAATAAAATCTATAAAGACTTAACGACGAAAAACAAAAGAATATGTTTTTATTTTAAAAAAATAAAATGTTTTTCATTTTTAAATTATAATGTCAAATTGTGAATTTAAAAATTTTTTAAATCTCAATATCAATATCGTTTATTTAATTTTTTAAATAAATATTAATATTTTTCTGAAATTAGTTAAAATAATTACTGTTATAATATAATAATTCTGTCCTCACGTGAAATTAGGGATTTATGATTCCAAATTGTTTTACAGTTCGAATTATCATGAAAAATGTTTGAAAGTTTTCATTTGTAAATAGTGACTACAATAAGTATTAAAATATTTTATTTAACAAAAATTGTTCTAATTTTAAATAATAAAATTTAGAAATTCTGACAAAAAAAAAGTTTTAGAAAAATTGTAATTAAAATTTTCTCAAGATAGTTGAATTCCTGAAAATAATTTTAAAAATTGAAACAATTGGAATTTTTGTCAAATATCATTATAAAAAAATTTTAATTTTAATGAATTTTAATTTTGTTGAATTTAAAAAATATTTTTAAATATATATATATATATATATTTAAAAATATTTTTTAAATTCTTTTTTTTCTATTTTAAATTAATTAGATATTTATTAAAATTAGAATTTTTTAAATTCAAATTCTTCTGTTTTTCTTCAATAAAAAAAACTCTGAAGTTAGCTTTTCTGTCAAAAAAGAAAAACAAGTTACTTAAAAAGAACTGTTATTAATCTATATATATAGTTTTAAATATCAGATTGTAAGAAGAATTCCTTATTTTCTCTGTGCCTAAGATTTATTTATTTACAATGAATAATTCACCAACAATTTTAAATACAGAATTGTTTAATTCATTTTTTCTTCGAAAAACAATTAATTTTACACAGGTTGAAATTATTTACTCTATTATTATCACTATTATTCCTATTTTTATTTTTATTAATATCATTTTTATTAATATCATTTTTATTATTATTATTATTATTATTATTATTATTATTATTATTATTATTATTATTATTATTATTATTATTATTATTATCATTATCATTATTATTATTATTATTATTTATTATTTATTATTTATTATATTTTAAGGCCATTGAAACGAATGTGAAAATAAAAAGGACAAGAACTCTTGCAACATTTATTCCAGATGAAATCATTTTTTCCACTGAACCAATAAAGAAAATTTTACGTAAATTTTCTGGAATTTTATTATTAGTTGATATTTCAGGTTAGAAATTATTATTGTTTATTGCTATTAATTATTTATCTATTTATTATTAAAAATATAAATTAGTAAATTCATTATTTATTTCATTTTACTTTTTTTTTCTTTCCTTCTTTATGTTTTATACATATATATGTATAATTTTCCATTTTAAAATAAAAAATTCCTAATTTTTTTCTATTTTTAATTCAAGATTTGCTGAAAATAACTGAAATTTTCACTGGCGGGGAGAATGGTGGTTGTTTTGGATTTGCGAATGTTTTAAATAATTATTTAAGCGTTATTATTGAACAAATCAACTTTCACGGTGGTGATGTTCTTAAATTTACAAGTAAGACGTTTTTAAGAATAATAATAATATTAATAACAATAAAAAAGAATATTAATAATAATAAAAAAGTAATTATAAAAATAATAATAGTAAAAATAACAATACCAATAAATATAAATTATTATTCGAATAGTTATAAACGAGGTTATAAATTACATTTACAAATTATTATAATAAATAATAATTATAATAATACAATAAAAATAATAACAATAATAATAATTTTTTATTATTAATTGTTCTATTATAATTTTATTTATAATTTTTTTATTTTATTAAATTATTATAGTTTATTATTAATTTCCATTATTATTAATATTAATAATAATAATAATAATAATAACAATTTTTATTATTATTTTTATGGTTATAATTATTATTAATACAAATTATACAGTTTTTTTTATTGGATTTGAATATTAAAAATATAAATCAAAATTAATGACTGAGCAAAATAAATAGAAGATGCGAAAAAAATGTAGTTAATATTTATTTATGTGCTATAAATGTATTTAAAAAAGAATTCTTACCATTTTAAAAATAACAAAATAAATCACATTTTTTTTACACAAACATTTTACACATGATAAAAAATAAATTTTTTTTTTTTACTCTTAAAAGAGACAAAATTTTTTGTTTTTCTTCCAATTAAAATCTTTTCATCAACTAAACTATTTAAAAGCAGATGTCACTCGAATTGGCAGAGAGAACTACTACACTAAACGCAAATTACAAATAGTTATATAAAAGTATGAAGGAGCAAAATATTGTGAAATATACGAAATAAACACACACAAACAAATATAATAAACCACACATCAATACACATTAGCCTTGAAAATTTTTAAAATTGTTACTGGATCAATAAATTTTTATTATGAAAAATTATAAAGTGCAGTGTGTAGTCAGTAGAAAAAAAAGGATAAAATAAATTGAACAAATATTTTATTGCAAAAAAAAAATAAATATTTTTATTTTTCCATGTAGTTTCAAATTTTTTTTTTTTAATATTTAATTCAATAAATTTTTTTTCACATTACAAGTTTTTTTATAATATTAAATATTTTTAATTTTCTATTTAAAAATTTAAAATTTTCTATTTTAAATAATCGAATATTTTAAAAATAAAATACAAAAAAAAAATTAATTTTCAATATCATTTTTCTATCGAAATAAAATTTTTTCTTTTAAACGAAATAATAAAAAGAACCAACCCACAGAGATACATTGTTGATCTGGACACGCAGAGATTAAACAAAGAACAAAAATATTCATAATCACGAGAGAATATATTTATAATAATTTATAATAATACAAAAGAATAATCAAAGTAAATAGAACATTTTTTAATAAAAAAATTTGTTTAATAAAAACATTTTTAAAAAAAAAATTTGTTTAATAAAAATATTTGTTTAATAAAAACATTTTTAAAAATATTAAATATTAAAAAAAATTCAATTTCAAATATTATCTTCAATTTTTTAAAATAACATAAAATTGTTTTTTACTTTTCTATACCTAATCGAAATTAAAATTTTTCAATTAAGGGCATTTAAACCATTTTATGACGTCACAGTTTATTCAAAGCATTTATTCTAAAACTATGACGTCAGAATGGTTTGAATTCTCTAAAGCAAAATTATTTTATTTTTATTTAAAAAAAAAAATAAAATTTATACAATTTTTTGTTTAATATATACTTACAAATATCTTATTTGTTTGTTAAATAGATGATGGCTTATTAGTTTTATGGAAAGTCAGTAAGAATATTTTAATATTTCAATTAATTGAAAATGTCATTGTTTGCGCTCTTAGCATTCACGACAGTTTAAAATACGTCAACAATGAGACGCTTTTATTCTTAAAAGGTAAATCCGTTCGATTTTTCACATTCCTCTCTTTTTTTTTAAAAAAAAAAAGATAAATCATCATTTTTTATGAATTCTTTTACATAGTGTTACGTAACACTATATTACAGGAATTTACAGAAAATTACGAAAAAATTCCATTTTAATACGTAATATTACATAAAGTTACAGAATATTACACGAAATTAGAGAATATTACCTCATAATACAGAATATTACATGAAATTACAGAAAATAACATAAAATTACAGAATATTACACGAAATTAAAGAATATTAGATAATATTACATGAGAATACAGAATATTACGTAATATCACAGAATATTACATGAAATTACAGATTATTACGTAATAATATAGAATATTACGTAATATTATAGATTATTACATGAAATTACAAAATATTATACAAAATTAAAGAATATTACGTAATATTACTTAATATTACAAGAAATTACAGAATATTATATGTAATTACAAGATATTAGACGAAATTGCAGAATATTACACGAAATTAAAGAATATTACGTAATATTACATGAAAATACAGAATATTACAAGAAATTAAAGAATATTACAAAATATTACAGAATATTACATGGAATTACAGAATATTACGTAATATTATAGAATATTATACGAAATTACAAAATATTACCTAATATTTCCTTTTATTAATGATTACGATAAAATATTACTTTTTACTACAGAATTATACGAAATATTGCCGTTTAGTAAAAAATACTATACGTAATATTACTTTATTTATTATAATTATTTATATAATTTATTAAATTTTAATTTTACTATTAAATATAAATAATAAAAATATAAATTAATTAATAAAGTAAGAAAAAAGTAGTAAAGAAAGGAAAAAAAGTAATAAAATTTGTAAATAGAAAACTTCTTGCACAACACAGCTGATGTTGGAATTTAAAAAAAAATCATTTTTTTAGTTAAAACTACAATATCGACAGGTCATGTGATTTTCTCAGTGATAGGAAATGAAGAGAATCGATATTATGTCATTGCTGGTTCACCAGTAACTGAAGTGAAAAGTTTAAATAAATTTTGCCCACTAGGAAATTTAATTTTAACTGCTAACGCTTGGGAACATTGCGCTCCATCGAATTATGAATATGTTATTATAGATGAAACTAAAGTGAAAGTAATGAAGAGAGAATTTTATTAAAAATTAATTAATTTTAATTTTAAAAAAAAATTAATTTCATTCTTAATTTGTTTGTATTTTTTACTCTCCAAATTTCAATTAGTTAACTTATTTTTTTAATAATTAGTTAAAAAATAAGTTTACTAATTTATTGGTAAAATCGTGGCTGACAAAAAGTCAGCCACAATTTTTTTTAGTCAAAAATAACTAATTATTAATTATTAACTAATTACTAATTTATAAAATAATTATTAAAAAATTATTAATTAATTAATAATAATAATTAACAATAATAATAATAATAAATTAATAATAAATTAATAATAAAATAATAATCAATTAATAAAAATTATTTTTAAAAAATTGGCAAATTTCCCCAAATTAAATTTGTGTTACCAAAAACTAATTCAGAGAAAAATTTTTTTTATTTGTTTAATTTATTTATGATCTATTTATTAAATGGACAATTAATTAGTTTTAATGATGATAATTTAAAAATTAAAGATATCAAAAAAAATATGAATAAAATCTTCACTAAAGAATTAAACAGTATTTTGATATCTCAAAATTTTAACCGAAAAATACAATTTTGCAGATTTAAATTTTTTTAATTTATTGTCATTTTTAAAAATTTTTTTACTTATAAATAGATAAATTTTATTATTAACATATTTTATTTATATAGATTACAATTATTGTAATTATTAAAATTATAATTATTTTTACTTATTGAATTATTCTTTTTTTCGATTTTAGAAAGATAAATGTAGAAATTGAAAGAAAAAAGCAATATTTTTCACTTTTTTTTTAAGACGACGTTTTGGTGGTCTGAAAAAATAGTAATAAATAGGACACAATTTTCAAAATATGAAAAATATAAAAATAAATAAAAAATCTTTTAAAAATTAACTGTTAAAACTTAAAATTATTTAGAGAAACATCTTGTCAAAAAATAGAAATTAAATAAAGAAATAGAACACAAAGCATAAAATATTTAAATTTGCAAATAAGAAATCTCGTGTACACAATAATTTCAAAAACTTGAAAAAAAATAATAAATATTAATATTTTTTAAAAAATATTAAAAAATTTTTCCTTTAGATATGTACGATACCTTTTTGTGTGTTCCTTAATGTAAAAAGTTGAAATTTTCACTAAATACTTTTACATAATTCTTTTAACATTAACTTGACTGAAATTCACTTATGAACTAGAAGCTGATAATAAATAAATTTTCTTAGATATGACATTAATAAAAAAGCAATAATCCACTTATCACTATTACTGGTATCAAAAAACTATTTCCTCTAATAGATTAATAAATTATTTTTCACGTCATGAAAACGAACAATGTTAACAATTTTTATGATACACCTATTTTACTGTCTTGCAAGTCCTTTCAGAAAGAAACATTTAATTTTTGAATTTTTGCAAAACAACCATTACTCTTTGGAATTTATTAAAAAAAATATAAAAAAAACAAGTTATTAATTCATAAAACGTATCTTCGTAAAATCGAAAAAAAGAATTTATAAAATATTTTTAGAATATAAGGGAAAAATATTATACTATTCCTAATATTATAATTATTACTATTAATTAATAATTATTAATTAATTAATTATTAATTATAAATTGCAATAGTTTATTGTTAATTAATAATAATTATTAAAATTTATAGATTCTTGAAACAATTCCAAAAAGTTTTATAAAAACAAATTCGTCATTTGATCAAAACACGATGATGAAGAAGAAAACCAATTTTTCAACTTCCTTTACAACTAATTCGTAAATATGACATATTTTTTCACAATTTTTCTCAATATTTTATTTTATATTTATAAATTCAAGAAAACAATTAATAATAGTTAAATTTTTTATTTAATTTTATGAATTTAAAATTTTTTATAATTTTATTTTATAGATTTAAACGTTTTTATAATTTAATTTTATAAATTAAAAAATATTTATAATTTAACTTTATAATTTTTAAAATATTTATAATTTAAATATTTATAAATCAAAAAATTTTTTAAATCTTTTTATTTTTATAATAGATGTAAATGTTTTTTGGATTATTTAAATATAGTATATGATGTTCATGTTTTTTTGTTTTAAATTTCAAATCTTTTTATTTTTGTTTGCAGATTGATACCAACAGTTTTAATAAAAAATTCATTTTCCCATTTTGTCACAAATATTAGTAATTTAAAATTACCGAATAATTCTCAAAGACCTTTTACTGGTAATAGAAAATTTCATTTCTTGGGGTTCTTTATATAAACGTACCTAATACTAATAATTAATTTTATACTTTAAAAATAATTTTATGTCAATTAACTTTAAAACTAAAAATTCGAACTTGAAAAAAAATTTTAAAAAAACTATGACAAACGGTTTAGTAAATAACCAGTTTACCGACAATTGATAAGGTAGAAATCGATGTTACCGACAATTGATAATGTAGAAATCTATTTTGCCGATGACTAAGGAAATAGGACTCTGTATTATCAGCAGTCGGTAAAGTACGAATTTGCCTTATCGATACTTCATTTAAGTTGATAATAAGCCAAGTTAAAAAAAAATTCTTTCTATTACTACAATAATTTTTACTTAATAAGTAAAAAGTAAATGTATAAATAAGTAAATAAACTAAATAATTAATATTATGAATTTTTGAGGTCGATTGGGAATTGCAGAAGCAGTTCACAGTGAACTTGGAAATAAATTGAAATTATTTATCAATAATTCTGTCGTTAAGGAAGTAAGTAATTTTTATTTTTAATTAATTTTTCAATTTCAATAATTATTTGTAAGAAAGAAATTTTATATTGTAAAGAAAATAATGTAGAATATAAAATAATAAATAAATAAAATATTAATAAAGATAAAACATAAATAAAAGAATAATTAATTGCATTAAAATTTTATCTTTCAGATTGAAAATGATCGGACACTTGATAATTTAACAGAAATAAAAAGAGTAACAATTCTTTCTGTCAATGTTTATCCAAATAAATCATCAGTTTTTGAATTAATCTCTTTAATTGATCATTGTTGCATTCTAATTACAAAGTACTATTAATTTTTAATCTAGAAAAAAATAGTAAATAATAATAAAAAAAATTATATTAAGCAAAAACAAAATTTTTTTAACATTCAGCAGTAATTGAAAAAAATATACCTATTTTTATTAAAATATACTCTTTTTAGAAAAATATATTTTTTAAATTAAAGATAAAAGATGATAAAAATGCTTAAATTTTTAAAAATTATTTCCTCTTTTGTTAGTCTAATTGAAGACAGTAATGGAACAATAAATATAAATTTATTGGAGAAGTTTACAAATTTTGAAATAATTTTTGGCATCATCGATAATTTTGATAATGTCGCAAAATTAGGAATAACAATGGGACGTAAAATTGTAGACACACTGAAAACAAATTTAAATTTACATGCGATTGCTGTTGGAATATCAACAGGTAATTTATTTTAAACTGTAATTTTTAATAGTTTGTGAAAATTAGTTTAACAATTTTTTTTCTAATGTAATAAATTTATTATTTATTTTATATAAACAATTTAATTTTGCCAAAAGTCGGATTGAATAGAAAAATTAATTCAATAATTTAAATATAATGGTTGGACAGTATAAACATTAATTATTGTAAATAAATTAACATTTAAAATATTGTATCGTGTGGGGCGAAAATTTATCTTGTGCCGCGCATGACTCTACGTCTAGCGAATCAGCGCCCGCCTGCTCCCCACTAACGAGCGACGCGCAGTCCTCGCAATCCCCTCCCGCAGAGTAGGCGAGTATAAAAGCCGGCGCTCAACTCAATGACTCTCAGTAGTAGACACGCTCTCACCGTGTGAACAGCAATTATAATTTTTTGTAACATTTTTTTGCAGGAACAGTTTTTTGTAGTGTTATTGGACACATTGCAAGAAGATATTATGCAATTGTTGGAAGACCTGTTAAAATATCTGCAGAAATTGCTTCCGTTTCAATAAATAAAGTATTTAGTTAATACATATAATTATATTTCAAATAGCATTAATAATAATAATAAAAAAATAATTATTCTACAAAGGGACAGAATAAAAACAACAGTTTTCAAACTTTCAGGTTTGTTGTGACACAGATACAGTCGTTTTTAGTGAAATTGGAAAACATTTATTTCAACAAGGATTAACAGTAATAAATGAAAATAAAAAAACATTTTTGTTTGAATATATTGGTGATCAGTGAGTTTTCAATATTGAATTAATTAATTGAATATTAAAAGCATTATAGCTTTAATTATTTTACTATCGAAAATCTTTTGTTCCTTTTTCAGAAATGGTTTGTTGGAACAAAAAGTGCAGAAATTGGATTTCATTTATCCAAATTTAGAACAATTTCAGGAAATGGAAATTTTTTCCGAAATTCTCGATGACATAAATGTTGAGAATCGCAAGTACGCTGGACTTTTAATTGAGGTAAGACTAATAATTGTATATTAATCACCACTCTTGAATGTTTACAACCAAGAACCTTGTACCAAAATTAATTTGTTGCTAGAATGTTTAAACTTCACTACCTAAATTGTTAATAATTATAATAAATTATTGTAATTGAAGTTAGAAAGCAAAAATTTCTTTATAATTTAAATTTATTTTTCAAGGGATTAAGTAGAAGTGGAAAATCAAGAATTCTCGATGTTTACGTAACAATTGCAAAATCACGACAAATACGAACAATTCAATTGGATATTAATTGTTCCTTTTTATCTAAATCTAATTCAGTTATTTTTCACATTTTAGAACAGGTATGAATATATAAATATTTTTATTAATTTTTCAAATAAAAAAAAGCAATTTTATAATTTTTTAAATTTATATTTTCTGTTTAAAAAATAATTTTACTTTGTCATTTTTTTTTTTGGCGAAATAAATTCAATAGATCTTTCGATGTGAAGAATGTAATACAATAGAGGAGAGAGAAAAATTTTTAATCAAAATATTATATAAAGTAATCGATGCTGATGATTTTTGTTATTTCAATAGTTTAATGAGAGTTGAATTTCCATTATCAAAAAATTATTGCTCAGAAACAGATATGGAACGACATTTAAAACGAGTTAATATTGTAAAAGAAATTTTAAAAAGAGTAAGATTAAAATCTTTTTTCCGTACGTGAATTATTATTTAATTATCCTTTTTTTATTAATAATTTTTTATATAATATATTATTATTTACGTAGAATTCTTATTTACCGACAGTCGATAATACAGTATTTCTATTTACCGATAGTTGATAATACAGAGTTCTTATTTACCAACAGACGATAATACAGTATTCCTATTTACCGACAGTTGATAATGTATAGTATTCTTATTTGCCGACAGTCAAAGATGTAGCATTTTCCTTTTAATTATATGCATTTTCCTAAATTTAAGAATTTCTTTTTATAAAATGGATTTCAACCTAAATTTTATAATGCATTCATAATTAAAAATTGTTTTTCAATCTTCATTGTAATTTAATTGAAAAGAGAAAATGATAAACAGAACTAAAATTCAAAAAAAAAAAAATTACAGAGCAATGAAAGAATTTGCATTTTATTGGATAATGTACAATTTATTGACGTAATGTCTTGGCAATATTTAATAAAATTTCTAAATAATTCTCGAATTATTATCATCATGACAATGATGAAAGGAAAAATTTACGACAATTTTTCCCAAATACCATTGAATATTCAAAGTCACGAGAGGGTAAAAAAATTTACACTCAATGTATTAACATCAAAATCACTTACTGCATTCGCTTGTCAATTTCTTAATGTCTGCGCTATTCCACAAAAATTAGAAAGGTATGTGAAGACATTATTTTTACTTTTTGAAAATAATTATACTGTTTATTTAAAGAAATTAATATTAAAAATAATTAAAAATAAAACCTAATAATAATAATCATATTTAAATAAATATTGTGTTCCCTCATAGATTATTAATAAAGAACAGTGGCAATAATTTAGAATGGTGTGAATTATTTTTAATGTTAATTCTACAAGCACGTGGTTTGAATTTTTTGACAATGACACAAAAACAAGCAAAAACGAATAATTTAATATTTTTGGATAATACTTTATTCTCGAAAATACATGTCGATTTACTTCCCGATGAAGTGGTTCCACCAAAATCATGGAATCGTATGAAAAAATTGCCAGTTTGCTTATTAAATGATAAATTTACCGGATTCTCCGATTCACATTTTCCTATCGACGGTATAATTGGTTGAAACAATAAACCAAATTGATATAATGTAGATTTTTATTTTAATGCAGTGAATAACAAAATAATATGTTTGAAAATCACTGCTTTACCGACAGATGGTAAGGTAGATCACTTAATTATCAAACCGTAAATGTTGGTAGGTAAATACTAATATTCTGCTTTGATAACTGTTACTTGCGTGGACAACTGATTTATTTACGGTCGGTAATTCAGTTTTCCTACTTCTTAGCAGTCGATAAAGAAGATAATTTGGTTACTGAAGGTCGATAATAAGACAATACAGCCGTTAATAAGTGGGTAATAAAGTTTTACTACATTCAACTAGGTAACTATGCTTCCAACAGTTTTGCTACTTTTCAACAATCGGTAATGCAAATAGCTTCCTTTTTTATAATCGACAGATGGTAACAATGGTTTAATTTTAATTTTAACAATTCATCATTTGGTAATTTCGTAAATATCAACGGCTCCAACAGTCGTTAATGATAATATTTTTCTTTGACAGTTGTCAGTTGCATAGAAATATGATTTATTCAAGGTCGGTAATTTATTTTTTTCCAGATTTTAATAATCGGTAATGTAGGTAATGTGGTTATTTAACAGTCGATAATAGTTGATAATAAAGTTTACCCACCGCCAGTAACTGTAGAAAACTATAATTACAAAAGTCGATAATGGTAATAATTTAATTTGAACAAGATGGGTAATCTGTTTCGCTACAATTTCAACAGTCGGTAATGTAGATAACTTGGTTATTTAAATGTCGATAATACTGGACAATAAGTACCTAATAAACTTTTCAACTTTTTATTAGACGGCAATCGATACTATTACCAACTGTCGGTAATGTAAATTTCTTTATATTTGACAAACAATAAAGAAGAATTCTCTTATGCCATCTGCAGTTTTTGTAGTTTTTTTATTTAATTGATATTCCTCAAATTAAAATCAGATATGAAAAATCAAATTTTTGAGAGGATGCTTCCACACGAACGGAATTTAATAAAGTGCGCATCATTTATTGGCGATTTTTTCTCACGTGATTTTTTAATGCAAATCATGGAAAATTGTAGTACAGAGAATACGGCAAGAGGTATATTAAGTAATTAAAAAAAATTAAAAATTATAATAAAAATAATTATGAAAACTATTTCCTAAATATTAATTTTTATCCTTATTCAAAAAGCAGTGGAATCACTGATTCGAATTCGAATACTAGAATGTGCTTCAATTCGAAGATCTCTAAATTTAAGGAATAAAACGAATATTTGCAGTTTTCGAAAGAGAAATTTTTCCGATGTTCATCATTTAATTGAATGTCACTGTTATGAAATGAGTAAATTTTTGTGTTTATCTTGTATTTTTTTCGACTAATTTTTTGTAGTAAACTTTTTTTTTTAAATTATTAAAAAAATTTCCCCTTTCATTATGTTTTGTAATTTTTTTATTTCTAATTTTTTTAAACCTTCTATAGAATCTTTTGTACCAAACAAATTGCCACACTATGCATACTGTAAATTTTTGGAATTCAAATCAACTGCTTTTCGTGAGAAAATTTACAAACTACTTACATCTGTTGAAAAGGATGGATTCTTTTGTAAAACAGTAAAAATACTCGATGAGAAATTTCGAAAATGTGAAGCATGTGGAGAAGGGGAATTTTTGCGACAAAATACGAATGAGGTTTTAAATTTAAATGATTGTATGAAAATAAAGTGGAGCAGTTAGGAATTTTCATGTTTTTGATTATCGATTGTCGATAATACAGTATTCTTGTTTACAGAAAGTCGATAATATAGTGTCTCATTTATTTACCGACGGTAGGTAATGTAGTATCCTTATTTACCGATAGTCGGTAAGGTGATATTCATATTTACCAACAGTCGGTAAGTAAGGTACCTTCATTAACAACAGATGGTAACTGAATTAGATTCTAAATTTGCGACTAAATAAGTTAAATAAAAATTGTAATTTATTATTCATTTTCTACTAAATTAATTAAAAAAAAACCTTTAGAATATTAAAATGAATGTCACATCTATAAAAAAGAGGCAAATTTCGAAAAGGACGAGAATTATTACCGATAAAATACCAATGAACGATAGTTTACTATCAAATGAAAGTGAGGGTTACTTTAGAGAAAAAAATGTGCACAAAATACTTTTTTGAAAAACATTTTTTTATTAATAATTTCTTTTTTTTTAGGTTCATCAGTGAGTCAACAATTGAACATATCACAACCATTGTCATATTCTCGTAATGCAAAAAAATGTAATTCAGTTGAACCAGAACCAAAATCTGGTTTTTTACAAATGAAAAATTTTAATCACATTGACCATCGTAATTGTCAATGTTCCGTTATTATTAATTCAGTGTTATGGAAATTTCCTGCCCATATTGATAAAAGTGAATTATTTTTTTTAAATTTAATAAATAAGAATTTATTTTTTTTGTTAAATAAAAAATAAAAAAAATATATAATTTGGTTAAAAAAGGACTACTTATGATCAAATTAATAATCAATGAATTCAAGAAGTAATTTATTTTCCTTTCTTATTTTAACAGGTGGAAATAATTGTTTTTTAATAAGATTCTTAATACAATACGGCGCAGCTTTAATAGAAAACGCTGAATTTGGATATGCCATAAAAATTCTCTCAATGGCCCTTGAAAAAATTCAAGCATCAAGTATTGACACTGAGGAAAATAGGGACAGCAAATCTTTGATATATTGCTTAATTGGTTAGATAATATGTCAATTTCTTTTAGATTTTACACAAAACTGCATTACCTTTAAATTCATATAGCAAAAAAAAATAATTACGCAGTAGATAAAAATGAGATCTTCTTTACCAATGGCCGGTAATAAAAATACCTTATTTACCGACAGTCGGTAAATGAGATCTCTTCTTTACCGTCAGTGGTAAATAAAATATTCTCTATTGTATGTATTTTAAATAGGGAACGCCTGTTTTCATTTGGGTCGATATAATTTGGCGAAAATAAATTATCTACAAGCATTATCAATGTATAATTATAAATTTAAAACAGGAAATAACTTCTCTAAATGGAATTTAAGATTAGAAACATTTTTACGACAAAATTTTATGCAAAGATTTATGTCTTCTGGTTTAAAAACAATTTCAAAGGATACAATAAGAATTTCCCAATTATTAAGTTTTCTTTCAGTTGCTTTATTGGTAATTAAAAAATTAATTCCATAAATTTTAGTTATTAATTTCTTTTCTTGATTGTGCTATTGCATAACCAAATTAATTTCTAGTTTATATAGTGTTAATGATATTTCTTTTTAATATTTCGCTATAGATGGAAGGAAAACAAAAATCATCCCTAAGAGCATGTCACGTTAGTGTTAATCTAGGTTTCAGAAATACAAATACATTGGATTTTTTGGAAAAATGTCAATTATTTTTATTGATAGCGAATAATTTTGAAAAATTAGAAAATTATCGACTTCTGCAAATAATAATTTACAATATCTTTTTAATGATAAGAGAAAAGGAAAATTGGTCAAATTTAGAGGAATTAATTGTTCTCGCAAATGTTTTTCTCGCAATAATTAAAATCAAGTAAAAGAATAATGTTACAATTATTCTTTACAAATATTGTTATTTATAACAATTAATTTTTTTCTAAAAATTAATTTTTTTAATTAGATTCCGTCGAGGAAGTTTTGCAAAAACAGTGGCAATTGGTTCAAAACTTTTACGACTAACGGACATTTTGCACTTGAATAAAATAAAATTAATTGTACTTCCTTTAATTATTGAATCAATGGTAATAAATAAAAAAGATTATTTATTGTATATTTATTATTATATATTATTTATATTTTTTTAGAATAATTTATTTTTAAAAATATATTTTATTTCTTAGATGTTTCATTATCTACTGTAGGTAAATTAAATACCTGCTTTACCAACAGTTAATAACGTGAAATGTTTACTTGCCTGCAATTAATAATAGACACTTGTCGATAAGTGTATATTATAGACTGGTGGTAATTTAAAACTGCTGATGTAACAACTGTCGGTAAGGTAATCATCTATTGTATCTACAGTCGACATGGAAATTTTATTTAATAAGAATAAACAGTATGCAATTGCATAATTTATATAAAGAACAATAATTTATTTAGATACGACTCAAAAGAATTAATCAAACAGTGGATTTAATGCATGAACTTTTATATTTATCACCAATTGACAGTGATAAATCATCTCTTGCTTGGTACTACGCCCTTTGCATAGATCTCATTTTAGATGCTGGAATTACACTAGAAACGTATCAAACATGCTTAAATTTTGCTGAGAAAGTTATTGGTACTTTTGATTTTTATGTATTTTAACTTTTTTTTTAATTTTCCATCAACTAATACAATTGTCTTTAATTTTTTTTCGACAGATAAAAAATATCCCATAACTAGAGATCCTGAAGGCAAAAAACGTTTGATTGTGTCATTACGAACTTGGCAACTAAGAAGGTAAAAAATTGATTTAAATAAAGTGGAGCAGTTAAGTTTTTTTAAATTTTTCGACAGTCGATAATATAGTACTCTTATTTACCGACAGTCGATAATATAGTACTTGTATTTACCGACAGTCGATAATACAGTATTCATATTTATCCACAGTCGATAATATAATATTCTTATTTACCGAGTGTGGGTAATACAGTACCCTTATTTACCGACAGTGGGTAATTGGATTTTCAAACAATTTTTTCATTCTTTTAATTCCTTGGTTATTTTATATACTATTTATTAATTTTTCAGTGGAATTACTGTTAATAAAATTTTACCACTATCCGTAAAGTCGTATTTAAATCTAACTAAACTGGATGAATTGTCGGAAGGCATAACTGCTTGTAGGGTAAGAAAGCTTTCACCAAAGAATATTAACAACCTTTCATTATGAGGAGTTAAAAATTTTTCTTAATTTAGTAATATTAAGACTTATCACAGTTTTATTACCGACCTTAGATATGGTAAACCTCTGTATTACCGACAGTTGCAAAAACGAAATTGTTTTCGAAAGTAGATATGTTAAATATCTCCTTTAATGACAGCTGTTAAAGAAGGTTGTCTTCTTATCTTCGGTCGTTTTAAAATCTAGCAAACCATGGGTAAAGACAAAAATAGTTTGCTACATTTTAACCATGTTTAAAAAATTTAAATGTTCAGTTTTTAATTTAACTTTAAATTGTTTAGATTCTTGAATGTCATTTATTGACTTTAGTGAATTACATGAATGTAAAAAAGTATCAGGAATCTGATAAATTAATGGAGAAAATTTCTAAAATCATCAAATTACTCGAAAGCAAATCGAAAATAAATATTTTCATTAAACCACGATTATATCTATTAAAAGCTTATTTTTTTATAACGAAGAATGAAAATTTTTCCAAAACCCTAAATATATATAAAGCTAAAAAATTAGCAAAATATCATGGTAATTTAATGGATTTCGCTTCGATTGTTCAAAATGAAAAGGTAAATTATTATATATCTATTATACCGACTAGTGTATAGGTTCTTACCTTATATTCTTCTTCTAATTTTCAGTAGATGATAATTATGATTTTATATCGTTTAAAACTATTGTCGGTAATAGATTGTAAAAAATATCTACCTTACCGACAGTGGTCAAGGCAGGGACCTACTTTATCTTCAGTCGATAATAAAGATCAAATTTTTATTACCGACCAAATAAATATTTGTTTTTAAATTTTATTATTTTTTAAGTAAAAATTACCTACAAGCCATAGAACTAATTAAATTTTCATTAACCAATAGGCTTGGAAAACGACAAATTACAGAAATATTCCTTCATACTGGATTGAATATATTTCAAATGGTGAAGGAATTGATTGGAGATATATTGACAGTTTTAATATTTCTGAATGGACGACAATATTATATTCTATGCCTATACCTGATCCAATGTTTTAAGTAATTAATAAAGAAATTTAAAAAAAGTTTTGAATTCAAATTTTTAATTAAAAACTAATATTAAAAATACTTAAATAATTACGTCTACTACTTTTAATGGCCAGTTATTAAATACAATTTCAGTTATTAAATAAAATTTTAGATATATTTTATATAAATTTTATTAACACAGGTTAAAAAAATTTTTTAAATGAGAATGCAATTAGTAATTTATTTTAAATTAATTGTCATTTGTTTTTGATTGTTAATTTAGATAAGTTTAAATTTTATATTAAATATTATTGAGTAGACGACGAGCCGTTCAACGTCTTTTTATGGTTGTCACTATTATTATATTCAACTCTTGATTTTCTTCCTCCTCGAAATATCATTTTTTCCAAAGTTAATATTGGAGATTCAAAAAATAAACTGAAGAGAAATGCAAGCGGAATAGAAAGTATAAAATCACTGAAAGAAATGGAAATCTGAAATAAGTACAAAAGATTAATTAAAAAAATTAATGTCTCTTATCCATTAGTCGATAATGTAGATGCCTGTTGGTAGTTTTACCACCGGTTGATAAGGTAGATTTCTATTAATAGGTTTACCATTAATATACAAGGTAGATCGCTATTAATAGATTTACCATCAACCAATAAAGTAAATCAATATTTAAAAGAAATACCATCAGTCGATAAGGTATATTTCTTTTTAACCATCAGTCGGTATTTGAAAGTTATACTTACAAATTGAATATCAGAAAAATAAATATTAACTCGTGATGTACTCTCCAATAATAATTGTATTGTCATATGCACCAAATAAATGCAATACGACAATTTTGCCAAAGGGACAAAAATTGGTAACGACAAAAATTTTGTTATTGGTCCTTAAAACAAAAAAAGAGACAGTTAAAGAAGTATAAAAAAATTCTTAAAACAAGATTTGATTAATTTAAAGAACAATTTTATACAAAAAATATTTTTTAACATACCATTGCTTCCTTTAATTGACTTAAATATAATCCAAGACAATCCTAAACCCCAAATTGAACGGGCAATACTTCCAAATATTATTTCAAAAAAAATATTGTACTGATAGTTTTTTCTTTGGCAGTAACAAACTCCAAGAGTACAAAAAACAAAACTTGCACACGTTCCAATCCAACCTAAAATTTCTATTTTCTAAAAAATTTATAATTTAGAATTATTATTTTTAAAATTATTTTTTATCATGATAATTACAATTTTGTAATTAATTTTAATATTATTCTTGTAATTGTCATCAATATACAAAAACAAAAATTGTTTAAAGTTAATAAATAAATAAATAGACTAGAATTTTGTATACCTTTGAAAATCTTATATCTTGAGTAACAACCAAATATCCGAAAAATATTCCAACTAGCCAAGGACCTGCCCTTGTGTATGGTACTCTATAAACGGCTTCAAACATTTCCATACTAAAGAGAAGAGAAAAGGATTTTAATTTTTAAATACTTCATACCGACTGTTGGTGAGTATAATTCCTGAATTATCGACAATTGATAAGAAAGAACTCTACTTTACCAACGGTCGGTAATAAAAAATATGTTATCTAGATAGAATTATTGTTTCATCTTAAACTAATTTATTTAGTTTCTTTTACTTCTTTATTAACTTATTTATTAAGAAAGTGAATTATTATTAAAATTATAATAAAAATAGTTCAGTACGCACTTTCTTAGAGCCAAAAGATTATACGAATATTCATTAACTCCAATGATTATTCCACTTGCAATGACACTTGTCATAAAACTTGCAAGTAAAATTAACAGTCCAATTTTTGGTCTTATCGCCAATGGATATAGAATAATTGGTGAATACCAAAAAAGTTGCATGTCAACTGCCAAATACCACAAATGTGCCAGACACTGAAATCCAAATGATTAGCACAAAATTTGCAGAAGAAATTCATTTTTATTAATTAATTTTTTTTTATTCTTCTGTACCATTGCATGTTTGTTGATAAAATTTTGTAAATATAAAAGAATTGTCCACCAACAATCTTCACATTGATTATAGGCCTCGTAACTATCACGAAGTGGACCGGTACCAATGTGTGGTATAATGAATATTGTGAAAATTAAAAGCGCACCCACAGCTGGAGTTAATCTTATTTACGAAAGAAAATTAAATTGCATTATCGACTTATGGTATTTTTGAATTCTACTATACCGACTGCTGATAAAGAAAGATATTGCTTTACCATCAGTCGGTAAAGAGGGATACTGACATACCATAATAGTCGGTAATAAAGAATTATGAAAAATTATTTATTGGTTAAAAATTGGTTAAAAATAATTATTGGTTTCTCACCTTATATATCGATGAAGGTAATACATAAAAATATTGATTCTTCCATTAGTTTCAAATTTTTTTAAAAAATGGAAAGCCATCAGAAATCCACTGACTGTGAAAAAACTATCGACTGCAAATGGTGCTAATACCATATATATTGAGTCCCAACTAGCATACCACTGAAATAGAAAAACGTTTACATTTTCTATTTTTTAAAAACAAAATTTATTCTACTCTACTTTACCTACCGTCGGTAACTTACCATTAAAAATGGTCGGTTATATAATTTCAAAAACGGTCGATAACTTACCTCTAAGATTTCTATCTTATTAACTACTGTTCCTATTCGTGAAGCATAAGTATGACCCATAACAATCCAAGCAATACTCAGTACACGAATTCCATTGAGTACAGGAATCGAAGTACTATTAACTTTTGTATTAAGAATTTTCCAACAACTTCGACGTAATGAGAAACTTACTAATTTTTTTATTACATTATTATTACCATCTCTAGTACCATAGAAAATATCAATTATTGTACATCCAATTAAAATAGTTACATAAATGGTAATAAATGTTCTGAAATGAATGTAATTTTTTTTTAATAATTATAAAAATCGATTAAATAAATAGAATTATTTATTATTTATTAAAATTAGATAAAAATTACTAAAAAAATAAACTAGAAAATAATTAACGGGTTGATAAAGAGAACGGATTAATTTCCTTAAATTACCGACTATTGGTCAGTAAACTCTCTACATTATCGACAGTTGGTAATGAAGAATTCTACTTACCATCAGTTAATAATATAGGATTATGTTTAACCATCAGTCGGTAAGGGAAATTTCTACATTCCTTTATTGTAAGAATAATTAATTTTATCATTTTCAATTATCTTACAAAGCTATTATGCTTCCTTGTGACCAATCCAATGAATCAATTCTTGAACACGTTGTGGATTCTAATTTTATTCCAATCTCATGAATATCAGTCATATTATTAATTATTAAATTTAATAGTCGATTAATATCAGTTGCATTACAAACTGATGGAACACAAATTGAAAATAATGGTTTTAATTCTTTTATATTCGTTGAAAGTGAGTACATACAATGACGTCCGCGAATTAAAGATCCATTTTTATTTACGTTTATTGACAAACACTCATCGTACATTCCCAAATCAATAATATTGCCAATATATATTCCTGGTTGTAATTTAGATGTTGCATCTGCCACTAAATTAAATATTATTATTGAATAATAATAAAATTATAAATAAGTTTTTTTACTGATAATTTTTTTTATTTTTATTTTTAAAATTATAATAATAGAAATAATTATTAATGTTGTTTTAAGTATTATTATTATTATTATTATTTTTATTATTATAATTAAAAAAAAATTTTTTTTTAATTTTATTTTTTATTATTATGTTTATTGTTATTAATATTTTTATTTTATTATTTTATTATTATTATTATCTATTATTTCTATTATTTTTATTATTATCCAAAATTAAATAATAAATTTAAAAATTTTACTAACTTTTAAATGTCCATTGTTCGCCATTTCTCATTGATTTTATAAATTCATATAATTCTCCATAACATGGATTTGAAAAATTTCTCTTTATCGCCCTCTCTGTGGATAAGGAAATTTTTTGCAGTTGTTTATATTGAATGGTATGAATTAAATTTTCCACTTTTGTAAAATTCAATTTATTTTCAATATTTGATGAACATTTTGTGAATAGACAAAAAACTATTATTAATAAAATTATCATTAATGAATTAATATTTTTATGAAAGATCATTTTTTTAATGCAACTGTTTTTATCCAACTAAAAAGATACTTTATTGCAATTATATAAACGAACAATTTTATCATTTTGTCAACTTGATTATCTTATCAATATAATTTTTACAATAATCATATTTAACATAAAATATATATTTTATAATAGATGAAATTTTTTTTAATGAAAGAAAAGTGTTCAGTATAATCAAGAAAAAAATTATTTCTTTACATAGTTATTAGGATTATAAAAATGGAAAGTAATTATTGTTTTTATAATTGTATAGACGATTATAATATTTATAATGGTAGAAATTTTTTTTTATCGACTGTTGATAAAGTAACTTTCTATATTAACAACAGTCGATAACGTAATCAATTAAGCTGCAAACAAATTTTAATATAATTTAACGTAAACATTTTATTATAAAATTTATTTATAAAAATAATAAATCAATTTTTAAATATCTGGAGAAAAATTAACTAAACTATGCTCCAACCAAAAATATTTTTACCGACAGTAGATTAAGTCACTTTTTTCCTAATCAGCTGTCGATAAAGTAGGAAATATCTAACTATTTGGAAAAATAAAGTTTTTTACCGAACTGTTACCGACCGGTGCTATGATTACTTTCGTCATTATCAGCTGTCGGTAAAGCAGGAAACTACTGTAAAAATAAAATAAATGGTAGTTAACAATTACCAATGGCAGTTAAATCATAACTAATAAATATAAATCCCATTCAATCGAATAATTATAAAAAATAATAAGGAAAGAAAAATTAAGATAATATTAATTACAATATTTCAGAATGATAAGAAAAATTTATATTCCTTTGAATTTGATCAAATCTTTTTTTCTCTCTCGTTTCCGACTGCTGATTAACAAATCGTAATTTTATTTTAATCGATCGCCAAAGATTTATTTTTTTTTTGTTTTTAAATTCTTTGATACAATATATATTATATTATCATAATCAGTAAATTATCTTTTGTTCATGGACAACATTTTTCTTGTATTTCTATTTTCTTATCAATAAAATATTTTTTTCGAGTCATCATGAATAAAGTTTGGAAGTCAATATTACTATTTTTAACACTATTTAAATTAATATCATCGACATTAATTGAAACAAATGAAATGGAATATTTTTCAAAAAATCTTAAAGCTGATAATTTATTTGAAATTTTTATAAGTGAAAAAAATGATAGTTATTCAAAATGTTGGAATGATATTTCATTTGTAATTGATGAAATTAATAATTCAAGTAATATTCTCAATTCTCTTTGGGCATTAAAAAGTAAGTTTTTTAAATTGATTTTATTTGTTTATTTAAATAATGAACAGACTTTGTTCCGTTTATTATTTTGTTAAATAATTTGTTAATTTTGAATATTAATATAAAATGCCACTGTTTTTTTTTATTTTTTTATTTCTATAAATAAAATTAATATAATAAAAAGAATAAATGAATTTTTTCTGAATATAGTTTTATTTTTAATAAAACAATAATTCTAATTCAAGCAGTAAAATAATAATTGTTATAAAAATATTTTCCCCTTAAATTTTGAAAAGTAAATATAAAATAAATTTTATTATTAGTAAATTCTATATTTTAAATTTAAAAAAAAAATATTTTTTGCATTATTTACAAAAATTTTTTTTTCTCAAAAATTAAAGAAGAAAAAATTCTAACTTAATTTTTGAATTTTTCTTTTTAAGTGTTGGATTCGAGTACAAAAATTCCATGGGGAATATTTAAGGGAAATCTCGTCGATTTGGGAATGTACGATGAATGTGTTTCAGTGTTAAATATAAAAAATGAAAGAAAAATTCAAGGTCGTCATTGTTTATATTCATTTAAGTTAGAAAAAATTCCATTGCCAATGACATTTTCAATTTGTGTTCCCTCATCATGTGATGGAAAGGATATAAAATTTATTTTTGACAAAATTAATGAAAAAATTAATAAGACTGATGATATGAAAAATTGGACAATTCACAATTTTTCTGCAACATGCTCAAATGTTGATAATAGAGAAATAACAATTGGAACTATTGTCACAATGTAAGTTTTCATTGTTTTTCTTTGCTTTGTTTTCTCTTAAATTCAAAAATTATTAATTTATTTATTTCCATTTATTTATTATCGACTGTGGGAAAGTAAACTCTCTACATTATCGACAGTTGGTAATAAAGGATACTACTTAACCATCAGTCGGTAATGTAATGTAAATTGCTTAGTGGCCAAAAGGCTAAATTGTCATTTTGCTAAACCACGCACAGCAAAACTGTTTTACCGACTGAGTGTTTCGAACCTAACCTCTTACTGTGTAAAATTTTAATTTAGCGAAATGGCAATTTAGTCTTTTGGCCAACAAGCAATTATAACACAACAGCAAAAAATTATTTAGAAAATTATATTAAATTTAAAAAAATTATAAATAAATTAAAAAATTTTTTTAAATTTTTAACAATTAAAAAACAAATAAAAAAATAAATTAAAAATTAATTTGTTTTTCTTTACAGAGCAATATTGACAATAATTATTCTCTTTTTGTCCATATGCACAGCAATTGATTATACTCAGAAAAAAATGAATTCATCTACAAAATACGGTGATTTATTATCAAAATTTTCCATATTTAAAAGTACAGCGAGAATATTTCATTTAAAGTACAATTCATCGTCAATGCCTGTTATTCATGGTATTCGTACATTAAGTATATTTTGGATTGTTTTTGGTCATTCATTTACAGCACGATTATTTTTACCATTTGTTAATTCATTTGATAAATATAAAGTAAGTTTTTATTTTCTTTTTAAATATTGTTCTTTTTGGTAAAAAAAAATTTTTTTTAAAAGAAAAAAAAATTTTTTTTCTAGTGGATAAATAATTCAAATAGTTTATATGCTTTCCTCGCACCTTTTGCTGTTGATACATTTTTCGTTTTAAGTGGATTTTTAATGACATATATTGTTCTCAAAGAATTATCACATGGCAAAAATTTTAATATTTTTATTTACTATTTGCATCGTTATATCAGGTATTTAATGAATTTTAATTTAATTATTATTATTTTTCTTACTATTATTGTTAATATAATGAATAAAAATACCAAAAATAATATAATAACAAATATAATAATACAAAAATAATAATAATTATTATTATAATAAGAATCTTATAACAATTGTTAATTGAATAATAATTATTATTTGAAGACTAACACCGGCTGTAGTAATGTTATTATTAATATCGATGTTCATACTACCACATTTGGGATCAGGGCCACTGTGGGAGAGAGCACTGGAAAAAAAATTGACACAAACGTGCAATGAAAAATGGTGGACTCTTTTAATTTACATGCAAAATTATATACGAACCGATATTGAGGTATGAAAAAGACCAATTTATTAATTAGTTACAATTAAAAGTAACATATAATTTATAATAGCCTATTTTAAACAGAACGATTTAGATTGACAATTTTTACTGACAGTAGATAATGCAACTTTCTAAATTACCAGCAGTCGGTAAAGTAAATTTCTAAATCACCCGCAGCCGGTAACGTAATTTTCTAAATTGTCAGCAGTCGATAAAGTAATCGACAGTTATATTGAAAAATTTATATAAATGTAGGTGTATAGCTTAGTGGCCAAAAGGCTAAATTGCCAAATTGCCATTTTGCTAAACCACGCACAGCAAAACTGTTTTACCGACTGAGTGTTTCGAACCTAACCTCTTACTGTGTAAAATTTTAATTTAGCGAAATAGCAATTTAGTCTTTTGGCCACCAAGCTATAATTATTTAGCGACTGAAGGTAAAGTAACTTCCTGCATGAACAACGGTCGATAAAGATACATATGAATCATACATATTATGTTAAAAATTGGCTAAAAATATCGTGATGTAGTTTCTGATCGAATTGTAGAATCATTCACCCACTGAAGATAAGGTAACGCTCTACATTGCCAGCAGTCGATAAAGTAGATATTTAATTAACCAAAGACAGACAGAAAGACAATGAATTACTGCAAATATCTTTTAATTTTAATTTTAAAATATTATTATTTATTAACTTTTTTTCTCTTTTTCTTTACAACAGTGTTTAGGGCATACTTGGTATTTGGCTGCAGATATGCATTTTTATTGGCTCTCGCCATTAATTTTACTACCTTTAGCAAAAAAACCAAAATTTGGTCTCACTATTTTGGCTTTACTTCTTCTTATTTCACTAATTACTGTTGGTATTTTAATATCAGTGAATGGCTATATTTCCACTTTATATTCCAATGGTGTAAAGTAAGTTTTTAATATTACAGTAAAATATACGTAAATAAATTATTTTGTTAATTTCCCAAATGTGTCTTATGGTGAAATGTTACCAACTACCCAACCATGCTTGTTAAAATTTTCAATTTTTTTTTATCCACTACCCATCCTTGCAAGAAAAAACTTGGCAACTTTTTTTATCAACTACCCAACCTTGCACGAAAAAACTTTTAACTTTTTTTATGAACTACCCAAACTTTCAAGATGAAATTATCAGTCTTTTATTAACCACCCAACCTTGGACTTTTTCTGTTAAATACTACAGGAAAGTATAGGAAAAATTCATTTAACATGGTTGGGTAACTACACAACTATAAATGAGGCATTCGACTAGTGTCGCATTTGGGAAGTTAACAACTTTAGTTTTGCACACGCATTAAGGGTGATTCTATAATAATTGTCGTTTCATCGATGTGAATAAAAACATCAGAAAATTTTTTTTACGCTTTTATTACAATAAAATTTTATTTTTATTAACAAAAATTAAAAATTCAGCTTTATAAACAATTTTAATTTTAATTTTAATTTTTCTATTATTTTCTAAACAGAGTGGAAGATGTGGCAAATTCTTTTCGATTTTTCTACACAGTCTCACACACGAGAGCAAGTTCGTGGCTTGTTGGGATATTTTTAGGTTATGTTGTACACTTGAGACCAAATTTTCTCAACAAGGTGGGAATTTGTTGAAAATAATAATAATGTCCAATAATTAAATTTTGTATCACTAATTATGTAACAGTTTAAAATATATTTTTTTTTATAGAACATAGCTTACATTGGATGGTTAGGCACTATTGGATGTTTCACATTTTGCATAATTGGTCAAAGAATCGTATTAGAGGAGACTTATAAATATAGTTCAACATTTGAGACCTCCTTTGGAATGTTTTCACGACCAATTTGGGCAATTGGAATCTCTTGGATTATTTTTACTTCGATTTTTGGCTATGGAGGTAACTTAATGGTGCTTCTACAATAGCATTCGTTTTCAACTGTAGGCAAAAATTTACTTAAATTGTTTTTATTAAATTTTGTTCGTATTTGGAAAAGAAATTTATTGTAGAAGTACAGAAGTATTTTTACTTTATTACAAAAAACAGAAGTTTTTATTGCGATAAACAGTGATTTGTAGAAGTACCATTATAATTAGAAAATTTACAAATGTTTTGAGGGTATAAAAAATATTTTTTCATTTCTTTTTTTACAGGTTATGTGACAAAATTTCTATCAATTCCATTATTTGCCCCGCTAAGTAAACTTTCATTCTGTATTTACATTGTGCATGCCACTTTTCAACTCGCAAAGGTGAACACTGTAAAAACTGCTGACTATTTTTCCGAGTTTTCAATGGTAGGAGAAAAAAAATTGAATTCAGTATTTTTTATTATGCTAATTATGCTAATTAATATGTTATTACACTAATTCTACAATAACTTTTCTTTCTTCATTGACAAAAGTTCAAATTCACTACTGACACAACAATGCGCAGGAAACATGCGCAGTTCGTGTCGTTAAACTTGAAAGTTATTGTAGAAGTACCTTTATTGAAGGATAATATATTTTTTATTTTTAGTTTCTCTACTTTCTCAGTGAATTATCAACGACAATAGTGTTGGCATTTTTCTTCTCAATTTTCTTCGAGTCGCCGATAATGGTTTTGGAAAAAATGTTGTTCAAGAGGAAGAGAAATAATTTACAAACACAAAATTTACAGAAAACATTTAATGAAGCCAAAAAACCGTAGAATTAGAGAAAAATTTATAAACAAAAAAAAGTAAAGAAAAAAATTAATGAAAAAAAGTTTTCATAAATAAAAAATGAATTTAAATAAATAGAAGCATGGAAATGAGTAAAGCTACGTTCATATTGATCCGTATTGCAACATTGTATATAAATACATTTAAAGAGACCATTGTGGACGTTGCCTAAAATTTATTTTTTTCACACAATATATAAAGCCATGTCCACAATGGTCTAGATGTTCGAATATTGTACATAAAAACATTTAAAGAGCCTATTGTGTACTGAGTCTAAAATTGCTATTTTTCATTGATACACAATAAATAAAGCTACGTTCACAATGGATTCTAGTTTTTTTTAAATAAAAAATAATTTTATAATATTTTTTTACATAAAAATGACAAAATACACTGGTAACTTTAAGAAATAAACCATCGTTTTTTAATAAATATACATTTATTTTAAATATTGAAATAAATAATATTTTTTTTTGCATTTACTGTATATTTTTCATTTTCAGTGAATTGAAATATTTTATTCCATTGATTTAAGATATTAAATAATTATTTCTTCTTATCAGGGAAACTTTCATGACATTAATTATTAGTTAAGGCAACAGTCAAATGTATTACCAAATGCATTTACGCAATTTGCGGCTCTACTAATTTTTCCCGGTGCACAAGGTGGACTGCGAGTTGTTCGACAGTATCCCTTACCATCGTCGCAAGGAATACCTGTAAAACCATTTTTTTATTTTTTTTTCACTTTATTTTTTTTATCTCCCTTGGAAGTAGGCTTTCATAAGCTTAGCAAATTTTTCACTTTGCACGTAAAATAAAGAAAATTACTTTTATTATTATCACTATTATTATTTTATTTTTATTATTATTGATAAAAATTCTAAGTATGCAAAATGATTATTGCTAAAATACGATTTTTATTAAAAGTACATGAAAAAAATTTAATTTTTAAAATAAACCTCAAAAGGTTTTAGTCTGAAATTTTATAAAATTTTAATTTTCAATATATTTAATATTTTAATTAGAAGAAAGAAAAAATAAATTTAATTATTTTCAAAAATAATTAAAATTTCACATGAATTCAATAAATTAACAAATTTTTTAGAAATTTCTTCACAATAATACAATTATTTTCATAAATAACAAAAATTTTTTACAGGGATTAAATGCTAATATGGAAATTAAAATGCTATAATAAATATTTGTTGCACTTTTCTCATATATATACGACCTGTAATTATCCAATTTAATTGGATAAATTATCACTTAACACAAATTAAGCAAAGAAAAAAACCGGTTTCAAATTATTTTCATATTTTTTACGGTCAAATAGTAAAAAATAATTATAAACGATAAAAGTTATTATCAATTTAATAAGAGAAAACAAATAATTAAAGTAAAATAGTTTTTTCTATATATACATATATATTATATGAAATTATTCATAAAAAATTATAAGTAGAAAATAAAATTTTCAACTTAAAAAAATAAAGCTATTGTCAATATGAAAAATATGAATGAATATGAAAAATTTTAAAATTTGTTTAAGAAAAAATTAATTTAAAAAATATAATTATCCAATGGCGAACAATAAATTGTTATTTTTAAATACCTATTTAAATTGTGAAAAAAGTAATATTTATTTTTTATTGTGTAACAAAATTTTAACTATTTTTATGAAAGTTTCGTAATTCAATTAAAATAAAGAAGAATAATTTTTATTTATTTAATTAATCATATGTTGGTAAAGGTATGTTTTATTAAAAAAATTACAGTATGAATTTAAAGATTAATATTTCTTTCCCCAAATTTTCTATTTTTGTAAATAAATAAATTTTTTAATTTACATTTCAAATTTTTTACATATAAATATATTTAGAGGAACAGCATTAATTAATTAATTCGCTTAAGACACAGCAACGTTAAATAAATAAAATAAATAAAAAAAAAGTATTTTCAAACTATTGTAGAAACACCTTTACAATTTGGTATGAAGGCGACTTTGACATTTTTTTTGCTAATTTTTTTTCTATTTACATACCGCAAGTCGTATAATGGTACGGTCACAGCTCGGCTGCCTGCCTGCCTGCCTGCAGGTCGTCATGGCAATACATAAGAGTAAGAGAGTCAGACAATTTAAATTATTCGTCTCCTCTCTCTTACTCTCGTGGCGGCTGCCTGCGCAGGCAGGCAGGCAGCCGAGGTGTGACCGTGCCATAAGCGCACCCTTATGGAGCGTTTACACTTTCTGTAAAAATTGTCCAGAACGGAAAATTTTTCATTGGAGTAAAAGAGACAGCCTGTATATCTGTCTCTCTTACTCCAATGTAAATTTTCCGTTCTGGACAATTTTTACCGAAGGTGTAAATGCACCCTTATGCTGACACAGCAAGTCCATTGTGAATATAGCCTTAAGAAATTAGGGTATTTCTACAATAATTTTTCTTATCGACTGCAAAATCGTTGCTCTTGCATCGAATTTTGTTTTCATTAAGTATCCATCCTTGCTATGATAAATTTTGTCTTGCAAGGTTGGGTAGTAGATAGAATAAAAATAAAAATTTCTCCTAACAAGGTTGGATAGTTGCGTGAAGAAAAAAATTTGAATCATTTCCAAATTTTATTTATTCATTTATTTTTCATTTCAATGTTTTTGAGTGTTTTACATTAGAAATTTTAAATTTCGAGAAATAATTTTTTTTAAATTCAATGAATTCAATGAATAAAAACACTCTTGTTTTTTTCTTCTTGCATTTAACGAAGGCAGCACTTGAGTCTATCACCAAATCCATTTACGCAGTAACTATTCTTACTGACTTTATTACCAGAACAATCGGGCATGAATAATGTTTTGCAATAACCCTTTCCACCATCACAATTTTCACCTTAAAAACAAAAACAAAGATTACAATTTTTTTTCAAAAATAATTTGCAAAAAATAATTTTGTTCAGAGAAATATTCGTAAACAATTTGAATTATTTATTTATATTATTATTATTTTATTAACTATTAATTATTACTTTTAATTTACTTAATTAAATTATAAAAAAATATAAACATTTAAGAAAAAAAATAGTTAAAATGTATGATATTTGAAAAAAAATTTAGATTTTTAATAATAATCATTTAATTAAATTATTTTTTTTTTATTTATTTATAACAATTTTTTGTAAATAATTTTAAAAATTAAGAAAATTAAGTATTTGAAATATATACTTTTATTTTTACTGCAGTAATTATTTAGAATGGAGCACTGGCAACTATCTTTACTTTAATTATTGTTTTCTATTTATTTATAATAATTAATTTGTAAACAATTAAAAAAAGTTGAGAAAAATAATTCAGAATTTGTTTATTTTTTTGCACTACTAATTTTTTATTAATAAAATTAACATTTTATTTTAGTTATTATTTTTGTTTTCTATTAAAGTTTATATTTCTTTTTTATTTGTTTATAACAAATTTAAAAACAAGGGTAAATTATTATAGTTAACATGTAGAATATTATTTGTTGTAATAAATTATTTTTAAGAACCGCGGACTGTCAACTATTTTTATTTAAATTAACAATTGCTCACTTTTTTTATAACAAATTGTTATAAACAATTTGAAAAATTTTTTAAAAATAGTTGAAATGTTGTATATTTTATTCAGTAACAATTTTATTTTGTTTATAACAACTTTTTAATAAACAAATTAACCATTTTTTTCTTTATGTTTATAACTATTTTTTATAAACTTTAGTATTATCGGGCGCAAAAATTCAAATTGCAAGAAAAGAATTATTTTTTATTTATTTTATTAATTAAAATAATAATAATAATTAGTAATGAAAAATTCCAATGTAGGTATTTCTCAAAAAGACAAATTAAATATTTTATTTGTTTATAAAAAATTTCTTACCTGCAACGAAAGTGACAATAAATGTTAAAAAGAAGCAAATGACGATTTTTGATGCGAGACAACGCATTTTGAATTAGATTCTTTTTTCTAGTAAAGCTTTTTCTCAAGATATGCAAATTTGAACATTCAATTCTTCTTTCATAGGAGAAGTAGTCTGTGCAGTCTTTTTTGAAAAATGGAAAATTACCATCGCATTATCTTTGACGGTTGAGAAAAATTTGTTTACATATATTTTGTTGTTTAATGAGGTCAAAACTAAAATTACAGGTAATAGAAACAATGTACCATTTTTCATTAGTAACAATTTTTTTTAACAAAAAGTTGATAAAATTCTATTTTTAAAATGTTAAAAATAAACATTTTTTACAATATTTATTTTTTGCTTTCGTTTTTACTTTCTGTTTTTTTTTATTTTTTTTTTATATTTTGTTAATGTTTTCTTTTTATTTATCTATTTAAGAATATTTTTTTATTTCGCTTACATTGTTTTTACGTTCAATGCGACAAATTATTTCTTATTTTATTTATTTATTTATCATTTCATTAACGTCAATGAAATACAAGTAGGTATCAAAATAAACAGAAAAAAAAAATTTTTTTTTTAATTTTTTCTTTATTTAAACACTTGTGATTTATTAATTAATAAAGACAACATTTGCAAAAAATTTTTAAAGCCCCTAAAAGATTTAAATTAATATTTTAAAAATTAAAGAAAATATATTTAATTTTAACATTTAAAATGAAATTTTTTAGTATAAAGAAAATATTTGCAAAAACAAGGCAAAATACTTCCTCTATGAGGAAGTAATAGGAGAAAGGAAATAATAAAATTCATTTTTGTTGCTTTTTTTCCAACTACTTTTTTTTAATCGAAATCAAACTGTATTGAAACTTTTACTCCTCTGTATATAGTGACTCGAACTTAATAATAAATATAGAAAACGAAATATTATTTTTCTTATATAAAAAAATAAAATAAAAACTTTTGTCATAAAATGTAAATAAAATATTAGTCATTAAGGACGTTTTAATATTTACTCTACAATTAGTTTATAATATTTTATTATCATTCGTTTCAAAAACGAATAAAAAAATTTCTTTGTTTAAATAATAATCTAAAAAGAAAAATTATTAAAATAGAATACTTTTTCTTTAGATAAATATAACTATAAACAAAAGACCTCTTCCCTTTTCTCAAGAATAATTAATAATGTAATAAAATATATTAATTAATATTTTATTATTGTTTATAACAATTTTTATAAATAAATTTAAAATGGGAGGGGGAAAATTAAAAGTTTTAATTATTCATTGTTTTCAACTTGTTTGTAAAAATTCGTTTACTGATTATATCCATGCACATGATGTTTGGTCTAGGAAATTATTATATCACACAGGAACAAACATTTTTTTTTAATAAAAATTTGTCTATTTGGTTAAGAAGAAAATAAATCTTACCCAGTATTTAAATTTTTTTTTGCATTGCGTTTATATTTGAAATAAATAATACATTTTTTTTGTTTACAAAATTTTTTAATCCCAGAATTCAATGTAAAACAAAAGAAAAACAAAAAATTAAATTGTCATTTTAAAAACCAGAGAAAAAAAATTCATTTGTTTCGAATTTTTTTCTTTTTGTTGTAAATTTTTAATAATCATTTAATTTTATTTATTTGTTTATCGTTTTATTAACGACAATGAAATATACAATAATTATCAAAATGTTTGACAAAAAATAAATGAATAGGAAAAAATTTTTTATTTGAAATTATTTTCTTCATTTAAACGTCTTGTGATTTATTAATTAATGAAGACAACATTTGAATGTTACACCAGATTTAGTTTTGCATTGATTCTTACTAAGTTTATCGGCAGGACATTTATGATTCAATAACATTATGCAATGACCCTTTCCACCATCACATTTCATAGCCCCTAAAAAATTTTAATTAATATTTTAAAAATTAAAAATATATTTAGTAGTTTAACAATTAAAATTAAATTTTTTAGTTTTTTTAATCTGTTAATCTGAATATTTTTATAAATAATAATTTTAAAATAACAAAAAAAGTTTATTTTAGAATTTAATAAAAAGAAATTTAATTTGTAATTTAAGGGAATTTGAAACATTATGACATTACAGATTGAGCAAGTCAAATCCTCTTAAAAGAAATTTATTTTTAAAATATTAAAAACAAATTAGATTGGAAACTAAAACAAATAAGAAATATGTATTAATTTCTATAATTTTTAAATTTAATTTATTAAATTAAATATTAACTTACCTGATATAAAGAAAATATTTGCAAAAACGATGCAAAATAGTAGAAAAGAAATAATAAATTTCATTTTTCTTGCTTTTTTCCAATTCCTTTTTCTTTAATATCGAAATCAAACTGTAATACTGATATTAAAACTTTTTTAATATTCTAATTTATAAATGAAAGAATAATAAATGAAATATCAATTTCTAAATATTTACTTTGAAAATAATTCAAAAATTATTAATTAATTTTTCTAACTTTGAAACTCGAATTTGAAAATGATAAATTTTTAGCTCGCTTTTTATAGTGAAAAAGTTTCATGTTATTGCAAAGAATTGTTTATAATTAATTTTGACAGTTAAAAAAAATTACCTATAATTTATATTCTTCACCAATAAGATGAAGGCTATAATTATACTTAACATTACAACGTATAATTTCTAATAAGTAAAATTTATTTTTACGAAAAATTGACAAATTTTTATTTTTTAAATCAATTAATATTAATGAATTAATAATTAATTATTTATGATGACTTTAAGGTTGCCTCTTTTTAGCCTCAAAAATTGTTGATTATTAAAATACATAACTATCTCTTCTAATTAAAATTTTTTTTAATTGTATTTGTCAAGAAGTTTATTTTTTGAATTAATTAATATAATATCAACATATTAATTATTCTTCCCAAAATTATTAATTCGTTTATAACAATATATTTGTTATAAATAAATAAAAAATAATGATTAAACATAAATATAAACAAATAATAATGTAGATTATAAAAATTTTTAATTTCTAGGTTCCAAAATATAAAACCAAATTGTTATAAACAAATATAAAACAAATTTTAAATCGCAATAAAATACAGAAACCAAAGAAATGATTCTAAAAATTTGAAAAATTACTATAGTAAAAAAATAATTAATTCCTAATGATTTTTTATTTTTTAATTTTTATAAAAAATTGTTATAAACAATTTGATATTAATTAATAATTTTATTAAAAAAAGATGTGAATTTTTAAATCTACAATTCCGAGTGAATATGATTTAATTTTTTATTAAATTAATTTTTAAAGTCATTTACTTATAAACAAAAGATTGTGGGTAGGTCAATTGTTATTAAAAAATATAGTATTGAAATCGTTAACATTTTTCCTTGGTCTTATTTTTGTTGTTGTTGTTGTTGGTAAAAATAATTAACACGTCAATAATGAAAGAAAAACAAATTTCCAATGAAAAAAATTTCCAATTGTACAATTGGAAATTGTAATTTTTTCATTGAAAAAATTTTTTCATTGGAATTTTTTCCAATTGTACAATTTTTTTGGTTTTTAATTTTTTTTATATTTTGCTATAGTTTTCTTTTTATTCATCTATTTAAGAATATCTTTTTCTTTTGGTTTCACTTGTTATTACGTTCGATGTCAAAAAATTAATTTTTTTATTTATTTGTTTATCATTTTATTAACGCCAATGAAATTCAATTATCGAAAATAATATTGGACAAAAAATGAACAGGAAATAATTTTTTATTTGAAATTATTTTCTTTATTTAAACACTTGTGATTTATTAATTAATAAAGACAACAATTTAATGATACAGCATGACTAATTTTGCATCCATAACGTTTAAATTTATCGGTAGGACATTTTTTTTGGAATGCATATGTTATGCATTCACCCTCTCCACAAGCACATGTCCTAACAGTCCCTAAAAGATTAAAAATAATATTTTAAAAACTAAAAATATATTTATTTTAACAATTAAGAGTAAATTTTTTAGTTTTTTTAATCTGTAAATCTGAATATTTTTGTAAATTATAATAATAATTTTAATGTGGAGGTAACAAAAAAATTAAATTTTATAATTTAATATAAAAAAATTTAAGGGAATTTGAAACATTATGATATTACAGATTGTGCAAAGAATGCATTCTAAAACTGTGACGTCATATAGTAGTTCAAATTTCCAATAAAAGAAATTTATTTAAAAAATTTTTTTTAAAATTATTTTGGAAACTAAAACAAACAAGAAATATGTATTAATAACTTATTTTTAAAATTTAATTTTTTTAATTAAATATTAACTTACCTAATAATTTAATATAAGGAAAATATTTACAAGAACCGCAGGCAAAATGGGAGAAAAGAAATAATAAATTTAATTTTTGTTGCTTTTTTTCCAACTACTTTTTTTTTAATATATCGAAATTGAAGTGCAATACTAATATTTAAAATTTTACTCCTCTATATTTAGTGACCTATACAAAAAAATTTTGTTTAAATAATATAATCTAAAAAGAAAAATTATTATTGAAATATATTTTCCTTTAGATAACTACTTATAAACTAAATAAACGTAACATTTTCATTTATAAATGAAATGTCAATTTCTAAATATTTACCTTGAAACTAATTAAAAAATATTTAATTAGTTTTTCTAACTTTTGAAACTTGAATTTGAAAATGTTAAATTATTAGATCTCTTTTTTTGTGACAGGGTTTCGTGTTATTTCAAAGAACTGTTTATCATTAATTTTGTCAGTTAAAAAAAATTACCTATAATTTATTTACAACGTATAATTTTTAATAAATAAAATTTATTTTTACGAAAAATTGATAAAATTTTATTTACAACGTATAATTTTTAATAAATAAAATTTATTTTTACGAAAAATTGATAAAATTTTATTTTTTAAATTAATAATTAGTTATTTATGATGACTTTAATGTTGCCTCTTATTTTTGGCATCGAAAATGGTTGATTATTAAAATAATTGTCTCTTCTAATTAAATTTAATTTTAATTGTATTTGTCTAGAAGTTTATTTTTTAAATTAATTAATATATCTACATAGGTATTAATAATTTTTTCCAAAATTATTAATTCGTTTATAACAATATTTGTTATAAATAAATAAAAAATAATGATTAAATATAAAAACAAATAATGTAGATTATAAAAATTTTTAATTTCTAGGATCAAAAATATATATTTTTGTCTTCCTTTGTCTTATTTTTTTTTTTTTTTTGATAAAAATAATGGGAACTCCAATAATGAAAGCGAAAAAAAAATTTTCACTGGAAAAATACAAAATTAAACATAGTTAAAGAAAGAAAACCAATTTAGAACAGAAGAAAATAGAGTTTTTATCTGTATATTTTGTAAGAAAATTTTAGAACAAAAGCGTAATGATTCAAAATTACTCGAAAAATTTGCACAAAAAACAATTACTTTTAATGTTCCTGATAATGTTAATAATTGTTGATAATTGATAATGATTATCATCTTTCTTTTTCTAAACAACATGGCACCATTTCATATAAAAAGGTGACGACTTTTTCTAAATTTTCTGTTTTAATTTTAAATTTAAAGTAAAAGAAAGGTATTAATAATTTAACTTCAAAATGCGCTGTTTATCATCGAAAGTCATCTTTTGCCTACTACTGACAATTATTGTTACTAGCGCCTCGTCGACCTCTTATTCCGAGACGTCTTCATTGCTTCCAAGTTTCCATAAAACATGTCCATTTATTTAAAAAATTTTATTGTTTTCATATAATTTCTTTGAAATAATTTTTATTTTTATTTATAGTTTCAAAATTTAAATTAATTAAAATTAAATAAAAATTGGAACTCCAATGATATCAATGATATTAAGAAGATCGACTGTAGCTCCATCTTTCAAGAATATGTGAGTTTTTAAGGTGCTAAATTTCATTTGGAAATGTGAGTCCGCCCTTCTATTCACTTTTTACATTGTCAATATGTACTTCTTTTCTGTTTCGATATTTTTCGATTGTTTTCGATATTTTCGACCTTTTCTCGATTTCTTCTTTTGTTAAGAAAATTAAAAAATAAACTTTCGTAATCGGTGAGAAAATAAAATTATTATTATTATTATTATTAATATTTTGTAATAACAAGAAATATTTTTATTATATATTATATATTATAACTTTTTTAATAATTTTTAATTTGTTTATAACAAATTGTTTCAAATAAATAGAAAACAATGATTAATTTCAATTAAAAATAGATGATATTCTTTGATTCTGAAGATATAAAACTACAAGAATGAAAAAATGTTGTGAGATTGATAACTACTTTTTACATTTTTTAAAATTAATTTAAACCAAATTGTTATAAACAAATATAAAACAAATTCTAAATCGATAAAATACCGAAACCAAAGAATGATTCTAAAAGTTTGAAAAATTACTATAGTAAAAAAATAAGTAATTTCTATAATGATTTTTTGTTTTTTAATTTTTATAAAAAATTGTTATAAACAATGTGATATTAATTAATAATTTTATTTAAAAAATATGTGAATTTTTAAATCTACAATATTCCGAGTGAATATGATTTAATTCTATTTTAAATTAATTTTTAAAGTCATTTACAAGTCATTTATAAACAAAAGATTGTGGGTAGGTTAATTGTTATTAAAAAATATAGTATTGAAAACGTTAGCTTTTTTTTTTTTTTTCTGGTTGTTGGTAAAAATAATTAACACTTCAATAATGAAAGAAAAACAAATTTTCAATGAAAAAATACAAAAATAAACATATAGTTAAAGGAAGGAAACGAATTATTTTTAATGTTCCTGATAATGATAATTATAATAATGTTGATAATGATTATCATTTTTTTTTTCTATAAACAACATGGCACCATTTCATATAAAAAGGTGACGACTTTTTCTAAATTTTCTGTTTTAACTTTAAATTTATAGTAAAAGGAAGTATTAATAATTTAACTTCAAAATGCGCTGTTTATCATCAAAAGTCATGTTTTGCCTACTACTGACATATATTGTTACTTTTGCGAACGGTGAGACGATAAAATTATGTTATTATTAATATTTAATAATAACAAAAAATATTTCTATTATATTATATATTATATATAACTGTAATATAATGGTGATTCCACAATGACGCTGATAATTTATTAAAGTTTTTCTTCCAATTTCTTTTATGCATTTTTTTTTTATTTATTATTTCGGCTAAAAATTTTGAATAAAAATAAAAGATAACATATTTTTAATTAAATTTTTTTATTTTATAAACTATAAAAGATTAAATTTACATAATTTAATAATTTATGTAAATTTATTCTCAAATTTCAGGCATGCCTTGCAATGGTCCTAATGGATCCTGTCGTCCCAGGTAGAAATTTCAACTCAGTACTGACCAGTCACTGACAAGTTTTTCTAGATACTGGCAAGTAATTGACCAAGTAACTGGACAGTTTTCTACTCAAAATCTAAAATAAAATATAATTTTTCCAATTACTGGCTCTTGCTATTTTATTTATAATTATATACCTATTTATTTATACACTTTTGTGTTTATTTTATTTTTAAATATTTAAGAGTAATGAACAATTACTCTATGCCAATAAATATAATAAGTCGTGGCTCTAGTTGCGCCTATTAACAAAAGAGAAATTCAAATTCCAAAAGACAATTATTTTTGTTTAATTATAAAAATAATAATAATATTAGTTAATATTTTTCATTATTCTTCTTCTTATTATATTATTATTGTTTCAAAAACTAAAAAATAAGTTTTTTTAATTTTTTTCAAAATAAAAGAAAGTGTAAAAAAAGTATGTCAACAAATATGGTTAATTTTAGCGAGAAAAAGCAAAACTTGTGTATTTTCTCGGGTGATAAAATTAATTTCAACGAAATATGTTGCACAAAACGTAATTTATGTATTTTAATTGTCATTGGACAAAATAGTGTGACATCATTGAATGGCATTTCAAATTTAATTCATCTTCGTGAATTATGGATTGTCGAATGTCAAGTAAATGTAATAAATATTTTTATTCATCTATTATTATTATTATTATTATTATTATTATTATTATTATTATTATTATTATTATTATTATTATTATTATTATTATTATTATTATTATTATTATTATTATTATTATTATTATTATTATTATTATTATTATTATTATTATTATTATTATTATTATTATTATTATTATTATTATTATTATTATTATTATTATTATTATTATTATTATTATTATTATTATTATTATTATTATTATTATTATTATTATTATTATTATTATTATTATTATTATTATTATTATTATGAAAATTATTATTCAATTATTATTATTATTAAATTAATGTTATGAAAATAGTTTAAAAAAAATAAATATTTACTTACTTTTTATATTAAAAATTAATATTATTGTAAAATTATTAAAATTAATTTCTGTTAAAAAAAACAGGAAACAAAAGATCTTGAAAAATGCAAAAATTTGGAATTAATTTATTTATACTCAAACCAAATTGACAGAATTCCAAATTTAGTGAACAATAAATGTCTATCGATTTTAAATTTAGCTGGAAATTTTATTGAATGCCTTGAGGTTAGTTTTGCAGTTAGAATTTAAAAACGAATTTTCAAATTTTTTTCTATTAATATTGTTGACAATAAATAATAAAATATTACATCGTATTAATTATAAAGTTACTAATTACTATACTTAATAAACAATTCAATTTCATAATTTTTTAATGAGAATTTTTAATAATAATTTCATTTAGTAATTAATTATTAATAATTATTATGTTATTAAATGATAGGTAATATTATAATTAATAACATAATAATTAATTATTAATGACTGTTAATAGTTATCAACTATAGTAGTTAATAATTAACTAAATAACTAATTACTAATAATTTTTAATAAAAGTTAATAATTCGTTGTTGACAAAATGAACTAATTAATTTAAATATTATTAATAAAAATGAATAATTAATTAATTATTAATAATTTGAAGAGTAAAAACTATAATTAAAAAAATATTCATTTTATTAAAAGTAGTAACAATAATTATTGTTATTAATTATTTTAAAGAATATTCAAGAATTGACAAATTTACGTGAAATTAATTTAGCAAACAATAATATTAGTCGAATTGTCAATAATTTTCCTCTCAATGGACAATTAAAATGTGTCAATCTTTCAGGAAATCCTTTGTATTCACTGAAGGCAAGTAATAAAAATTAATAAATAATTTTCGTGTACATACAATTTATTTGATACAAAAAAATAAAAAATAAAATAATTTTAATAATTTTTTCTTGTAAAAACAGGATGTCTTTATTTTTTTTTGTCAAAAAAATGTAGAATCTATTGCATTTGCCGATCCATTGTATGGCGAGTGTCCTTTGGTTCATGTTTGTCATTATCGTTATCACATAATTAATTGTCTACCTGAACTTAAAGAATTAGATCATTTTATTGTGACTAATGAGGAAAAAATGTGTGCAAGCAGATTTATAAGGTTTTCAAAATAATTCACAATTATTTTGTTTTTAATAATTAAATTTTAATTATATTATATATAATTTTTAATAATTATTTCTATAATTTTTGTTTAAATTAATAAAAATTACAAATAATATTATTTTATCATTTATTCAATTTTATAAAATGTTTTTATTGGAGAAAAATATTGATAATAAAAAAATTAACAAAAAATTGTTTTATAAAGAGGTATTTTTTGTAAAGAAGATATTTTTAATTAATTATTTGTTATTATTATTATTATTATTATTATTATTATTATTATTATTATTATTATTATTATTATTATTATTATTATTATTATTATTATTATTATTATTATTATTATTATTATTCTCATTTTTAAGGGAGAAAAATTTATTTTATAATGCTACATGGCAATCAGCATTAAATAATTATTGGTCATTAAGAGAAACAAAATATGTGAAATATTATAAAGAAATGTTCCTTTTTAAATCAAAAACAGAAATTACAACAGATCTTGATGCGAATATTGAGGTATAATTTTATTTTTCAGAAAGAAAAAGAAATAAGAGAAGATTTCAATTTTTCATTAAAAATATTAAATTTTCAATATAATACTAATAAAATTAAAAATTAATTATTTATAAATAATATTAATTAAATAAATAATGAAATATTATAATTAAATAACAATATAAATAATAATTTATTTTTTAAATTATTAAATTTAGAATGGAGAAAATGAAAAATTGTGTCACGATTTTTTGAAAATAAAAAATCATTATTCCGAATTAGTGGAATGGGAAAAAAACGAATTAGAAATAATGGAAGTGAGTTTTGTTCACTTTCGTTTAAATTTTTAAATATTTGTTCAAAAATTTTAAATGTTTCAAAAATATTTATTAAATATTATTTATTGACAATATTTCAAAAAAAAATTATTAGTCAAGTTAAAACAAAGATATTTTTTTTAATTTTGCAAAAATAGGTTTTACGTGAACAAATACAAATGAAATTTCAATATTCTGGAAATATAGATTTTTTTCAGTGTGACATGAAAATAATGGAAACTTTTCAGAGAATGTTAAATAATTCACTATGTTCATCTATTAAGAAGTAAGTTTTTTAATAAATAATTTTGAAAATTAATTCACAAAATTAACAATTTAGAATAAATAAGTAAATTATAAATTTAAAAAATTTAAATAGAAATTCATTAAAATTAATAAATTTCGAAAATCGCTAATTAATAAATTCATAAATTCATAATTTTCCAAAATAAATTAATTAGTGAATCAATAATTTTCAAAATTAATTAATTAGTAAAATAATAATTTTGATAATTACTAAATAAATATTTTCAATTTAATTTAATTAATTTTTTTAAGCATAAATAATAAATAGCAAAAAAAAAATTCCAGTGCAGGTATAAATGAAGTGATCATCACACGAATGACAAATATAAAAAATAATGGTTTAATGTCATATCAAAAATCAAGAAATTCAAAATTATCATTGAATAATTTTATTTTCATGTTTCACGTTAAAAAATACCAAAATAATGAAACATTAAAAAAATGTCCATTTTCAATATGTGAACATTATTTTCTTCATGAGAAAGAAATTCACGTTTCTAATTGTTTATCACAAGTTGATGAATTTTGGCTCGAAGAATTTCAAAAAGAAAAATGCAATTTCAAAAAATATCAAAAATCTCTCGAAACACGAATTTGTCTTCTTCTACAAATTCCCGTTTCTCTACTCAAGTATTATTTTTATATTTAATTATTATAATAATATTATTGAATCTTTTTTTTCAAATCGATAAAAAAGTATTAAATAAAAAGAAAATTTATTATTTTTGATAGAAAAGATGATTACTTGACAATTTGTAATAATTTTCATGGACATGAAGAGGAATGTAAAAATTTAATTTTCCAAAATATTGAAAAAATATCGCCACTATTCATCATCGAGTATAATTATCAATTCGCATGTCAATCAATAATAATCAATATTGATTTACGTTTCAAAGTGCACGAGGAATTGAGAAATTTGTCAATTTTAAATTTAACGAAACAAAATATAACAGATTTGGAATTAAAAAACATTGAATTTGAAAATATTGAGGAATTAAATCTTTCGTATAATAAATTAAAGAATTTTCCCACTCAACAATTATTGAAAATGAAGAAATTAAAAATTCTCAATCTCACCTTTAATGGAATTAAAATTTTCGATATTGAAGAAAAATTTCCCAATTTAAGAACAATGAATATTTCCTGGAATCAATTAACTGATTATTTATCAACAATAAAAATTATTGGAAATTTTCTACCAAATTTACAAGATTTAAATTTAAAATACAATCCATTTATTGATATTTTCGAATATCAATCACAAGCATTATTATCGAGAATATTTTTATTAAATTTAAAAATATTCAACGAAAATATCATTGATAACAATGATAATGAGTTGAAACAATTTTCAACTATTAATGATAATTTAAATCTATTCGATAAATTAAATCGAGAAATGAATATAATAATTTATCCAGTGAATAATGAAAAATTGCAAATTTTTCCAAATGATAATAATCATTCATTGATAATGTTGAGAAAAAAAATTTTATTCAACGCCAAAGAATATAAAAAATATCATCAATTATCATTGACAAATCAAATTTATCAACAATTATTAATGAAACCAATGAAAAATTTAATAAAACTCAATTTGAGTAGTAATTATTTGACAAATACAAAAGAATTGACAAAGGAAAATTTACCAGTTCTACAGTATTTGAATATAAGTAACAATCAAATAACGTCATTATTGTCAATGGGTTGTCATGAAAATTTACAAGAATTTTATTGCTCAAAAAATTGTCTCATTGAATTAGGAGAGTTTTTAAATTTACAAAATTGGATTCAATTGAGAGTTGTCGACTTTTCTTTGAATAAATTAAATGATTGTTTATGGAGAACATTTTTACTGGCCCAACTTCCATATATACAAGTAAAAATAATAGTATTGTTATCTACAATTTGTTTATTTTATTAATTATTGTCTTTTACCTAAAATTCCCTGTTTTACCATTATATAAGAACAGGAATATTTATTATCGATTGCTGGTCAAATAACTTTCTGTATTATCAACTGTTGGTAATGTAGAATTACCGACTGTAGATAATGCATAAGTCTACTTTGACATCTGTTGGTAAAATAAGGATTTTACGTAATTGCGAGATCTTTATCAATAATATCATTTTTAAAGAACATTAGTAACAATTTTTAATAATTTATAGTATATCAATGGAGAAGTGATCGAGCAAAATGAAATTATCATGGCAAAAGAGGAATTCAGTGAATCATTAAATAAAATAACTCTATTAAATGCAAAGGGACTCAGTGAGTTTTCAAATCTAAAGGAACTCACCATTGTTAACTGTCAAGTTAAAAAGGCAAAATTTTAATAATATTCTTTTTTTAGCACAAAATTATCGTAATAATCATAAAATTTTTCATTATTATTAATTAAAACATAAATAAATAATTATGAACAATAATTAATAAATATTTATTAAATAGTTTTATTAATATATAAATTAAATATTAATTAACTATTAATATAAAATAAATATAAATATACATTTAATTATAAATATAATTATATTGTATTTTAATTATTTAAAATTGTCAATATTCATTTAAATTATTATAAAGTTTCTAACAATGGTTAAATGATTAGATTAATTAATTGACAACTGTCGATAAAATAGGTTGTTATTTAATCGATTGCGCAAAAATAATACTGATGGTTAGGCCTTTTTTGCAACTGTCGATAATATAGATCTTTAATTTATCAATGCAGGAGTTTATTATCGACGAAAGGTAATGTGAATTTTTTAAAAATTTAATGCAAATAGGTGAATTTACCGGCTGACTTTTTGCCATGCTTGGAAAGTTTGGATTTGAGCAAAAATCAAATAACAAATTTATGGGGCCTACATTTATTGCCAAAACTCAGGACAGTTTGTTTAAGTCACAATAGAATAGAATGTTTCAACGAAAACGATGATGTATTTAAAGAAAAATCATTAATTTCATATTTTCCCGAATTAATCACCTTGTACTTGGATCACAATCAAATTCAATTATTATCGAATTTAAAATTAGAACAATGTTGTCAATTGAAAAATTTATTTCTTCAACATAATCAACTACAAGAAATTGATGGTAATTTTGATATTTAAAAAAAATTTTCCGTCTAAAATTGTTTTCCTATTTTCTAATTATACCTATTTTGATTTTTAAATTAATCCAATTAACTTTTTGATTTAAATTTAAAAATTCAAGGATTATTATAATAACTATTTTATATTTTAATATTAATTAACAATAATTAGGTTTAATAATAAGTATTTAAATTTTGAATAATAAAATTAATACGATATTGAATAATAATTTTTCCTTTAATATTTTTGTAAAAATTAAAAATAAATTTTCTAGGTCTTGAGGAATTGAAGAATTTAGAAACATTAATTTTGGATTATAATGAAATTAAAAAAATTAAAATGGAAAATTTTCATTCCCATAATAATATTAAATTGTTATTTATTGAAAATAATCGACTAAATAATCTCAGTTTTGTCAAAATCTTGACAAAATTAAAAGTATTTTTAGTGGCAAATAATAAAGTTGAGGTAAGTATAAAAAAAATAATTAAATTTGAAAAATTCAAAATGTTGGAAAAACTTATTTTTAAAAACTAATTTTTTTTCTTTACAGAATTATCAATGTCTTAATGAGTTATCTTCGTTGAATAATCTAAAGGAATTGTCCATATTCGGAAATCCAATGTGCAGAAAAATTAGAAATCATTATAAATTTGTTCTGCAAATTTTCGACAGTAATTTAATAATTTTAGATGGAATTGATATTTTAAATTTGAAAAAACAAGAAAAATTGAATAATAAATAATTATCGTGTATAGAGGTGAGAAACAAAAATTTATGAAGAAGGAAAATTATTTATATAAATAATTTATTTTATAGTAATATACCTAAACCTTTCTTTTTGAGGGGGGGGGGTCAATTTTAATTAGTTTTAAAAAAATAAAATAAGGTTAATTTACATGTTTTTAAAAATAGTTCTCCATTACATTGTCAATATAATTAGGAGATAAAAGAAATAAAATACTTCAACACTTCTTTTTTTAGAAAACATAATACACTGTTGTGTACCATAATACATAATACATAATACCACCATCCGTGTGGTAACAATTGAACAATTGTTTATGGCATAACTAGAGACAAAGTTAGAGTAAAAATTGCGAAATATTTAGTCAAAAATGCCAAATTTTGTCATGTTTTTTCAAAGAAAAAATAGAAGATATTTTTTTTGAGAATTTGCACAATAAGCGTTCATTGCAGAAAGGCCTAACGAGTCAGAAAACGTAGGCTCAGTCGAATCGGATAATTATCAAAAAAAGTTGTGAAATATAGATTTAAACAATAAATAATAATTTCATAACAAATAAATAAATATCTTGATTTGTTAAAAATAGGTGTTATAAATTTTACGATATTATTTTTCTTTATGTTTAAATCTCGCGCTTATTGCTTACTTCCCTGTTCCGATTTGAATAACTGTGATCCCGCCTTAAATTCTGCCTCTATTTCACATAAAAGTCTATTCTCATATTTCTATATTTTATGCCTCTTATTAAAAATCATAACAAATAAGTACCAAACCAAAATATACAATAGGGTGAAAAAAGTTTTTAATTTTTATCCCCCCGTAAAAAAACAAGAAATCTTTTTTTTTAATAAAAGAAAAAATAACAATGAACCGCAAAATGAAGAGAACGTTTTTGGATTTTGAAACAAAAGCTGAAGTTATAAAGAAAATAAAAATCGGTGTTGAGAAGGAGGAAATTCTACAAAAATACGAAATTGGTGAAAGTTCATATTACAAATTTCTTCGACATGAATCAGAAATAATGAATACTTTAAAGAAACCGGAGAATAAACATCGAAGATTATTTAAAAAATTGAAAAATGAATATTTAGACGATGCAGTTATTAAATGGTTTCAGCAAACAAGAGACAGGGGAGTTTTAGTCACCGGTCCTATGATTCGTGAAAAAGCAAAAGTATTCAATGAAAAACTTAATGGACCTGCAAATTTCAAAGTAAACAAAAGTATTTAATTAGTTAAATAATATAAAGCATTCGTCTTAGCAAAAACATGGCTCAAAATAAGGAAGGAAATATAGATATTAGCAATCAAAGGAGAAACTTTATTATCTCTTTCCAAAACATATAGACAATATTACAAAAAATATTTCAAAATTATTTTTCTATAGTAACTCTGTCAAGAAAAAACTCAATTCAATCACATATAATACAAAATATCAAATAAGAAACATTGAAATTCTTGACATTCACAATCATTTAAATTACTTAAACAAGGTCAAAAACAAAGTTCTGGATAAATTAAAATACTATATACCAAGACGGATTATTTATTTATTTATGGTACATTTATTATTTATTTATTATTTTTTAATTTTTCCTATTTATTATTTTTATTTATTTAACTGTTTTTATTTTTACTATTTATTATTATTTTAATTTTGTATATTTTTTTGGATAGACTCCCTGAAGAGGAAATCATTTTAGATGTCGAAACGTTGGAGTAAATAAATATTTTATTCATTGTCCGCATGTTTTCGTTTAATTTGCCTTAATTTAAAAAGGATTTAAAAAATAAATAAACTTTTTAAAAAATTATTTAAAAGCAATTGATTTAAAGAAAAATTTTTGAAAATCTTAATTTCTATGAAAAAATAATAATGATTAAATATATGTATTTATTGAAAACTGATAATAAATGTAATAGAAATCAGGGAAAAGTCTGAAAATCATTCTTTAAAATGAATACTCACATTTTATGAAATTTTATAAATATTGATTATTAAAATTTATAAATATTGAATTAAAATGAATAATTTCTGCTTTTTTTGAAAAAATAATGAAAATATCTTTGTTTTTTCCACAAATAAGGCAAGCAGTGGTTGGTTATCAAAATTAAAAAAGAGATACAATATAAAATGTTCCGATATAAAAGGAGAAAGTTTCACCTACAGTACTGAATGTATTGAAGAATTTTCCAAAAGTTTAAAGAAAAAAATAATCAACGAGAAATTATTATTAGAAAATATTTATAATGCCGATGAAGCCGGTATTTATTGGCGGACAATTGTCTCTGCCATACAATTAGAAAAATTACAAGGAAATAATTTATTTCATCTTAATAATAGTAACGATTTAATAACAGTTCTATTTTGCTCAAATGCCAGCGGAAATCATCGAATTCCATTGTTATTAATTGTCAATGAGGATGAATCGGCATGTTTGGAAAATTTACTATCCAACGATGAGAATAGTGAAGGAAAAAAGAAAAGTTGTTTAAATGAATTATCATCGCTCGGCATTATTTACGCAAATCAGGAGAACTCACGAATTTGTCAGAAAATATTCAAGGACTGGTATTATTTTATTATATTATATTAATTAGTATTTATTTATTAATTATTGTATATTAATTAATATTATTAATTACTATATATTAATTAATATTTCATTTATTATTTACTATATATTTTTATATTCATTATGTGTATTATTATTTTGTTCTATTTATTCATTTAAATTGCGATTTTTCAGGTTCGAGGAGATTTTCATTCCGCGAGCATTAGACTTTCAACGTGATTCAAAAATTAGTGGAAAAATTCTCTTAATTCTGGACAACGCACCATGTCATCCAGCAATCGATGAATTGAATGCAATTAATAAAAATATTGAAGTCATTGAAATACCGGCAAATGTTTCAGCTCAATTAAGGCGCACTCACAGCTAGTAGGCAGCAATACAAATTTGAATTTACTGTCTCTTTCACTCTAATTGACTTTCTCTCTTACTCCAATTACTGCCTGCGCAGGCAGGCAGAGCTGTGAGTGCTCCATTACAACCCATGTCTCATGGTCCAATAAACATAGTGAAAAAATTCTATAAACAAAATATATTAGACAAACTTTTGAATTTCAATACAGACGAAGATGTTTATAAATATCTTCTAAATTTCAACTATAAAAATTCATTTCCCCTCATGAAGAACGCGTGGATGAATAAAATTCAAGAATCAACATTAAAAAATGCGTGGAAGCATTTTTTAGACAAACAATTTATAAAGGAAAATTTTGAAATCGAAGCAATCAACGATGATGATAATGTAATTGAAATTGTTAAATATCCCGAGGAAAGGAACAATGATTTACTAAAACTTTTATTGGGACCTAATTTTCAATTAATTGAATTTTCGGATACAATTTTTCGTGATTGGTACAATAAGGAAATTATGGATTCTGGTTGGAATGAAATGTCGGACAGTGATATTGTGAATTTTGTACAAAATTCTAAAGAAAATGGTAAAAATCTAGTCTACGATGATGATGATTATGATGGTGAAAATAGTTGTGAGGAAAATTTACAATCTGATGATATAATAACGGCATCGGAGGCTTATGAAAATTTACAAATTATCAAAACATGGATTCGACAAAAAACTTCTCAGCTCTACGTTAATAATTTTACTTTAGAGGAAATTGACAAAATGTCGAGTCAAGAGTCGAGAATTTCGCCTAATGATGAATTATATTTGACTGTGAAAAAAGAAGAAGAAATTAATTTTTCCGATCAAGAGAAATTATAATTCTCGTAAATTATTTGGAATTAGAATCGTTTTTTTGTCGTTTAATAAGAAAAAATTGGCTTTAATGTACAGTTTATCTTCTTATATTTTTTGTAATAAAATTCTTAAAAAGCACTGATAATTTCAATTTTTTTTCAATTCCCATTTCTTGAGATTATTATTTATTTTGTAATAAAAGGATTATAAGAATATTGTTACTGTAACTTCTCCGCAAAATTATTTTCATCATTTCAATTCAATTATTATTTTCTACAATTTTTAAATATAAAATTCTTCCTTAAACCAATTATTTTTAATAATTTTTGAAAAAGTTCTTTAAGAATTTTCAAATTCATTTGATTAAAATTCAATTTTACAAAATTTATATTACTGGGAAATTCTTCAATTAAATTTATTATTAGAAAATAAAAACTTCAAATAATTTTAAAAAAAGCAATTAAACTTTTTCAAAAAAATTAATTCACACTATTATGATTTTAATATAAAATTATTATCTAAAATTTAATCTAAAAAAATCCATTTTTAAATTAAATTTTTTTTTTAAATAATTGAATTCTTTTTGGAAAATTTTATTAAAACATTAAAAATCATTGAATTGAGGAAATTTTTTTTTTGAAAATAATTAAATTTTTAAAGATAATTGAAATTTTGACGAGAATTATCATAAATTTTTAAACATAATTGAATTTTTGCGAAGAATTTTATTACCTAATTGAAAATAATTGAATTATTGCGAAGAAATTTATAAAAAATTATAAAATAATTGAATGAAAATTTGTTTTGCAGTTTCATCAGCAGAGAGCGTTGAAAATGGTCTTTTTACCAAGCGACTCGATACTCTTTGAATTTTTTAGTCTATGATAATTCACACATGAAATTTTGTATATTGAAAACGTTGAAAACTAATTTCTTAATAACCAAATTTGGAGTTAGTTTAAGATTGAATGAAAAACATTTTCAAGTGACTATTTTATATAGAAAAAAACAGCGTTATCTTCATTAAAAAAAAGTAAGTAAAAATTTAACGTTAAATTCACTTATTTTGCTCTACATTAGAAAATTTAGAAAAAAAGGCGAAATATAAGTTACAATGTTTCTAAATTAAGTATATTGATACTTTTTTTTAAATTTATTTATTTGTAAAGTTAGATTTTGTGAACTAAACATAACATAATCTTTTTTGTAATACATTTTGATTATTTTTATTTAATTTTTCGTTTCTTTCGTTAAAATTTTATTTTAGAGGTTATGTTTCGATGTATTTATTTTTTTTTTAAAGAATTTTGATTGCTATAATTATTATAAACAAATAGAATTATTAAAAGATGAATGTCAATAAAAAAGGAATAAAAATTTGATTTATTTCGAACTTTTGGAAGATAAATATTAATTTTTTACACATTTAAAGAATTTTTTATTAGAAAACTAATTATTTATATTCTATTTATGGAAAAATTTATCATTAAGATACCTAAGATAAATTAATAATTCAACTTTTTTTACAGATCAAAAATGAGTCAAGGATTTTCGAAAAAACTTCAGGATGAAGTTGATAAATTCAAGCTGGCTCAAAAAGGCAATTTTAAAAAAAATATAAATTCTAGTATTTTTTTTTTAGTAAATGAAAATACATTTCATTTTTTTCAAATTATTTAATAATTTTTTAAAAATATAAATATTTGTAGGAATATTAAAAATTATGTCTGTAGATATATTTATAAATATTTGAAACAAAATTCTTTAAATTAATATATTAAAAAACCACTAAACACATTCATCTAATGAAACAAAATATTGTTTACAAAAATATTCTAATTTTTTAATTAAAAAAATTTTTTTTTAAATTAATTTAATTAATTTTTTTCTAATTTTTTTAGAGTATCACAAGGCGGTTAATAAACGGCAACAATTAGATGGACAATTAAATGAAAATACAACAGTGAAAGAGGAATTGGATCTCTTAAAGGCCGAAAATGATGTCTTCAAACTTATTGGACCAGTTTTAGTTAAACAAGATTTGGAGGAAGCCAAGCAAAATATTTCAAAACGAATGTCCTATATTTCATCTGAAATGTAAGTTAATATTTATAAAATTATATTAATTTATACAATATTTATAAAATTATATTTATTTGAACAATATTTATAACATTATATTAATTTAAACAAAATTTATAAAATTATATTTATCTATAGAATAATTTATAATTATATGTATTTTAAAATTTTTCATAAGAAACTCAAGAAAAAAAATTAATCTTTTTACGAATTTTACTATTTTTAGAAAACGAACGGATGAGTTGATTGCAACTCTGGACAAAAAACAAGAATCTCATCGTGCAAATTTGGAAAAATTACAACAATCGTTTCAACAGCAACAACAACAACAGCAAAGAAAAACAAAGGCTTAATTCTTGAATACTAAATTTTTCTTTAAAAAAATTAAAATTACTTTCTTCTACAATATGAAATTTTCTGTTTTCATTTTATAATTAAAATAAAATTATCTATTTAACAATAAAATATTTCGAATTCCCTAAAATCTCAGAGTAATTTGTTTAAATAATTGGTAAATTTTTAGGGTTGACACGCTTTTGCTCTTTTCAAAATAGTTGAATTTTTTGATAAATTTTAATAAAATTTTTAAGAATAATTACATTTTTCATGGAATTCCATTAAAATTATTGTATTAAAAATAATTGAAAGTCTGCAATGAGTTTTATTATTTATGAAAATAATTGAATAACAATTTATGGAAATAATTTGTAAATAATTGAATTTATTTGAAATTTTTATTATTAATGAAAATAATGATATGTTTGCGTAGAATTTTATTAAATTTTTTTTTAAACTAATTGAATTCTTTTGGGAATTTTTATTAAAGGTAGTAGATATTAAAAATCATTGAATTGAGGAAAGTTTTTAAAAATAATTACAATTTTGCCAAGAATTTTATTAAAATTTTTGAAAATAATTGAATTTCGGAGAAAAATTTTACTACTTTTTGAAATAAATAAAAAAATTTAACTAATTTAACTTTCGTCGATGGACGAAAAGCTTAACATTTAAAATTTTAAATAAATGCGGATTCTCAACAAAAACAACCTTTTAAATCTTTACTTAAAATTTAACTAATTTCAGAAGAATTTTAGTTATTAAAATTTTTTTTAAAAATCTATAAGAAAAAATCGGGAAATTGAGAAAATAATAACACCAGAATTATTATTTGTCATGTACATTATATTTCACATTTGTCACAACAACTCTCAACAGAAAAAGTTGAGGGAAGTATCATTCAAGAGTATAAACTAATAAGTCTATGTAAAAAAAAGAAAAACTTAAAAAGAATTTTTTTAAAGAAAAAAAAAAGAAGATAAAAAAAATCGTACAGTGAGAGTGTAACTCGTGCCTTATTTAATCACATTTAAAAAAAATTGCATTCTTTGTCACGCTTTGGAAATTATTTTAAAGCGTCTATCATTCTATCGATTATTCTAAATAATTAACGACAACTCTCAAATAACCATTTTATGGAAAAAAGATTCACTCTCATCATTTTTTTTTGCTATTAATTTTCCCATTTTCATATTTATATATATATATATATATGTACCACTCGTGTACATAAATTTTATATTAACTTGAACTTAACACAATTGTTAAATTTACAATATTTTTTTTCTCAAGTGTTCCGCTCCATAAATTTAAAAAAAAAAATTCAAAACAAATTTCAAAAAAAGAAAGTAGAGCGCAACTCTCGATCACTAGATATTTGTTTTTCCTTTTAAAATATTCGTTAATAAAAAGGAGAAAAAGATTTTTAGTTTTGGTCATTAGAAGAAAAAAAGTATCTAGTGAAAAATTTTAATTGTGTGGAGTACAATTTTTAGGCAATTAAATGGGTTGTGTAGATATGTAAATATATATTTATATGAATTGATAATTATATATTTATTAAATATTTATTATTAAATATATATTTATTAAATACTTTTTATATATTTATTAAATATTTATTATTAAATATATATTCATATAATTATAAATATATTTATATAATTATGGATATATTTATATATTTACATATTTATTTAATTTATATATATATATGAATTTTTTTTTCTTTAATGATTAGCGTTATTTCTTCGTCCGCGCCTTTTACGTCCACCGCCACCGCCAGTGGCTCGACTTGTCGCCCACTGTTCATAGTAGCGTTCGGCCTCCAACCATTCTTGATATTTATACCACCATTCTTCCCATTTGACGTAATCGTCTAGACTCAAGTCGCGAAGATAACCTCGCGCTTTATAATAATCGTAACGTACGCGAACATCGTCCCAGCACTCAAGACCCCGCGGTCCCTGTGTGAGAAGCGATTCGGGATAGTGACCGGGCGGTGGTGAATCGTAACCTAAACGGGCGATTCTCTCCTCGCCCTCAATCACCACCTTCATCGCATTCTCACCGTCTTTTGTTATTCGCATATTCTCCATGTCTCTTCGATCCACACTCCATTGGGCCATTTTTCCGAATCTGAAAAAAATTAAGAAATTGAACAATTGAAGCTACATTATAATCTTTTTGTTTTTAATATTTAATACCTTTCGGAGAGTGTCATTTTTGGTGGTCCAACGTGTGAGGCATTCGATGAACTATCACTGTCTTCACTGGGTGATGATTCGCGTGGATGATGAATTATTGGGGGCGAGTCACCATGACCCGTATGCTTCTCCACTTTTATGCGTTTATGCATCTGGAAATTTTAAAGAATATATAAATATAGGGTTCGATACTCCTGGTAAAAGCCATGATGCGTTTGAATCACAAATAAGCTATTCTACATCGATCTTAAATAAAAAGAAATGGTAATTTTTCTAAGTCTTGAATTTCAAGAGAAATATTTCAAAGGACCCCGCAGAAAATTGCCCAAATCTCATGAGACATAAATATTATTTGTCATAAAATCATTTGATATAATTAACATTTATCAGAAATCTCGCTGGACATGACACGCATATTAGTTATAATTTCCAGTTGAAATAATTTGAAGATGACATAAAATATACTTAACATACATTCTACGTGACATAAATCTCATGCGATATTGTCAAAATTTTTGTTTGAAATTTTACATAACAGAAATGTTGCTTCATATGAAATATAATTGAAATAAGTTAAAATTACCATTAAAATTAACATCAATTTTAATTTAAATAACACTGGGTTACAAAAAAAAATGGTCATGTCGTGTTTATTTAAAATTTCCCGTGCTTATTGAAAGTTTAGGTGTCACTGAACAAGAATATACCAGAAAAAAAAATTGTTCATTCGGTCATTCCCATAAAAAACGAGATTAAATTGTCAGAAAACCGCATTTTCAGCACTTGAGGTTTTTTGAGGTTGCTAATATCAATAGATATAAAATATTTAAAAAAAATTTACTATAAAGTCATCATCTACGAACATGATATAAAGCATTTTAAGTTTGCAGTAATTCGATTGCTATTAAATAAAATAAGGAAAATATTGAAATCTTCATTCCTCTGGCTTTTTCATATGAGTAAGTTTTCAAAACCTGATAAATACAAATTTTGTCATTTCGAGAAATTTAAACAAATGACAATTCTCACACAACCATTACAATGAACTTTAATGCAGAAAAATTGTAATAAATTATTCATTTTTAAATATTTTTCATATTTAAAACGGTTTGTTTGTAATTAAAGTCTATTGTAATAAGGGAATTTAAAGGTTTTGGTAATTTTTTCTAATAAAAAATATAAAATTAAGAATCATCAAGGTTAGGACAAAATATTTTTTAAATTGTGTTAAGTAAACCTATAAATTTTGTCAGTGAAATTTAAATCAAATAATTATTTAAAATCATTTTTAATAAATTTTCTTTTCAAAAAGTTTATTTTTGTCAATCGAAAAAACTTATTTTCTTTTATTAATTTCTAAAATTGAATGATATAATATGTAGAGTTGTCTCATTATGTTGACAAAAGCATCTGCAATAAATTTTAACCTCTTGTTTTTTTTAAACTTCAAAATAAAAAATCTTTTTTTATAGTTATAATACTGCATGATCAAGGTAAAGAAATGTTTAATATTACAAACCTTAATATTATTTTAAATTCTGATAAAATTGTTAATTTTAACTCAATTGTTGAAAGATACTTGAATTTTTAAAATAATTGTATTAAAAAATAATCAAATTAATTGAAACTTTGTGAAATTTCCTTAAAAATAATAATAATTTGTTAAAAAATTTCATATAAGATTTAGAAAAAACGAAGTCTCAAAGAATTTTTATTTAATAATTTATAAATAATTAAAATGACTTTTTCAAAGAGTTACAATTACAATTTGTATTAATTAGTAAATTTCAAAATGATTTAAATTAATTTTTTTTAATACAAGCCTGGAAAAATTTCAATTGAAATTCTAAAATTTTAGGGTTTTTAAATATTTTAATTCTCTTCTTGTTAATTGAATTGAAGATGCTTGAAATTTTATAAACAATTAACTGACAGTTTGTAAAATAATTTTAATTTCCTAAATTCGTGTCTAACAAGGATTGTGAAAAAAATTCCCTGACTTTTTACTAATTTTATTTTTGCTTTCTTGGGACAGAAATAAAGGTAACTGACATATTGAACAAAAAATTAATGTCTAATGATAGAAACAAACTGTAATAAAAATCTTTTAAGTTTTGTTAGATTAACAAAATTTTAATTTTTATAGAAATTTATAGAAATTTCCCTGACTTTGAATGAAATTCTCTGACATTCCCTGACTTTTTCATAACTTTTCCCTGACCAAAAAAATCCCCTGACTTTTTCCTGACTTCCTTGACCGTTAGACACCCTGATTAAAATTTATTGAATTTTTAAAATAATCGACGGAAGTTTGATATACAGTAACTAATTTTATTTTTAACTGTTTCAATTTTTTAGGAGGGATCAGGGAAAAAGTCAAAATTCTATCTAGAAAACGTACACTTTTCGTTAGTATTGACCAATCATAATAGAGAAAGTAATGTTATTGCGAACGTAGTATACGTTTAGTTAACCATAGCTTATAACATGTTGGTGGAACGCATAGGCGATTAAAGTCAGCTTAACAGCGCTTTTAACTTTAGCGGACATTTCTTTCTGCCGAGGCTGAAACTAGAAAAATTAGAAATCAGATTAATAAAAATGCTTTTGTGAAAATTGGAATAAAATGTTACCATAGGCATTCCATCGGGAATTCGCGGATCCTCAGGAACGCGAGAAACGGGTTTCTCCTTGCGCTTCTTCATTTCCTTGAGTTTATTGTACTCCTTTTGATGACGCTGAGGTTGCGGCGCCATGGGCGGCGTTCGTGGCCTCGGCTGAGGCGGTGAACGTGGTCTTTGACGTTGAGGTGGCGCCCTCGAACCCGATGGCACAACCTCCTTGTTCGGGGCTCGTGATGAACGTACCGGCGGTGTCATTGACCTCGAGCGCGATCTTGAGGCGGGCACTTGACGACGACGTTCACGTGGTGAACAAACCGAGCACGAGCCATCGGAACATGTGCTACCCGAACTGGGACTACGGGCTGCTCGTCCCCGCGTGTGCGAACGATCACGTGGCGAGCGTGGTGAACGTGGCCGTGGACTCCTTGGACGTGGTGAACGAGGACGTGGCGAACGTGGCGGTGTTCTTGGTCTTGGACTACGTGGACTGCGTGGATGTCCTCTGCCACCTTGTTCAACACCACCACCGCCCACGTACAATTCCTTGTAGCCACTGTGACGCCATCTATTTGGATCACGTTCCTCAACCTCGAGGAGTTTCTTGTTCCAATAACTGGACTGTGATTCGCGTGCTTTTCTCATAAGGTTGTCAATCTCTTTGCGTTTACTGGACGATTCACCGTGGGGTCTCGATTGCGATGAATTTGTGTCCATTCTCATCTTACTCGATCCACTGCCATTGCCACCTCTTCGACGACTCTCGTAATCGCGGGACATCTCTAGAAAAATATTTTAAAAGTACATTTTAATATTTCTCTTTGTAACACTCCCTTTAATTAATTAATTTTTAATGAAGGTTGGTGGAACTAAACCTTATTAAAAATTTACATTAGAATTGACTAAAAAAATTCTATTTAGGAGAATTGATGACCTACGAAGCAAAAAAAAACGAATTTAAAATTTAATTTTTTAAATTTCAACTATAGGGTAGTGCCACCAGTGAAAGAACATTTAAGGAAATGTATACTTTTGATATTTTTTATTTTTAATTGACATTCTTGAATTTCCTTTTAAACATATGCAATGAATAGCAAAAATTCTAAAGAATTTGAAGCCTATGATACAAATTTTGTAAATATAACATAAAATATCAAATTTTAATCAAATATTGAAAAATGTCCATTTTACCAGTGAAAGAATGTTGACCAGTAAAAGAACAGTTGTATTTTCCAGTGAAAGAACAAATCAAATTTATATTAATACAGTGTCTAAAAATAACAAAAATTATATGAAAAACGCTACAAATATTTTGAAACAATTTTACAACTTACTATTATTAATTATTTTCCTAATTACGCAACCAGAAATATTATTTAATTGCACCTGAAACTTGTAACCTTTTTTCTGTTTATGCTTAATTTATTTCTCATGTTCATAACCCACCAAAACATTAAAAAATTATTTTCAGAAATAACTTGCATATTGAATCTATTTTTTTATCATAAACTATATTTTGAAGAAATAAGAAACTAAAAAATATATTTTTTATAGTGCTAAAAGTTATAATTTGTGAAATATCGTAAAAAGTAATGAATTCGTTCTTTTACTGGTGTCAATTCTTTCACTGGTGCAACTACCCTAGGAAGTAACCAAATTTTACTGACTTCAAATATATAATGTAAGGGTCAAAATAAGTGGAAACAGACTCTTGAAAAACTTCTGTTTCTGATATTCAAGTTATTTATGTTTTTTGATAGATATAATAAATACACTTATACCCCCTAAAATATTTTTAAAAAAATTTTTATTTTGAAAATAAGGGAGGGGGGTTTAAACTTTTGGATATTTTCTTTTAGCTATTACTCGAAAACGAATAAAGATAATTGAGTAAATTTTTTTTTAAATTAAAGGTAAAATTCTATATTTTGTTACCCAATTCAAACGGTTATATTATATTACATTACATTATATTATGTATCGTCAGAATAAATTTTAATTGTAGTTTTATTTTGTGTCAAAAACTGCACTTATTAGTTAGAGGTTATGTCAAAATAAAAAATTATCGTTAAACTTAAAATTGCAACATAACCTCAAAAAATGTTAAATAAGCATATTTTCTATTTGTTTTTTTGAATAATGTTTTTTCTATTTAATTTGTTCTAACGAATAATGTGTTTTAATTTAGAAGCCATCGATATTGAATCTCTTTTGTATTATTATTTAGAGAAAACAATGGAACATTTAATATTACATATTGGTAGGATTTCTTATTATATTGTCATAAATTATCTAAATTTTTTAGTTGGGTTTCCATATATTTAGTAAAGTTGTTACATTCTATATATATATATATGTTTTCAATATTGTTATCTTATTTTCGTATTTTCTTCTCAGTATTGTTCTTATAATTATTGTAAACATTTAACTTGAATAAGTGACCAAATTTAATTTTAATGCATCTGTTCCTTGAAGGGCTTATCAGCCCTAGGAACTTTGTTATTCTTAAATAAATAAATATTGTATATATTTTTTTTCTTTTAAAGAAAAAAATTTTCATTTGTTAAAAAAAATAAATTTTTTATTTTTTAATCACCTGTTATTCTCAGCTGTGAATCCTGAGAATATTGTTGCGAAATACGAAGAGATCCGCACTCCTGCGAGAGTAGTGAACACGTTAGTTCTCAATAATACGAACAATAGCCGAAAAAAGTTTGTAAAATCGTAATTTCTCTTACTATCAAACCAAGATTTTATTCTTATTCTTTTTTTTTTTTGGTCACGAATTCTCCCCCGTGAGAATTTTAACTGGCAAGTGAACGTGGACACAATTAAAACGACGAGTTAAAAAAAATATCTTTACTTTTGTAAAATTTTCCACAAAAAAGAAATTCTCTTTATTTTGCCAAAAATTAAAAAAAAAAATTATTGTCAACCCGCAGGGCCCCACCGCGCGATATACAGCCCTTTAGAACGATAACGAATTTCTTTAAAAAAGAAATGACGCGACATTATTTTTTGAATTTTGGTAAAATTTTCTCGAAATTGTTCCGGCAATTTGATTATTATCATCATCGTCGTCGTCGTCTTCGTCGCCGCCGACAACGAAAGACTGTCCCAAAATGGCGGAACAAAAACCGATGGAACTGTCCGAGTACCAAAATACGTTGGGACAATCATTTTCGCGAAGAGATGAATAAAAAAAATGAATTTAAAGCAAATGTTTTTTTTACTTTTCTGAGAAAAAAAACCACCGTTAGGAACATCCGTCAAAGTTCCTAAGAAAAATTAACGACCGGGCGTCAACACGTTCACAATGTCCAGAGTTTTATAAGCGCGTCGGCGTTTTTCTCTCGACTCCAAATATTGGAGTAAAAGTAATGAGAAGAAAAAAATGTTGACCAATTTTTCTCGAGAGAAAAATATTTAAACACGAACCGAATTCCAAGAATTGAGTTTATTTTATTTTTTTTTTCTTTAATTGGTTGAAACACAGCCAATAGCCTTGCACTGTTTTTGTGAAATATCTTTTATTGTCGAGAGTAAGAGAAAGACAGAGATATATAAATATATATATATGTATATTCAGTTTTAAAAAAAAGAACGAACGAAGGAGAAGTAAAATTAAAAATAGGTCAAACCGTCCATGCAAATGTTGGGCGTTCTTTTTTTTAATAATTTAAAAAATTAAAATACTGAACTTAACAAAGACACCACAAAAAATTCTTTTTTCAATTACAAAAAAATGTAGATAAGAATTGAATTTTCACAAAACACGAAATTGATCTAGTTTTTTGAAATTTGATTTTTTTTTCTGAGGAGGGACGTAATTGCGACACTCACTTTTACTTTAACACGGCAACTTTTGCATTTTTTTTTCAGCGAACAAGTAACTTATTTTCACTTTATTAAAAATTGGGAGTTAAAATTTAGTTTGTGTTTTCTTTTTAAAATTGTCGATGGAAAAAAACTTCGCGACTTTGTTATTTTACTTGTGAATAAAAAATGGAAAACAACTTTTTTTTCTCTTGCATTCACGAAAATCGAATATGTAAAGATGAGAGCCGATGTAGAGCAAGCCAAGAATATTGACGAGCATATAGAAACAATGAATTGATTATCGTGAGATGGTACAAGTGTTGAGTGAAAATAGTTGAAGTGATGCGCGCGCCTCTTACAGTGACGCTTTCTAACTAATTTGCGCGGGAATTTTTAAACGTATTTGGTTTTTAAATTTAACAATTATTTAACAATTTGATTTTTCTTCTGTATTTTTGACGTTAGTTTTTATTAAAAATAAAATCAGTAAAAATGGAATATTCTTATAAAGTATTGTGAATTTAATTTTACACTGGAAATTTATATTAAAAGGAGAAATATTTAGGTAAGTATGAGTAAATACTTGTTTTATAATGTAGTCTTTCATAAATTATGACATAACCTTAAAATGCAAAATCCAAGCTATCTGTAAGCAGATTTCCCAAAAGCCTCTAAACAAAAAAAAACTTACTCTTATTAAAAATCATAATAATAATAATAATTATCATTATTACTAATTATAATAATAATAATTATGACTAATTATAATAATAATTATTATTACTAATTATAATATTTATTATTTATGTGAAATATTGACAAAAATATATAATAATACAGTTTTATATAAAATTGTTTTTTAAAAAAATTAAAATCGTTACTATAAAGTCGTAATAATAATTAATTATTAGAAAGTAAATAGTGTCATACTTTTTTTGTTTTTTCTTCATTTAGTTATTTATTGCACTAAGCTAAAGCAGAAAACGTCAATAACATTCAACTCTTTTTGAGGTGCTTTTGCGCAACCTATTCGAGCTTCAGAATTTTGACGTAAGATGTCAGATAGTGTATTAGGGTGTTTTCCTAATTTTTGAGTTTAACCCCATTTTCGTAAAGGTCAATCAGCTGAGCGAGTCTTCAGTTCAATATACGCGTATACATATACCTACATCTATTTTTTTAAACTCTACCATTTTAATTTATTGTCTATAGTGTAAATACTTGTTACTTTTTTTAAACAAATATTCACTTATACATTTTCATTCATTTGTTTACTTTTTTCAATATTATATTTTTAAATTTATACTTTGTCTACGATTGTTAACAAATAGTGCTTTAAAATATAGAGAGAATATAATTTTATTTACATAAAAAATGTTTTTTTACTATAATTGACAATGAATGTTATATAAAAAAAAATATAAAAATAAAAGTCCAATTTATTTTAACGTTTTGACAACATTGAGATTTCTCATCAGAAACTGGAAAATAAATTTTATTGTATAGTAAATATTTTTTTAAGGGGAAACTTCGATGAAATTTTTAACTATATCAAGAAAATTATTTCAATTTCTCATAAAATTATGTTTATATAGTAATTTATTGAGAGGAAATCAATGCGGTCAGAAAATAAAATCGGTCAAAATACATAATCTGACCCTTTTTGGATTTATATTTTTCTTAAAAATTTATAGATTTTAAAATCCATTTGCAATTTTGTAGAAAATAAGTTTTTGTGTCAATAAAAAAAATTATTGAATAAAAAAATGACTTATAATTTTTGAAGCATTTTTTCAATAAAAAATATTGTTTTTAGGTTGAAAATGATGAAAAATACCATTTTTATTCAATTTTTTTATATGGAAATTCATTTTTTTATTTTTCTATAACTAATTTCAAATATTATAATTTTATCATAATTTTTTTATATTTTATATTTTTTATTTTAAAAAATTATGATTTAAATTGAGTTAGAAAAATAAACAAGTGAATTTTCATATTAAAAAATTATACATCGATGGTATTTTTTATAGCATTTTCAACCTAAAAACAACATTTTTTCTAAATAAGAAAATACTTCAAATGTTGTAAAATGAATTTTTTTTTATTCTGTAATTTTTTTGCGGAGATACAAAAACATATTTTCTACAAAATTACGGATGGATTTTAAAATCTTTCAATTTTTAAGAAAAACATAAATCTAAAAAGGGCCAGAATATTTTCTGACCTATAATTTACTTTCTAACCATTGATTTACTCTCAAAAAATTATACTATAAAAATAATTATATGGAAGATTTAAATCATTTTCTTGATTTAGTTAAAAAATAATGTAGTCAAAGTCTCCTATTAACTAATATAATTTTACAATTTAGGTTCCAAAATAAATAAATAATATTAAAATAATAACAAATAATATTTAACAAAAAATTGTAGTAGTACATAAAAAAAAGTTTTTTTTGATTTACAGAAAATCTCTCCTCGTGAACTATAGTTGTTTAATTAAAAAAAAATTGTCTCTCTGATTGAAAGGAATCCTGTTTAGAATTAAGTAATTTAAAAAAAAATTTTTTTTTTAACAAAAGACGTGTATCATATTATTAATAAAGAATGAATAAAGATGGCGCTCTTCATTCAGACAGCGAACGGATCGATTGTAGAGAAAATCAAAGTTCTCCATTCCTAATTAAAATACTCTATTATATCTCATTTTGATTAATTAAAAATAATTATTTCCTTAGATTTTCAAAAATTTGTTTCATAATATTCATTTATTATAAATAACTTTATAACTATTTTATTATTTAATATTTCTAACTATGTTAACTTCTTTCACATTTGATTTTTAACTATGTTTTTATTAATATTATTATATTATTATTTAATCGTTACTATTTTTTATTATTATTATCACTTCATTTAATATTATTATTATTACTATTAATATTTGTTAATAAATATTTATAATAGCATATATTAGTTAAATGTTTTTTCATTTATCTTTTTGTCGTATGATTGTATTTAAATTATTTATTATTATTAAACATTAATTTTCCCTCCAATTAAATTTTAGGGTTACACAATCTTACAAGTAAACCTACTCAAGTGTCAGTGACCGATTTGTCTGAAATTTGGCACATACTCAGAACTCGGAAAAATAAAAGAAACGTATTTTTTATTATATCGGCAAAGAAGACAATTTAAGGTTTGAAACAACCCCTTTTATTGCAAATCTGATATGATTTGTAAAAATTTTGGTCGTCCTATTGAATTAGCCATTTTGAATTTTGTAAATCTGACCTTAAATTCATAATTAGCGATCTCAAAAACCCCCGAATAACAAGTTTCAAGCGATTTCAAGTAAAATTTAAAAATACGACCGCCATATTGGATTCGCCATTTTAAGTTTCGCAAATCTAACCTCAAAACCTCTTTTGTATCAAATATTTAAAAATTATATTAAACTGATAGGGCTTTAACCTTTTTTTGTTATTTTAGGGATTTTTTTTAGCAACAATAGGGGTAGTTTTAACTCTTAAATCGTCTTCTTTGCTGATAACAAAAAATACGTTTATTCTTTTATTTTTCCGAGTTCTAAGCATGTGCCAAGTTGCAGCCAAATCGGTCACTGACACTTGAGAAGGTTTAATTAGTATTTATTATATTATTTTATTATTATTGTTTCTTCTCTGGAGAAAAATGCATAAGAAAAAAAAGCTACCTTCCCAATTAACTCTGAGTACTGTGTGAACAATTATATATCGTTTTATAAATGTGTTACAAATAATGGAAATCATAAACGAAAAAAAAATAATTTTAATTTACAAAAATTATTTCATTAGATAACTTTGCGGTATGACTGATATAGCCTTTGTGGTTAATTTCAACGGAATGACTGGCATGAAATGCTTTTGTACACTAATTGGTGTAGAGACGTAACTCATTGGTTCAGAATTGCAACATTCTATCTCTTTGAATTAATTAGGGCAATATTTGATATTATATAATTTTGAACAAATGTAGTTTATCTTTATATATAAAATATATCTCGTATATATAACTTTTGTTTTATTTATTATTAGAAGGAATGTCTATTGTTTTAACATTTATGATGATATTGTTGGAAGTTGTATAATTACCATTAGCGTCGTTTTGTTATGACAGACAATAGAAAGGTTAGGTTAACCCATTTTCGTTGCAAATATAATTTATTCGACTGAAGTGTAATATTATTGCTATAGACATGTGAAAAAAAATGTTTCCTTTAGCATTTTTTCTTAAATTTTCTTTTAGATTTTTATTTCATTATTGTTTTTAAAGGCTAAAGTAAAATAAAAACGTAACACCGCGTAATTGCATTCGTAATCTAAAGAATGAGTTAGAGAAGAATAAACAATATATCTGCTTTCTCTAACTGATTCTTCTGTTTTCGTTTGCGATTCCAGTTCGTTTCTATTCGGCTTCAGTGTTAATAAATTTCTTTTTCTTTGTAATTTTTTTTAATATTTGATATTTTTGTTTTTTTGCAGGATCGACGACTCGTGAAGCAGAGAAGGAACGTGTGGAGTAAATGTGGAACCGGATTTTGAAGAACGTCATGGAAATTCGAGGAAGTGACGACTAAGGGTGCGGTCACAGCGCTGCATGCATGGCTCATCCATGCAGGTTGCCATCGTAACGTACAAGAGCGAGAGAGATAGGAAATTATTTTATCTCTCTCACTCTTGTATGCTACCATGACAACCTGCATACATGCGCAATGCATGCAGAGCTTCGACTGTACCCTAACAGGTTCGTGTCAACTTTGCTACAGAGAGTCGTAAGTACTGTTTAAAGTGACAATTTTAGTTAAATAAGTGAAAAAAGTATAATCCTATTGTGGAAATAGCCTTAGGTTTTAAGGTTCAGTTTACAAGTAAACGTAAAAGTTAAATTCCGACAATGATATGCTATAAAAGTTTATACACACTACCATAGCCAAATTGCATTAAAGGTTCACTCTACAAATTATAATTTCCATTTCTCGCACTAATGACAAAAAAACACCTGTTTCTATATATGACCAAATCATTCGCTCAACTGAGTTACATGCGGGGAATTAAATTTCGGATTTGCGTCTAAAGAAATAAATCTAACGTAACTTTCAAGTGTCGTTGACCAGACGATAATTCACGGTCGAACAAATCCCTTGATACTTGGAAGATTTTCATCTTAGAAGACTCCTCTTCGAGTTTTACTCTCCTTGGCTCCTACTAATGGTTTCTTGAGTAATGTGATTCGAAAAAAAACC